GCTTAAAGATGTCTTGGGACTTGCTCCGCTGCTCAGGGGGTTTGTTGCACGCATTCTGGTAGATTCTTCATATTCACGCACATGCAGGGTTTTCAGGGGGTGAAAAAGATTACTGGTGTTTCCACCTTTTGGCTAGCACAATGCGTCGACACAATTTACACAGTACTGTTTGTTGGTCGGAGGAGGCCCCCTTTTTTCAAACCAATTCTTCCTCGTCCTGTAAATCAACCTCAATAGCGTTATTTTCCTTGTCTTCAGTCATCCTCAATGCTTGATTTTCAGACACTTTTGCTAACGAAAGGAGTTACGCTTGCTTTTTTGTTGACTTTGATTGGCAGGCAGATTGCGTGTAACGTCCATGCTTCTAGTTTATTTATTTGCTAAAAAAGGCTATGTTTCTAGTAAAATAAACAATTTTCACTAGCCCAATAGGCTGTATCACTCGACAGAAATTTTTAAAGAAAAAAAATGCCTTATTTCATACATGAATTGATCATGTGCACGATATGGCTAAATCCATATCGTGGCACAATGTCATACCGGTATTCACATTCATACCGCCCAGCCCTATTCAGACCCTTTACTCAGTACTTTGTTGAAGCATCTTTGGCAGCGATTACAGCCTCGAGTCTTCTTGGGTATGATGCTACAAGCTTGGCACACCTGTATTTGGGGCGTTTCTCCCATTCTTCTCTGCAGATCCTCTCAAGCTCTGTCAGGTTGGATGGGGAGCGTCGCTGCACAGCTATTTTCAGGTCTCTCCAGAGATGTTCGATCTGGTTCAAGTCCGTGCTCTGGCTGGGCCACTGAAGGACATTCAGAGACTTGTCCCAAAGCCACTCCTGCTTCGTCTTGGCTGTGTGCTTAGGGTCGTTGTCCTGTTGGAAGGTGAACCTTCGCCCCAGTCTGAGGTCCTGAGCGCTCTGGAGCAGGTTTTCATCAAGGATCGCTGTACATTGCTCCATTCATCTGTCCCTCGATCCTGACTAGTCTTCCAGTCCCTGCCGCTGAAAAACATCCCCACAGCATGATGCTGCCACCACCACGCTTCACCGTAGGGGTGGTGCCAGGTTTCCTCCAGACGTGACACTTGGCATTCAGGCCAAAGAGTTCAATCTTGGTTTCATCAGACCAGAGAATCTTGTTTGTCATGGTCAGAGTCATTTAGGTGCCTTTTGGCAAACTCCAAGCAGGCTGTCATGTGCCTTTTACTGAGGAGTGGCTTCCGTCTGGCCACTCTACCATAAAGGCCTGATTGGTGGAGTGCTGCAGAGATGGTTGTCCTTCTGGAAGGTTCTCCCATCTCCACAGAGGAACTCTGGAGCTCTGTCAGAGTGACCAACAGGTTCTTCGTCACCTCCCTGACCAAGGCCCTTCTCCCCCGATTGCTCAGTTTGGCCGGGCGGCCAGCTCTAAGAAGAGTCTTGGTGGTTCCAAACTTCTGCCATTTAAGAATGGAGGTCACTGTGTTCTAGTGGACCTTCAATGCTGCAGACATTTTTTGGTACCCTTCCCCAGATCTGTGCCTCGACACAATCCTGTCTCGGAGCTCTACGGACAATTCCTTCGACCTCGTGGCTTGGTTTTTGCTCTGACATGCCCTGTCAACTGTGGGACCTTATATAGACAGGTGTGTGCCTTTCCAAATAATACAGGTGGACTCCAATCAAGTTGTAGAAACATCTCAAGGATGAGCAATGGAAACAGGATGTACTTGAGCTCAATTTCTAGTCTCATAGCAAAGGGTCTGAATAAATAAGGTATTTCTGTTTTTTTATTTTTTATTCATTTGCTAAAATTTCGAATCCTGTTTTGGCTTCATCGTTATGGGGTATTGTGTGTAGATTGAGGGAAAATAAATAATTTAATCCATTTTAGAATAAGGCTGTATGTAACGTAACCATGTGGAAAAAGTCAAGGGGTCTGAATATTTTCCGAATGCGCTGTAAGTCCGATTTTTTTTTAATATATTTGGCTGTTTTCGCTGCATAACATGTAGACGTTGTCCCATTTTCAGGTTTAGAAGAAGTGACTCCTAATTCCCGTTTGTATAAGCTGGTTAGTATAGCTAGCATACAGAAATCAGTGGTGGTAGTCAAATTCGTTTTCTAACTGTAATGCAGTTGATTGGTAAGGATGACATGGACATGTGTTGGGGTTGACATCCATACAAGCATTGTACTCTGATTTTTACCTCAACATAGTGGGAAATGCACATAAACAGTAGCCTAAATAGGCAAACTTTGTGGGGGGGGGGGGGGCAGCAGCAGCAATGAGGAGACGTGATCTTTCCCCCACGTGTTTCCATGGCAATTCCATTGTTTTTGTCTAGTTGGATTGACCTCTTTACCGTATCTATACTGAACAAAAAAAGAAATGCAACAATTTCAACGATTTTACTGAGTTACAGTTCATATAAGAAAAATGGTCAATTTAAATAAATAAATTAGGCCCTAATCTATGGATTTCACATGACTGGGCAGGGGCACAGCCATGGGTGGGCCAGGGAGGGCATAGGCCCACCCACTTGGGAGCCAGGCACCGCCAATCCGAATCCGTTTTCTCCCCACAAAAGGGCATTATTTCAGACAGAAATACTTCTCAGTTTCATCAGCTGTCAGGGTAGCTGTTCTCAGACGATCCGACAGGTGAAGAAGCCGGATGTGGAGGTCCTGGGCTGGCGTGGTTACACGTGCTCTGCGGTTGTGAGGCCGGTTGGACGTACTGCCAAATTCTCTAAAACGACGTTGGAGGCGGCTTATGGTAGAGAAATGAACATTCAATTCTCTGGCAACAGCTCTGGTGGACATTCTTGCACTCAGCATGCTAATTGCACGCTCCCTTCCTCAACTTGAGACATCTGTGGCATTGTGTTGTGTGAGACAACTGCACATTTGTGTCCTTTTATTGTCCCCAGCACAAGGTTCACCTGTGTAATGAGCATGCTGTTTAATCAGCTTCTTGATATGCCACACCTGTCAGGTGGATGGATTATCTTGGCAAATGAGAAATGTTCATTAACAGGGATGTAAACAAATTTTTGCACAATTTGAGCTAAATAAGCTTTTAGTGGGTATGGAACATTTCTGGGATCTTTTATGTCAGCTCATGAAACATGGGACCAACACTATGTTGCGTTCTATATTTTTGTTCAGTATATTACTGACTCAAATTAACAAAATGAGTCGAAAGATTTGTTCTTTTTACGGAACGAGTTGAAAAGATCAGTCAGTAAAAATAGTCGAACTTCCCGTCACTACTATAATGACAGCTGTGCTCAGTCAATGTCAATATCAGACTAGATTACAAACCCAAAAGTGTCAGTTAAGGAAATGTGCAATCTGTAATACTTAGCTGTTGTTCTCCAATGTTAATTTTCATTAATGTACCCATTTCTTCTTGAAGAGTACAACTAATTTAATGCCTAATGAGCTTAGCTAGCTAGTACATTATCTTACCCCATCATAACCAAGGCTGTTTTACTCTGTTTGCCATGTTTTAAAACAATGTAACATTAAGCTTGATAGCTAGCTATTGATACAAAATGCATGACAACAAGCATGCAGCCTTCAAGGACCAGGGTTTTGGATGCATAAAACTAAAAGCCAACACTAGTCGCTTTGGACAAAAGCGTCTGCTAAATGGCTTATTATTATTATTATTATTATTATTATTATATAGAATGGGAGATAAAATAAGCAATTTAGCTACTTCTTTTAATTCCATATCCGTAAATGTCAAACCCCAGTCTACGAGGGACACAGTTTATGCTTGCTATAGTTGCCAGATACTGGACGTTACAGGAAAGCCCCATACAAACCGCCGCCATCGATTCTTCAAATAACCTGGTATTGGCAATACAGTCTTCGTTCTCGATTTTATAAATGTCTGTGTTCAGCTGCAGATGGTTCCACAAACACCAGAGACAACTCAAAGATAGTAAATCCATGTTTTGTACTGCGCTAGGAGGTTACTCGCCATCTTAGCTGCCGCACATCTTGAATTTCCCAGCATCTTTGCAGGAACTAGTCGTTTTTCTGTGACGTGGCCAAATGTAGAAGTAGATGACAGTGCGACCAAAACAAAGATCTACTCAAATGCAAGAGGCATATCTCCCTCGATACAAAACATGGATTTAATATCTTCCCGAGTTTTCTCTGGTGCTTGTAGAACCACCTGCAACTGGGCACGGACAGAGAACGAAGAGTATTGCCAATACCAGGTTAGTTGAATAATCTAGGGCTTTCCTGTAACGTCCAGTAATGGATACCAAAAATATTTGGTTATATCACATTATCTGGCATACAAACTGTAGCGTGTTAAACTTGACTGATATAGGCTAGACTTTGTAAACCAGGTATCAACTTCGGCCTTTCAGGAATCTTCTTGAGTTTGATACTCTTGTGCACCGGTGTGTACAACACATTAGGAACACCTTCCTAATATTGAGTTTCACCCCCTTTTGCCCTCAGAACAACCTCAATTTTTGTCGGGGCATGGACTCTACAAGGTGTCAAGTGTTCCACAGGCATTCTGGCCCATTTTGATTCCAGTGCTTCCCACAGTTGGCTAGATGTCCTTTGGGTGGTGGGCCATTCTTGATACACACGAGAAACTGTTGAGCGTGGAAAAACCCAGCAGCGTTGCAGTTCTTGACACACTCAAACCGGTGCACCTGGCACCTACTACCATGTCCCGTTCAAAGGCACTTAAATCTTTTGCCTTGCCCATTCACCTTCTGAATGGCACACAAACACAATCCATGTCTCAAGCCTTAACAATCCTTTAACCTGCCTCCCCTTCATCTACACTGATTTACATGGATTTAACAAGTGATGTCAGTATAAGATCATAGCTTTCACCTGGTTAGTCTGTCATGGAAAGAGCAGGTGTTCCTAATGTGTTGTACACTCGGTGTATATGACACAATCCTAAGAAATTAGGTAAAATGTATGTACACGTCTTTGAAAGCACACTTGTTTGTCACCTCTGCTGTTTCAGAAAGGCCACCAGTCATGTCAGGCATTGCATTGAGCCGGCTTGCTCAGGAGCGCAAAGCGTGGCGGAAAGACCACCCTTTCGTGAGTAGCAGTGTGTAGTTCCAGACTTTTTTAATTTCTAATGGTACACATAAACATGTTTTCTGACCAAACAGATGTATTTTATTGTTTTACCTTTTATTTAACTATAATGGGGATCGGGGGAAGTGTTCTATTTATTCAAGAGTTTTGAAATGTAGGTTTATTTTTTTTGTTGCGTAATCTCACTCTGTTTTACTGTTTGATCTAAGGGCTTTGTGGCTGTGCCGATGAAAAACCCAGATGGAACAATGAACTTGATGAACTGGGAATGTGCCATTCCTGGGAAGAAGGGGGTAAGTACAGCCATTTATCTACGCAGCCAATACAGTTTCAAATGGGAGGTGCTCAGTGACTTTGTTTATAGCACTCCACCTGTTTGTAGTAGGTAGTTGATCATTGCAAGAAATGTTTTTGCACCTGAATGTGTTGTAGTTACATGCACCAACACTATGAAGTGGACATCTTGTATGAAACCAAAGAATGCTAGGATGGGTCATAGCTCATCCTTGATTATTCATAGTCTGCAAGTGTTTGTGATCAATTCTAAACACTTATGACTCATCCCCAGACCCCATGGGAAGGAGGCTTGTTCAAACTGCGGATGCTGTTCAAGGATGACTATCCTTCCTCGCCCCCAAAGTGTGAGTTTCGTTTGAACCATTCTTCTGTTTTTTTTTTTATTAGGATCCCCATTAGCTGTTCCTCATGCAGCAGCTATTCTTTCTGAGGTCCACACAAAACATGACAATACAGAACATTGGAAACAACTCAGTTTTCGGGCCCAATACTTGAAACATGCATCCTTCCCTCTTCCTTGACGTAATCACTGATCTGACACCAATTTGATAGGTGAAAGCTAGGGTGTTTTCACCACACCAATTGAATCAGATCAGGTGATCACAAAGGTATGAAGGATGTATTGGAACAGACCTTAGAACTAATCTCACTACCTAATTTTAACTTTACTGATTTTGTTTTATAGGTAAATTTGAGCCTCCGCTCTTCCATCCTAATGTGTATCCGTCAGGCACAGTATGCCTATCCATTCTAGAGGAGGACAAGGACTGGAGACCCGCCATCACCATCAAGCAGGTTAGGATATACTGGTGATCGACTTATAAACTATAGCCACCAAATGGCTATGCCCAACTAATGTGATCTTTATGTATTGTCATTTCGTACAGATCCTATTAGGAATACAGGAACTCTTAAATGAGCCAAATATCCAGGATCCAGCCCAAGCAGAGGCATACACAATTTACTGGTGAGTTCTGCTAGTGTCGAAGGAATGCATTCCCGTTTGCCGTCTCGTTTTTGGATAGATTCTGATGTTTCTGTTGTTTTACTAAACCCCTCTTTTTGTTTTCAGCCAAAACAGAGTAGAATATGAAAAAAGAGTTCGAGCACAGGCCAAAAAATTCTCCCCTTCGTAAGGGTGAAGGCTCGGCTTCGGCAGAAGGAATGGGTCAAACGCGGCTCACCTCCCCTATGTTTCTCAAATGAATGTGCCCCTCTCACATCAGGACTTGCTTATAAGGACTTCTATTTAAAACTCTGACACATTGGGTGCCATCCTCTTTTTTCCCCTATCACCTACCCCTTTTTTTGTTCTTAACCTCTGGGTTGGCATGTGGCAGGCGCTGGGAGGAAATGGGTGCCTTAGCACCCCGGCCGCTTCCTTTTTAGCCGTATTACTTGTCTTGTGGTGCGAGGGACAGCGCACAGTACCGGTTTCGTCATCGACTCAAAATAAGCCTATTTTGAGGAAGAGAACGTCTTGGTTGTCTTTGTTTGTTTTTTGTTACATTTTCCTTAAACTCCTCCCCTCTTGTATTTTCCTTGATTTTAATTATGTAAAATTAGCTATTTACTTATGTCAGTATTTCAACTGCTGTATAATGAGTGGCACTTTTATACTGTATCTCACTAGTTTCTCTAGAGTGCTCTGTCTGATTCTCTTATGCAGGTTTTCTATTCAGCATGCTGTAATATAAAATAATCTGCTGCCTTGGCTGTCTTTTTTGTTGTTATTTGGAGTGTTTGCTGCAATGTAAAAAAAATAAAAATATTATGGCCTCGTCAACTCAGAAAGGCAGGTAGGCTTACTTCTGTATCAAACTCTTTTATGGTTATAGGGTGCTTTGTTCATGTACGTGTTAGAGTAAATAAACAGTTTCTATAAAGCCATTGTTACACTTTCTGTCTCGAGCGGTTAACAAATGCTGGCATAGTAATGTTATAACAGCTAGAGCTGACACCCCCCAAGAAACACTATTTAAGACACTGTCTATATACCATATTTTGTACAGATGGTTTATTTAAACATGTTTGTTTGAACATCATGATAAAATAAGACATCACACTTTATCAAGTAACAAGAGATTAGATTTTCATCTTGAGTGGATTATTTTGTTTTTCATTATAAAGATCAAAATACAGTATATTTGCACTTTTCTATTTACACAAACATTTAAAAACAAAAATGAAGGATGTTATCATCCCATGAGTAAGAATGAACACAATGTCTGTAGATGAAGAGCAAATGAGGCTTATTTACAATATATTTTCTAGCCTCTTCCATCCTAACACGTGTCTGTCAGGCGCAATATGCCTGAGGACAAGGACTGGAGACCAGTCATCACCATCAAGCAGGTTAGGATATACTAATGGTTAAAAAATGCTGGCATGGAAATGTTTTAATAGCTATAGCCGGCACCCCTCCCCACCCCCAAAAACTATATTTAAGACACTTTCAACATACCATATTTTGTACAGATTGTATATTAAAACATGTTTGTTTGAACATCATGATACAGAGTAAGACCACACTTGATTTCCAGATTATTGAGAGTGGTGAAATTAAAAGAACATGATGATCAAAATATAGGATATTTGCACCAGAGGAGGCTGGTGGGAGGAGCTATAGGAGGACGGGCTCATTGTAATGAGCCATTACAATGAGCCTATAGCTCCTCCCACCAGCCGCCTCTGATTTGCACATTATTTACAAAAACATTAGTAAAAAATAATTAAGGATCTTATTATCCCAGTAAGAATAAACACATTTTTCTGTAGATGAAGAGCAAATGCAGTGTATTTATGACTTTTCTAGCCTGTATTGAATTCAACGATTTATATATACACTAGATGACTGCCAGGGGGGCGCTGTGTTGAAACCACCGTACCTCCATCTTGCCACTCCCCTACCATTGTAAAACACATGTTGGAAGCTATAGAAATGCATTTTTTCCATGTGTATTCTATTACAGACACCATAATGCATGCTTTTAAATTATATTATGTGAGCTAAACATAATATATATATTTAGAGATTACTAATGTTACTGTCCCCACTACAACAAAAACATTTAATTTTGTCCTTGAAACATTTAATTGAAATACTGTAGAATTCCATTCATTCCTATGGAGGAATGAGCCAACACACCTCCAGGCTGTGTAAGGGCTATTTTACCAAGAAGGAGAGTGATCGAGTGCTGCATCAGATTACCTGGCCTCCACAATCCCCCGACCTCAACTAAATTGAGATGATTTGGGATGAGTCAGACCGCAGAGTGAAGGAAAAGCAGCCAACAAGTGCTCAGCATATGTGGGAACTCTTTCAAGACTGTTGGAAAAGTATTCCAGGTGAAGCTGGTTGAGAGAATGCCAAGAGTGTGCAAAGCTGTCATCAAGGCAAAGGGTGGCTATTTGAAGGATCTCAAATATAAAATATATTTTGATTTGTTTAACACTTTTCTTGGTTACTACATGATTCCATATGTGTTATTTCATAGTTTTGATATCTTCGCTATTATTCTACAATGTAGAAAATAGAAAAAATAAAGAAAAACCCTTGAATGAGTGTGTGTTCTAAAACTTTTGACCAGTAGTGTATATATATATTTTTTAATGTATTTGTTAAAATATTGAATTTGGCCTTTACTACTATAGCCCATAGAAACGCATTGAATAACACACTCATAAAAGACACCAAAAAAAGACATAAAATAGATAATAAGGAAAGGGTTTTGAAGTGTCTGTCCTATATCTAGGAGATATAATAAAGCTCAGGAAATGGAGGTCCTGGGCTGGCGTGGTTACACGTGGTCTGCGGTTGTAAGGCCTGTTGGACGTACTGCCAAATTCTCTAAAATGACATTGGAGGCGGTTTATGGTAGAGAAAGGAACATTCAATTCTCTGGCAACAACTCTGGTGGACTTTCCTGCAGTCAACTTGAGACATCTGTGGCATTGTGTTGTGTGACAAAACTGCACATTTTAGAGTGGCCTTTTATTGTCCCAAGCACAAGGTGCACCTGTGTAATGAACATGCTGTTTAATCAGCTTCGTGATATGCCACACCTGTCAGGTGGATGGATTATCTTGGCAAAGGAGAAATGCTCATTAGCAGGGATGTAAACAAATTTGGCAACAACTTTTGAGAGAAATAAGCTTTTTGTGCGGATGGAAAATTTCTGGGATCTTTTATTTCAGCTCATGAAATATGGGACCAACACTTTATATGTTGCGTTTATATCTTTGTTCATTATATATATATATATATATATATTAATTTTGTTGGCACAAAACGACCTCCATAGTTCCATTAATTTGTATGGGTTACCATTAAGATGAGTCCTGTGACACTTGTGGGGGTCATATTAGTTTGTAGTCCAAACCGTTCGGTTGTTACAGACGTTTACGTGAGAAAACCGATTTTCGGGATGTCTCCTGGTCTGACAAACAGCGCTGTAGCTCTGCCAATTTCCACCGCAGATTCATAAGGGCAACATGGGCAGATGCGGTGGATTGAGACGCAGCCCATACAAAAAAACACATCTCTAGCTTAAACTGACGGATTTTGATGGGGACTTTGTATTATGCTGGTGGGGATTTTGTATTATGTTGCTTAGATTGACGCACCGGTGCGTCAATAGACTCTAGGGGTAACTTCCGGACAATTCCCAGTGTCCGAAAGGGTGCAGTAGTCACTGCTGCTGTACACATTGCTGTACCAGGCATTCTCCCGCTCCAGAGATGTGGTGCTGTGCAGCCAACACCCCGAGTCTGCTTCGATGGTGCTCTCTGGCTCACTCAGAGACACACTCTTCAGTGGGCCTCTGGGTGCCGGGAGTGGTGACCCCAGAGATACAGCATAAGCAATGCCCAGGAAAAGCGCATCAGACGCTGGGTTAGACAGGTTGTCACTGGGGCCCTCCTGGATCATGTGATGGGGCACCAGTGAGGAGTGGTCATCATCCAGGACAGGTACGATCTCAGTCAGGGTGTCGATTTGCAAGGTTTCCTCTGTCTTGAGTAGGTCTGCCCCATAGCCTGGGGTCACAACCCAGCTCTACAACCACAATAAGTTTGTTAGTGTAATGTTCATGTCTCAGTGAGAAGTATTAATGCATCAAGGGTGACATAAGACTTCCTTACCCTGAAGTCCCCCTCACAGTCAGTATAAAGGGACTGGAAGTATGGTGCTGGAGTTGGGATGAAGGCGGATTTATTCAACCTGCAACATATGAGAAGTTTCCACACCCCATGAATTACATGATATAAGACATGCATCTGTTCTTCCATACACTGTAGATGTCACCAAAGATAAGGTAATCCAAACTTACCTTACAATTGGAATGTAGCACAGAATTAGCAGTACTGGAACCAGCACACATAAGATGGCAGTAAATGTGTTTGTTGGAAGTTCTGCAACTGAGGGGACAAAGAACATTGAAACAGCATTAGCCTGAAGAAACACAAAACAGGCAAGCAGTGGGCTCAAATGTTTCTAGTAATGTTCCTGATGTCTTGACAGAACTATACCTTTTTGTATGGGATCAGTCCTCCAATGAACCTCTGATGACCATTCACTCCACTGGCCTTGAAACAGTTGTTGGTTGGGGATGGACCTCACTTTTACAGTGTACTCTGTGTCTGGCTCAAATTCTTCAACGTTCCTTGAGATGTTAGTTGAGTGGGGAGCTTTGACAACCTGTGGGGAATAATATGAGGAAATAGATGTATTTATTCTCCAGTTTTATTTTAGAAACATCTTTAGCAGGATTTGAGGGTCTTACGTAGATTTGGTGACCACTTCTGTAGAACCTGAGTTCGTAATTCAGGTTGTCAGTCAGAAGATTGCCAAATTCTAAATATTTCTCATAGCTACTCATCCAGGTAACGCAGTATTGACTTGACATCTGGTTGATGGTGAGATTGATTGGTGCATTGGGTTTGACTGGGGAGAGAAAGACACTTGTGTCAAAGATTTGGGATGGAATGAATGTGTCCACAAAAATAAAAGCTTCCCACGGCCGGCCTGCTCATTAGGCTGGATTAGGCGGTCGCCTATGGCAGCAGATTGATGAGGGCGGCATTTTCTGAGCTAAACTGACCAAGACGCATCTCCAACAACAACATATAAAATCTCACATAATTCTACGAAAAAACAATGACAATTTCTCTCAACCAATGGCATGTGGGTTTTTTAGGTGAGCGCTGATGCCGGCCTGTGATAAGGCAGGGGCGCAAAATATTTTGCTTGTCCATTCCCAGCGCGCCTCTCCAGGGTGCTGTTGGAGTGACGCATCGCTGCGCAGCTCCACCAACGTTCCGTAACAAAAATCATCTAACATAAATCATGTAGCAGATATAGGATATGGTAGAAAGAGTACAGTTGAAGTCGGAAGTTTACATACACCTTAGCCAAATACACTTAAACTCAGTTTTTCACAATTCCTGACATTTAATCCTAGTAAAAATGCCCTGTCTTAGGTCAGTTAGGATCACCACTTTATTTTAAGAATGTCAAATGTCAGAATAATAGTAGAGAGAATGATTTATTTCAGCTTTTATTACTTTCATCACATTCCCAGTGGGTCAGAAGTTTACATACACTCAATTAGTATTTGGTAGTATTGCCTTTAAATTGTTTAACTTGGTTCAAACGTTTCAGATAGCCTTCCACAACTTCCCACAATAAGTTGGGTGAATTTTGGCCCATTCCTCCTGGCAGAGTTGGTGTAACTGAGTCAGGATTGTAGGCCTCCTTGCTCGCACACGCTTTTTCAGTTCTGCCCACACATTTTCTATAGAATTGAGGTCAGGGCTTTGTGATGGCCACTCCAATACCATAACTTTGATGTCCTTAAGCCATTTTGCCACAACTTTGGAAGTATGCTTGGGGTCATTGTCCATTTGGAAGACTCATTTGCGACCAAGCTTTAACTTCCTGACTGATGTCTTGAGATGTTGCTTCAATATATCCACATAATTTTCCTTCCTCATGATGCCATCTATTTTGTAAAGTGCACCAGTCCCTCCTGCAGCAAAGCACCCCCACAGCATGATGCTGCCACCTCCGTGCTTCACGGTTGGGATGGTGTTCGTCGGCTTGTAAGGGACCCCCTTTTTCCTCCAAACATAACGATGGTCATTATGGCAAAACAGTTATATTTTTGTTTCATCAGAACAGAGGACATTTCTCCAAAAAGTATGATCTTTGTCCCCATGTGCAGTTGCAAACCGTAGTCTGGCTTTTTTATGGCGGTTTTGGAGCAGTGGCTTCTTCCTTGCTGAGCGGCCTTTCAGGTTATGTCGATATAGGACTCGTTTTACTGTGGGTATAGATACTTTTGTACTTGTTTCCTCCAGCATCTTCACAAGGTCCTTTGTTGTTGTTCTGGGATTGATTTGCACTTTTCGCACCAAAGTACGTTAATCTCTAGGAGACAGAACACGTCTCCTTCCTGAGCGGTATGATGGCTGCGTGGTCCCATGGTGTTTATACTTGCGTACTATTGTTTGTACAGATGAACGTGGTACCTTCAGGTGTTTGGAAATTGCTCCCAAGGATGAACCAGACTTGTGGAGGTCTACAATATTTTTTCTGAGGTCTTTTGATTTTCCCATAATGTCAAGCAAAGAGGCACTAAGTTTGAAGGAAAGCCTTGAAATACATCCACAGGTACACCTCCAATTGACTCAAATTATGTCAATTAGCCTATCAGAAGCTTCTAAAGCCATGACATAATTTTCTGGAATTTTCCAAGCTGTTTAAAGGCACAGTCAACTTAGTGTATGTAAACTTCTGACCCACTGGAATTGTGATACAGTGAATTATAAGTGAAATAATCTGTCTGTAAACAATTGTTGGAAAAATTACTTGTGTCATGCACAAAGTAGATGTCCTAACCGACTTTCCATAACTATAGTTTGTTAACAAGAAATTTGTGGAGTGGTTGATAAACGAGTTTTAATGACTCCAACCTAAGTGTATGTAAACTTCCGACTTCAACTGTATGTGGCCTTTTCTGTAGCCTACAGGCTGGAGATAAAATGTATGACAATGTAATGAGATGGACACTTTTTACATCATACAGGTTTCTCCGATGAAATAGCCTAACCTAAATGGTGCTCAATCAATAAAAAATTTGCTGTTATGTTAACAAACAACATATCCTACAAACAGGACAGGTCAAGGTAAAATTGACAATATGGAATGGACAATCACAACTGTTGTCCAGGAGTTTCACCCCATTGTCAAGATCAGTGGTTTCAAGATTGTATCCGTCAATTCTTGACAAGCTGATCATAGCAAAAATACTTCTGCATTTCTGTGTAAACACATTGCAAATAGGCTCACAATAACCCCTGATGAAGTTGGGTAGCTGATATTCAGAGCTTAAATAGCCAAATTGATTAGTCACATGAATGAGGAGTGCAGTATAACCGCAGTACAATGCAGTCTAACTGCAGTATGCTTCAAATACTGCGTCCAAAATTACACTGTTTTTTTTGCTACAGTAATTTTGCAGGGTAACTGCAGTTACAGTGAAGTATAACTGCAGTTCAACTGCAGTACACTGCAGCTATTCTGCAATTACTGCGTCCAAAATACCACAGTCGACTGCAGTTACTGCACTTTTACTGCAGTTTAAAAACTGCAATCTTTTTTTGTAATGCTTACCACATAGATAGGCATTCATAAAATTATATTTCAGGCAACACTCTAGGCTACACCTCAGTAAGCACAGACCGACGCCAACAACTTGTGGTTCTCTTTTTTTGGTGCAGTCCGGACCGGCCTTGATTTCCACATCCACGGACATAGTTTTTTGGTCCATCTGGTCCACATCTGAACCAATCATAGACGTCTATGTTTGGTTCAGATTTGATGTGGTCCAGGCTGGCCTTGATTTGGCCCAAACATAGAAGTCTATAAATTACTTATTTTCAACTTTCATTCAGAACAAAAAATGAGCCTGATTTCAACATCCGGAAAATACATATTTTCAACGTCTGGAAAATACATATTTTCAACATCCGGAAAATAAGTATTTGCAACTTTCATTCAGAACTACAAAATTAACCTGATGTCAATGTCCTGGAAAATATGTATTTTAAACATATGGAAAATACCTTTTCACCTTTCATTCAGAACCTAAATTGAACCTAACTTCAACGTCTGGAAAATATGTATTTTTGACGTCTTTTCAACGTAATTTTGCTTACTGGGACTATTCTAGTTTTGGGGGGCAGCATTTTTTGGTCTAGCCTATGGCGGTAGAATGGCAAGGACCGGCCGGTTATACTTTACTTTACAGTGCCATTATTACTGTGTAATGATTCCGGTAATTACAAAGTACCAAGTATTGTAATTACTCATTATTACGCTGTAATTGCAATACTTGTTATACTGTAATTACATGAGTAGTTACACAGTAATAATGGCACTGTAAAGTAAAGTGTTACCTAGCTTCTGAACCAACCACTTCAAGCAAGTACCTATGCTTGTCAATTGAAGTTTGGTAGGGGTAGGCGTATCACAAAGTCATATTTGTATTGTAATACTGTAATAAGCACTTACTATGCTTTACTGGCATGTATTCCTTATCCAGCAAGGTGGCGCTTATATGTCCATTGCTTCTGTTGTGATAGAGAGTGATCTTAAATCTTGAAGTGTCAAAAAAAAAATCTGGATCCTCATCAGGATCTGGATCAACAGTAGAATCTGGATGTGAAGTGTCCAATGAACAGGAGTAATTGCCATCCATTTTCCTCAGCTTCACACTGTGTAATGAGTAGAAGTGAGCAGGAAAAAAATAAAGCAGGAATCAATATAAAGTTATAACATACAATGTACACACATTGCCTCGGTGTGTACTGTGTACGTATACAGTGGTTCTTAACCTGGGGTACTTGGCCTATCCACAGGGGATACTTGGGAAGACTAATAAGAACATAGCCCACTGGTAAAATGCACATGAGGGGTTACTTAGGCGGTACTCTAGGCAGAGCAAATGTGGTAGGGGGGTAGATTAGGGGTACAGTTACCAAACAGGTTGAGAACCACTATACTAATACATTTAAATGAATGTACTCAAATTTGAGCAATATGAAATAGTGGGGATCTCACCCATCAAATACCGTCCCGAAAGAGAGGGCCTCAAAGTGCAGCCAGTAAGAGGACTGGTCTGCATGAGCCACCTCTGGCTGGATTCTCAGGGAACAGTTAATGGTGAACAGGTAATCACTCACACAGTCAATGTTATATTCATGACCTGGAAGAGTCCACATGAAATACAACTTAAGCACTGCAAACACACAATGGTGCTTTACACCTGGGTTTCCCAAACTCGGTCCTGGGGCCCCCCCTGGGTGCACGTTTTGTTTTTTGCCCTAGCACTATATAGCTGATTAAAAAAATGAAAGCTTGATGATGAGTTGGTAATTTGAATCAGATGTGTAGTGCTAGGGCAAAAACCAAAACGTGCATCCGGGGGGGGCAGGAGTGAGTTTGGGAAACCCTGCTTTACACTAACCACAATATCCTTATCTCACACACCACAGAGAAATACGCCATTCACACATAAATTCAAGACAATATTTCAAATATATACATTTTATGTTTTGATGCACTGTAGGATTAAACAGAGGTGTGACCAAAGTAAGACACTTCCTTATAAAGAAATGTGAAATGTATTTTGCAAAGAATTAATTACATGTATGCTATATCGCATTTATTTCACACAGAGAAATTGTAATACACAGCACAGACACCTTCAGCTGTCACGCCCTGACTCAGGGGACGCTTATATGTTGAGTCAGGGTGTGTATATTCCTTGTTGTGCTTTTTCTATGTTTGTGTTCTAGTATGTGTGGATCTATGTTGGCCGGTGTGGTTCCCAATCAGAGGCAGCTGTCGCTCGTTGTCTCTGATTGGGGACCATACTTAGGCAGCCTAGTGGCACTGTCTAGTTGTGGGATGTTGTTCCGTGTAAGGTTTGTTTTCTGTACTACCTTGGACTTCACGTTTCGTTTCAGTTGTTGTTTTGTCGAGTGTTTATCGTTAAATAAAAATGTATGCATATCACGCTGCGCCTTGGTCTGACCCGTCAATGAACGAACGTGACAGAAGATCCCACCAAACAAGGACCAAGCAGCGTGCCGAGAAGGAGCAAACGCCTGGGACTCAACAGGAGGTTACATTAGTAGATGTCCTCCTCGGTTGGGGGAGAATTACGGAGGAGGAGGCCGTCCGTTATCGGAAGGCGATGAAGGAGGATGCCCAGCTAGGAGAGGAGAAACGGCGCCAACAGTGCCGACGACGGAGACCTGAGAGGCAACCCCAATAAAACTTTTTGGGGGGCCACACGGTGTGGACGACGAGGCAGCAGGAGGCCGTGAAAGGGCGGATCTGCAGGTTAGGAGAGGAGGCCACCATGTTACGGGGGCTGTTGGCTCAGAGGGAGCAGGAGTTATTCGGTCAGAGGGAGGCGCTACAGGAGGCTAAAAGGGAGAAGGAAAAAGTAGAGGCACGGCGAGAGGAGCTGGTTAGGCAGCAGAAGGAGCGGGAGTTAATAAAGGAACCCAGTCCTGCTCCTCGCACCAAGCAAGTGGTGCGTGTCACCAGTCCGGTCCGGCCCGTTCCTGCTCCCCGCACCAAGCCAGTGGTGCGTGTTCCCAGTCCGGCCCAGCCCGTTCCTGCTCCTCGTACCAAGCCTGTGGTGCGCGTCGCCAGCACGGCCCGTTCCTGCTCCTCGCACCAAGTCAGTGGTGCGCGTCGCCAGCCCGGCCCGGCCCGTTCCTGCTCCTCGCACCAAGCCAGTGGTGCACGTCGCCAGCCCGGCCCGGCCTGTTCCTCGCACCAAGCCAGTGGTGCGCGTCGCCAGCCCGGCCCGGCCTTTTCCTTCTCCTCGCACCAAGACAGTGGTGCGTGTCGCCAGCCCGGCCCGGCCTGTTCCTGCTCCTCGCACCAAGCTAGTGGTGCGCGTCGCCAGTCCGGCCCGGCCCGTTCCTGTCCCTTGCACCAAGCCAGTGGTGCGTGTTCCTAGTCCGGTCCGGCCCGTGCCTGCTCCTCGCACCAGACCAGTGGTGCATTTGTCCAGTCCGGCACGGCCCGTGCCCGTTCCACCGGTGCCTGGTCCGGCACCGGTCAGCTGCTCCACTCCGGAGCCAGAGCAGTCCGCTCCACCGGGGTCCAGTCCAGCTCCGGTCAGCGGCTCCACTCCGGAGCCAGAGCAGTCCGCTCCACCGGTGCCTGATCCAGCTTCGGTCAGCGGCTCTACTCCGGAGCCAGAGCAGTCCGCTCCACCAGTGCCCAGTCCAGCTCCGGTCAGCGGCTCCAGTCCAGACCATGACGTCAGCCCCTCTCCAGGTTCGGGGTCTCCCACACCAGGGTCCAGACAGGGCCTGGCGTATCGTGGGAGGAAGGAGAGTCCGCACCTTTGGGGGGGGTACTGTCACGCCCTGACTCAGGGGACGCTTATATGTTGAGTCAGGGTGTGTATATTCCTTGTTGTGCTTTTTCTATGTTTGTGTTCTAGTATGTGTGCATCTATGTTGGCCGGTGTGGTTCCCAATCAGAGGCAGCTGTCGCTCGTTGTCTCTGATTGGGGACCATACTTAGGCAGCCTAGTGGCACTGTCTAGTTGTGGGATCTTGTTCCGTGTAAGTTTTGTTTTCTGTACTACCTTGGACTTCACGTTTCGTTTCCTTTGTTGTTTTGTCGAGTGTTTATCGTTAAATAAACATGTATGCATATCACGCTGCGCCTTGGTCTGACCCGTCAATGAACGAACGTGACATCAGCTTACAATAGCCATCAGTCAATATTCAATTTATTTGATAATTGAGCAAATTATGGTAATGTTTTGTTTCTCATATTTAAAGTTGATAATTTATCCTCCAAATTGTTTAACCGCAAACCCATGCCATTTATTGTTATAAAAATAAAAAGACACGTTTTTTATTGTTGTTCTTGATCAGTGGAACTAAACCTGACACAGGTGATGGTGATTATTGAGTTAATTAACACAAAGCTTATAAAAAAGAGGCGAGTTCAGCAGGACACAAAGTTTTGTAATGTTCAGATAGAAATATGTTATGTAGAACAAACTCCGACATGTAGAACAAAGGAATCATGTCTGCTCTATTCACAGCATTTCTGTCTGCAACATTTGTTAACATTCAGCTTCTGAACGTGGCCCAGCTGTGTGCCAGTTTTTCAATAGGATATGTCTTGTAGACTTCTCCTAATGTGGTGTTATGCAAACATCTAAATATTTATTAAGTTAGATAAATGTTAATTGTAAATTAGGTGTTTACCTGTTGTGGTATAATTCCCATTCAGGCAGACGATACTGTAAGACAGGACAAAGGTGAGGAGCAGCCGCATACTTCTGTATTCCCTGGGACACGTCTGTTGCTAATATTGATAAGGTATGACATTACATTACAACTCTTGGACCTGATCTGGACTTAAGGATCTTGACTGAGCTATCTATGACAAAATAACTTGATGCCAGAAACTGAAAGTGGGAGGAGGATCCAGATAGGGACTTTATTCTGATAACTATCACCCTCCGCTGTCATGTGAGGTGGAGGATGTGTTTTTTTTTTAAAGAGCAGTTTGTGGGGGACTTCATGAGTTCAGTAAGTGGGTGGTGTGCAGTGTAACCGTCATTCATCTTTAAATAGTTTCAACACTAACATACAGTGTAAAATGTGTAGAGCAAAGAGCAATTGAGTTGTCAGATGATTGACAGTCAGATGATTGACAGTATATAATTACATTCAGTCTCTTACCAATAAACAAACCTTGGTACCTATCCATGGTAGTAGCAGTGAGGGGAGTGTTCTTTTTCGATGACTGTGATCTGTATCCTCTTCTTGCCACCACAGTGTCTTCAAACTCTTCTTTCCAATTCACTATCTCAGCCATCGTGCCATGCCACGGCTGCTTGTTTGTGAAGATAGAAAGATGATATTGGATAAATAAGCCTCACAAACCCGATGTGCCTTCTTAATAAGTGTACAATGATGGCATGCATGGCAGTGTCATCGGATATCTGACATCAGTTTCATTGTGCTAATGAGGACATAGTGAACATAGTCATAAGTATAATCATCAAGGTTTCAGCCAAAAACTCATAATTGTGTATTTATATATTTTCATATGTATATGGCACTGGATAAGAGGAAAGAGCACATATTGTAGTAGAAAGAAAGATGTAGAATAAGAAGGCGATGTTTGCGCTCTGTAGAGCGGGGATGTGTGAGTGAAATAGCATGAATAAATATGTTTTTGTGGTGGTGCATGATTCTACACTGAACAAAAATATAAACACAACATGTAAGTGTTGGTCCCATGTTTGATGAGCTGAAATAAAAGATCCCAGAAATGTTCCATACGCACAAAAAGCTTATTTCTCTCATTCCTGTTAGTGAGCATTTCTTCTTTGCCAAGATAATCCATCCACCTGACAGGTGTGGCATATCAAGAAGCTGATTAAACATCATGATCATTACACAGGTGCACCTTGTGCTTGGGACAATAAAAGGCCACTCTAAAATGTGCAGTTTTGTCACACAACACAATGCCACATGCCACGTCTCAAGTTTTGAAAGAGAGTGCAATTGGCATGCTGACTACAGGAATGTCCACCACAGCTGTTGCCAGATAATTTAATGTTCATTTCTCTACCATAAGCCGCCTGCAATGTCATTTTAGAGAATTTGGCAGTTCGTTCAACCGGCCTCACAATCGCAGACCATGTGTATGGCATCGTGTGGGCGAGCGATTTGCTGATGCTAACGTTGTGAACAGAGTGCCCCATGGTTGCAGTGGAGTTATGGTATGAGCAGGAAAAAGCTACGGACAAGATCCTGAGGCCCATTGTCGTGCCATTCATCCGCGCTATCACCCCATGTTTCACCATGATAATGCACGGCCCCATGTCGCAAGCATCTGTACATCATAGCAGTGACCCGCTCCTGCAAGTTCATGCATTTCAACATTCGTGGAGAATGACCCTACCTTACACAGGAAGCGGTGCAGGTCCTAATCCAGGTATTTGCCCTCTCCCGTCTGGACTACTGCAACTCGCTGTTGGCTGGGCTCCCCGCTTGTGCCATCAAACCCCTGCAACTTATACAAAATGCTGAAGCCTGCCTGGTTTTCAACCATCCCAAGTTCTCTGATGTCAACCCGCTCCTCCGCACACTCCACTGGCTTCCAGTCAAAGCTCGCATCCACTGCAAGACCATGGTGCTTAATGGAATATCTACATAGGTGTACAGAGGCCCATTATCAGCAACCATCATAGCTTTCTTCTGAAACTCGTCAGTCTATTCTTGTTCTGAGAAATGAATGCTATTCCATGTGAGAAATTGCCAAGAAACTGAAGATCTCGTACAACGCTGTGTACTACTCCCTTCACAGAACAGCTCAAACTGGCTCTAACCAGAATAGAAAGAGGAGTGGGAGGCCCCGGTGCACAACTGAGCAAGAGGACAAATACATTAGAGTGTCTAGTTTGAGAAACAGGTGCCTCACAGGTCCTCAACTGGCAGCTTCATTAAATAGTACCCGCAAAACACCAGTCTCAACGTCAACAGTGAAGAGGCGACTCCGGGATGCTAACCTTCTAGGCATAGTTGCAAAGAAAAAGCCATATCTCAGACTGGCCAATAAAAATAAAAGATTAAGATGGGCAGTCTGAGATATGGCTTTTTCTTTGCAACTCTGCCTAGAAGGTCAGCATCCCGGAGTCGCCTCTTCACTGTTGACATTGAGACTGGTGTTTTGCGGGTACTATTTAATGAAGCTGCCAGTTGAGGACCTGTGAGGCACCTGTTTCTCAAACTAGACACTCTAATGTATTTGTCCTCTTGCTCAGTTGTGCACCGGGGCCTCCCACTCCTCTTTCTATTCTGGTTAGAGACAGTTTGAGCTGTTCTGTGAAGGGAGTAGTACACAGCGTTGTACGAGATCTTCAGTTTCTTGGCAATTTCTCACATGGAATAGCATTCATTTCTCAGAACAAGAATAGACTGACGAGTTTCAGAAGAAAGCTATTTATTTCTGGCCATTTTGAGCCTGTAATCGAACCCACAATTGCTGATGCTCCAGATACTCAACTAGTCAGTTTTATTGCTTCTTTAATTAGCACAACAGTTTTCAGCTGTGCTAACATAATTGCGAAAGGGTTTTCTAATGATCAATTAGCCTTTTAAAATGATAAACTTGGATTAGCAAACACAACGTGCCATTGGAACACAGGACTGATGGTTGCTGATAATGGGCCTCTGTACGCCTATGTAGATATTCCATTAATAATCAGCCGTTTCTAGCTACAATAGCCATTTACAACATTAACAATGTATACACTGAATTTCTGATCAATTTGATGTTATTTCAATGGACAAAAAAATTGCTTTTCTTTCGAAAACAAGGACATATCTAAGTGACCCCAAATGTTTGAACGGTAGTGTATATTAGAAAAGTGCAGATACAGAGCTCCTGGTCATATGACTGAGTGACCTTTCCTCTGTCAAAGTTGGTCATATTATTGAGCTGTATATACACATTGACACACATACAGTGAGGGAAAAATGTATTTGATCCCCTGCTGATTTTGTACGTTTGCCCACAGACAAAGAAATGATCAGTCTATAATTTTAATGGTAGGTTTATTTGAACAGTGAGAGACAGAATAACAACAACTAAATCCAGAAAAACGCATGTCAAAAATGTTATTAATTGATTAGCATTTTAATGAGGGAAATAAGTATTTGAACCCCTTTCAATCAGAAAGATTTCTGACTCCCAGGTGTCTTTTATACAGGTAACGAGCTGAGATTAGGAGCACACTCTTAAAGGGAGTGCTCCTAATCTCAGTTTGTTACCTGTATAAAAGACACCTGTCCACAGAAGCAATCAATCAATCAGATTCCAAACTCTCCACCATGGCCAAGACCAAAGAGCTCTCCAAGGATGTCAGGGACAAGATTGTAGACCTACACACGGCTGGAATGGGCTACAAGACCATCGCCAAGCAGCTTGGTGAGAAGGTGACAACAGTTGGTGCAATTATTCGCAAATGGAATTAACACAAAATAACTGTCAATCTCCCTCTGCCTGGGGCTCCATGCAAGATCTCACCTCGTGGAGTTGCAATGATCATGAGAACGGTGAAGAATCAGCCCAGAACTACACGAGAGGATCTTGTCAATGATCTCAAGGCAGGTGGGACCATAGTCACCAAGAAAACAATTGGTAACACACTACGCCGTGAAAGACTGAAATCATGCAGCGCCCGCAAGGTCCCCCTGCTCAAGAAAGCACATATACAGGGCCGTCTGAAGTTTGCCAATGAACATCTGAATGATTCAGAGGAGAACTGGGTGAAAGTGTTGTGGTCAGATGAGACCAAAATCGAGCTCTTTGGCATCAACTCAACTCGCCGTGTTTGGAGGAGGAGGAATGCTGCCTATGACCCCAAGAACACCATCCCCACCGTCAATCATGGAGGTGGAAACATTATGCTTTGGGGGTGTTTTTCTGCTAAGGGGACAGGACAACTTCACCGCATCAAAGGGACGATGGACGGGGCCATGTACCGTCAAATATTGGGTGAGAACCTCCTTCCCTCAGCCAGGGCATTGAAAATGGGTCGTGGATGGGTATTCCAGCATGACAATGACCCAAAACACATGGCCAAGGTAACAAAGGAGTGGCTCAAGAAGAAGCACATTAAGGTCCTGGAGTGTCCTAGCCAGTCTCCAGACCTTAATCCCATAGAAAATCTGTGGAGGGAGCTGAAGGTTCGAGTTGCCAAACGTCAGCCTCGAAACCATAATGACTTGGAGAAGTTCTGCAAAGAGGAGTGGGACAAAAATCCCTCCTGAGATGTGTGCAAACCTGGTGGCCAACTACAAGAAACGTCTGACCTCTGTGATTGCCAACAAGGGTTTTGCCACAAAGCACTAAGTCATGTTTTGCAGAGGGGTCAAATACTTATTTCCCTCATTAAAATGCAAATCAATTTATAACATTTTTGACATGCGTTTTTCTGGATTTTGTTGTTGTTATTCTGTCTCCCACTGTTCAAATAAACCTACCATTAAAATTATAGACTGATCATGTCTTTGTCAGTGGGCAAACGTACAAAATTTGCAGGGGATCAAATACTTTTTTCCCTCACTGTAGCTGTTGCTAAGTGATAATTGACGCTTCCGCTTTGTGTTGTTTATTTCTGATAGTTTTCTAAACCTATGAAGATGTCCAGTGAAGCCAGATTTGTTGACACCACAACACAGTACAGACTTGGATACACATTATCCTGAACACTAATCAATAACAACGTCTGTTAAATTCGCTGCTCTGTATTTCTTGTTTACAGAGGGCCATTTCATAGGGAATTGTCAGAGACGCTCTCGCATTGTTACATAACCAACATTTCGAGAATAAACATTTTACATTTACATTTTAGTCATTTAGCAGACGCTCTTATCCAGAGCGACTTACAGTTAGTGAGTGCATACATTTTTCATACTGAGAAGAGGCTAACATGGGAGCCATTCTAAAACCTGGCCGAACTCTCTCTCTATATAGCTCTGATCTAAACTTGTTGTGAATTCACTCCTTATTTTTAGGGATAAGAGTTTTTCCTGACCATGTGACCTGACCAAAGTGAGAGAGGTAAGTAATTGGCAATAATAGGTAATAGATATTTTTTCTTTACAAGGAGGCAAGAAAACTAAACTAATATCCTCACCATACTGCAAGAAAACTGGGATAACTAATGTGGTAACCTAAGTTTGTGAGCAACTTTCACTAATCATGTGACAGGTTTTTGGCAGAAGAACAGTAGAGGTTATTAGGAAACACTTTTATCTCACAGGAAGATGCTTATAGATGTCTTCAGTCATCTTTACCAATGATGCATGTTATTGTCGGTTCAGACTGAACATCATTAGGACAGGATGTGTGTTTCTTTATTGAGATGAAAGGCATCTATTTATTCTGCAGACAGACGTGTAAATTGAGTCACTCAGAAACAGAATAGATAGGCTATGTCAGAACACTTGTTTCATGGTGAAATTAATTTACCACAGAGCATAACTGTGGCCTATTCTTATATCTGTGAAACTCAATTGCTGTCTGCGTTCAGCAGTACAGTAAGTGCTGAAAGCGTGACTGTTATCAGCATCGAAAGTACTTTTGTAACTGTTGTGCAAGAGGAGAAATCATGAGCTGTTGGTTTTATCTACATCTGAATCTGTTGGATGTAGTGTTTTCAGATCAGCACTGAAGATTGGTATATTCATCAAGTTCTTTGACTAAAAGTATTTCCGTCCTTGACTGCGATAAAGAGACCAAAAGGAGATAGTGGGGAGAGAAGACACTCTAACTTGCTGTACAAAAAACATCAACACAGAGTAATGGGTTTACAATGACATTTTATACCATGGCTATAATTTCACACTTTTAACACAATTGCCGCTAGAAATGTGTTCATTTACAGGTAGAAATGAATTCAACATCCACTGAAGTAGCTAGCAAGTATACTAGATAGCTACAGTAGTGCCTTGGTAAACAAACAAACAGACTTGCTAGTTTAGCTCAGCGGTTCCCAAACCGTGGGGCGCGCCCCCCCTTTTTTTAAACGGAACTCAGTCTAGCTTTCAACTTACTCTTGTAATAGTAGAATGCACAAGGTGTGATTTTGAAATTGGGTAATGCATCATCATCATTTCCTCTTGTCATAGCATACCTTAGAGAGCTATAACATGTCAGAAATGTCCAGATCAACTAGCCCATGTCAGCTAACGTTTTTTAGCTAGGTTTTTTAGCCCATAGATTTTGTTGTAATGTTTGAGTAACTCAAATATCACATGAATACACATTAGACGTGGCAAAATGTATAGAGTTGCATGAAAATGAGCTTTAAAACTGCAAAATATTCTCTGCATCCCATGACAAAATGTGTATAATTGCAGGAAATAGACTTAAAAAATTTTCTCTCCACCAACAAGAGGGGTGTGAACAGTTTATGTCATGAACAGTGCTTGTGCCCATAGAAATAGACGTGGCGTGAAAATCGAATTCAAAAGCAGCTCAAACATAGAACATGTAAGAATGAACTATAGCCATTGAATTCTACCTTGCTGATATACCATGCATTATAGGAAAATAATGCACGCTCTAAATTGTCCTTCAAGCCAATCAGAAACAAGTATTCAACATTGCCATAGTATAAAAATTATTAATCAACATTACAGTTTTATACATCAGTAAACATTCCATCAATAAGAATTTATGGCAAATTCCACTTAATTATCTTAAATAGAGGCTCTTTGCAGCTGCAGGGATCCAGACTAATTTCCCCCTGGTGCCACTGGTGCCACTTACATTTTCAGTTGGTGGCACCAGCCCATAATTTGGACGCACCAAATGTTTTCGCAGCATCACGCAATAGGAAAAAATGTGCAACCGTTTTATAAAGACATTCACAGTGCTGCTGAGATGGTATGATTTAGAAAATAAGTTGTTTCATCTAACATAAATAATAAAAAAAAGCCTTTTGTGAATTAAAGCTTGCACTTGACTCTTTTCCCTCATACTAGCTGACTTTGCTGATAGCTACTTTATTGAGGAAAAATGTATTTACTTACTATGACTGTGATACAGTATGTGGCTGTCCCACCTAGCTATCTTAAGATGAACGCACTGTAAGTCGCTCTGGATAAGAGCATCTGCTAAATTACTAAAATGTCAATGCAAAATGGAACATGTCCAAGCAGGAATGCATGATCAAGATATTTTGATGTGTACCCTAAACCAGTGATTGTCATGAATGGGTTGACAATTAGGCTATTGTTGCTATATTTTACACTCAAAATAGGGCTCCAGAACTGCAGATTTATTTTGTTAAATAGATATACATTTTCTTACATCTATTGTGTGTACAAATATCACATAGGCTAATTAATTTGGAGCTAATTTACCATCTGTAAACTCAAAATGCATTAGTTAGATCGCTAAATATAATATGCTGGTTGTTAGTTGTGTAATTGATTAATCTAACAGTAAATGTAATTTCCTAAAAACTTTGCAGCATACCCAATAATTTATATATAGGCCTGTGCAATCACCTCAAATGGCAAATGCGCACTTCCCGCACTCCACTCCGTATATCTCAAAGATATAGCCTACCAGATAGTTTGGTTAAAAACTGTGCTTAAACAGTCAACATTGAGAGTTGAGAAATACATGTAATACCATCAGAAAGCTGAGACCCTCCTCTCCCCAACAGTCACAACAGCTTCCAAACTTTTATTTTCCCGCAATTGCATTTTGAAATGTTACAATTAGAATGCATTTTGCTCTACCACTAACCTATTTGTGAGCAGCAAGGGAAAAACAAGCACAGGGACAGGGCAGGCAATTTCATGCAGGGATCAGAAAAATAATGCACTTTAGATTTGACCAAATCATGGTTTTAGCCGCCCCCAAAAAGAACGTTTTGAGAGAAGTGAAGTGACCAGCTAGAAATGGCAGCCTGCACCGATGCAACCAATTAAAATGTAACTCGCACAGCCAAGTCAAAACCCAGATAACAAATGTTGTTTCTGGGAACATTTTGGGAAGGTTATATTTCTAAGAACCAAAGGAGAACCTTTAGGGAACGTTACGGAAACGTTCCGTGTTAGCTGGGAAAATCTCAAAATGCGACTAAATGGTTGCAGTCTGGAGCCCTGAAGCTGCCATCATACACTGAGTATACAAAACATTAAGGACACCTGCTCTTTTCATGACATACACTAACCATGTGAATCCAGGTGAAAGCAATGATCCCTTATTGATGTCACTTTTTAAATTCACTTCAATCAGTGTAGATGAAGGGGAGGAGACAGGTTAAAGAAGGATTTTTAAGCCTTGAGACAATTGAGACATGGATTGTGTATGTGTGCCATTCAGAGTGTGAATGGGCAAGACAAAATATTTAAGTGCCTTTGAACAGGGTACGGTAGTAGGTGCCAGGTGCACCTGTTTGCTTGTGTTAAGAACTGCAACGCTGCTGTGTTTTTCACGCTCAACAGTTTCCTGTGTGTATCAAGAATGGTCCACGAGCCAAAGGACATCCAGACAACTTGACACAACTGTGGGAAGCATTGGAGTCAACATGGGCCAGCATCCCTGTTGAATGCTTTCTACACCTTGTAGAGCCCATGCCCTGACGAAAGGGCAACAGGGGTGGTGTTCCTAATGTTTGGTATACATTTGAAATGATGTGGAATGTGGAAAAAAATGAAATAAAATTGAATACGTTATACTTTTGATAATGTGGAGCGGAGCCTTAAGACTGTAATCAATATTAAATAAATGAATTGGACATATTTCTTATACATATTTTTTATAAAAATGTTTCAGTTCAAATAAGATCAAATAGCCTGCACAAAACAGGTTTATGCACATGTATGCTGTGCAACATTGTCATTCTACTGAAGTTACATCTACCAGACATCTATCCACAATATATCATTCAGAGGAACTAGTTGCTGTTTTTCCATTGTTTTCAGATAATATTTAGGAATATGTGTTCCTTATTGAGACTGAATCATAACCTATACTCAATGAATGAGGTTGATTAGTTGTTACATTTTTTCCCAAAATCTAAAATAATATTTTTGTAATCTCAGGTGTTGAAAAATATCAAACACTTAACCAATACTACCTGGAATGCACATTGACAATTAATATTGTGATGGAACTGTAATGGTAAGCCATTAAGGCTCTGCTTCTGCTTGATTGAGTTGTCCACTCTTGGTATCACTCACAAGCCAGTTTGCCATCGAAGGAGGAGAGGGTGATGGCGAAGGCCTGCAGGGGACACATAGGGAAGCTATAGTCCATGGAGAATACGTCCTCTGCTACCCGACCAAACTGCATCACAATGTAGTCCTCTGGAATGGAGTGTAAATGTGCAGGGGGTGGGGGGTTGGATAGCAGTACATTATAAAAGGGTTAGTTGGCATTGGGGGTGGGAGCATATTTCCCACAAGCGAATGATGAGCTATCATAGCTATGATATCATAGCTACCCTATGCAACTTCTAACTTTATTCACTACATGCAGAAATATACGGTATTCTAAGACAGTTTATAGCCAATCAGGTGGCACCTCTATTTCTCAGCAAACAATGGCCCCATCTTACCGTTGTCAGGGTGGACGATTTGGAAGTTTTTGACGGAGGCCTGTGTGACGCGGCCGTGGAAATTGAGCACGTAGGACTGTGTCTGTTCGTTCCAGCTGGGGGACTTGTTCATGAGGCACACTAGGTTGTCAGTGTTACCATTCTCATAGCGGGAGAGCAGAGACTCTATATCCTGAGAGATGACAGTAGAGAACGGAGAGAGTAGTAAACAGACTGTCCGTACCATATCTTTATTCATATAGGTACTCATTCTATTCTCTTATTCTATTCTGCATCATATTTATTGGTTTAGTGCTCTTATGAATTTAGCATTAGGTCTCAATCTCAGGAGTCTTAGGTCTCTATAAACATACACTTTTTGGGCGAATGCACACTCTCTCATCATTCTCCATCATGCCAGGAATAACCACCGTCATTTTCCTGGGGCCTTTGAAACCTAGAACATTCTTCTCCTGAAAGACAAAAATACAGAAGAGAAGAAGGTCATAGTTATTGGTTGGATTAATTTTTATCAGGAGGCAAAGGCCTACAGTAAACGAAGGAAGTCATTGTAAAGATGTAAAATTAGGTTTGACTCACATAACAGATTGCCGCAAGCTCTTGCCGAACAGACTCACACTCTTTGACGAAAGGCTTCTTATCTGGGTTATCCCCGCCGTCAAACACTGTGAATTTGGTGCCTAGCACATTTGATCTGAAAGAGATTGATCATGAGATGTACATTGTACTGTAAAGTTCAACAGAAGAATGGGATAGATGGACACCTTAAATAAACAGACATATTTTTTAATTTACAGTCATTTAGCAGATGCTCTTATCCAGCGCGACTTACAGTTAGTGAGTGCATACATTAATTTTCATACTGGGAATCGAACCCACAACCCTGGCGTTGCAAACACCATGCTCTACTAACTGAGCAGAACAAAAAAATAAAGACCAAACCAAATTAAAAGTTGGTCACAAAAAAAGTAAATAAATAATGGTTGAACATAGATAGGTTGGGGGTTAGTTACCGTAGTTTGCCTATATAACTGTCTGTGTCTCTGGAAAGTTCTGTTGGATCAATGGAAATGAGATAATTGGAGGTTTTGCACTTCTTCCTCTTCCTGCCTGCCATTAAAAACACCTAAGAGAGGTAGAGAGAAAAAGGGGTATAAAGGGAGGATGGAGGGAGGGATCAAGAATGTACAATGATAAAACAGCAGTTACATAAATGTAATCATTCTGATGATCAAACTGCCACAAAGGCTGGCCAATCATATACAGCCCAAGGAAAGACTTGCAACAAGAGCATTCACATTGGCCAGCCATACATTCCATTGAACCTTTTCTTTAGTACCCTTACCCTCTTCCCATCCTCCTTCTCCATATGGAGATAGTAGGTGGGGTACATTCCTTTCTCCACGCCCCTCCTGTCCCGAGTGATTCTGCATTGGATTGTTGTATCTCTAGGGGCTGGATGCAGGGCAAACTTTTCAAGATCTTCAACTGAGATAGGAGTTGTCACCTGAGAGACAGAGACAGGAGGAAAATGATGTTTTTTCAGATATAAATCGTCTGGATAAAAGAGACATTCATAAGGTAATGGCTACCATATCTAGGTTAAAGGGAAAGTGGTTCATTTCTAAAATGGACAAACACTGGTCTTTAAGAGTGACGTTTTTATCACACTCTTACTCTTCCAATGTCGTCGTCACTATCTGAGGTGTCCTGATGCCTGTAGTTGGAGTTAAGCGGTGCGAGATTGGTTTTGGTTTTCTCCGCAGTTTTTCTCTTTTTTGGAGTTTTCTCTTTTTTCTCTCTTTCAAGAATTTCATCTTCCTCCCTCTCATTGTCGCTTATTTGGCACCTTGCTGTAGCAGTGGAAACAACATATTCATAATTATTTCATGTAAACAAAAAGAAAACTCTTTGCAGTATACCGGTAGTTTAGTTTAGTTTATAACGGTAATTGTACACTGAACAAAAATATAAACACAACATGAAACAATTTTAAAAGATTTTACTGAGTTACAGTTCATATAAGGAAATCAGTCAATTTAAAAAATGCATTAGTCCATAATCTATTGGTTTCACATGACTGGGAATATAGATATGCATCTGTTGGTCACAGATATCTTTTTTTTAAAGTAGGGGCGTGGATCAGAAGACCAGTCAGTATCTGGTGTGACCACCATTTGCCTCATGCAGCGCGACACATCTCCTTTGTATAGAGTTGATCAGGCTGTTGATTGTGGCCTATGGAATGTTGTCCCACTATTCTTCAATGGCTGTGCGAAGATATTGGCGGGAACTGGAACATGCTGTCGTACACGTCAATCCAGAGCATCCCAAACATGCTAAATGGGTGACATGTCTAGTGAGTGTGCAGGCCATGGAAGAACTGGGAAATATTCAGCATCCAGGAATTGTGTACAGATCCTTGAGACATGGGGCCGTGCATTCTCATGCGGAAACATGAGGTGATGGCGGCGGATGAATGGCATGACAATGGGTCTCAGGACCTCGTCACGGTATCTCTGTGCATTCAAATTGCCATCGATAAAATGTAATTGTGTTCGTAGCTTATTTACATTTTAGCAGACACTCTTATCCAGAGCGACTTACAGTTAGTGAGTGCATACATTTTTCATACTGGTCCCCCGTGGGAATCGAACCCACAACCCTGGCGTTGCAAGCGCCATGCTCTACCAACTGAGATATAGGAGGGACCATAACCCCACCGCCACCAATGGGCACTCTGTTCACAATGTTGACATCAGCAAACTGCTCGCCCACACAATGCCATACACGCTGTCTGCCATCTGCCCAGTACAGTTGAAACCAGGATTAATCCGTGAAGAGCACACTTCTCCTACATGCCAGTGGCCATGGAAGGTGAGCATTTGCCCACTGAAGTCGGTTACGACTCCGAACTGCAGTCAGGTCAAGACCCTGGTGAGGACGAAGAGCATGCAGATGAGCTTCCCTGAGACAGTTTCTGACAGTTTGTGCAGAAATTCTTCTGTTGTGCAAACCCATAGCTGTCTGGGTGGCTGATCTAGCCGATCCCACAGGTGAAGAAGCTGGATGTGGAGGTCCTGGGCCGGCGTGGTTACACATGGTCTGCAGTTGTGAGGCCGGTTGGACGTACTGCCAAATTCTCTAAAATTACGTTGGAGGCGGCTTATGGTAGAGAAATTAACATTACATTTTCTGGCAACAGCTGTGGTGGACATTCCTTCAGTCAGCATGCCAATTGCATGCTCCCTCAAAACTTGAGACATCTGTGGCATTGTGTTGTGTGAAAAAACTGCACATTTTAGAGTGGCCTTTTATTGTCCACAACACAAGGTGCACCTGTGTAATGATCATGCTGTTTAATCAGCTTCTTGATATGCCACACCTCTCAGGTGGATGGATTATCTTGGCAAAGGAGAAATGCTCAGTAACAGGGATGTAAACAAATTTGTGCACAAAATCTGAGAGAAATAAGCTTTTTGTGCGTATGGAACATTTCTGGGATCTTTTATTTCAGCTCATGAAACACGGGACCAAACCTTTACATGTTGCATTTATATTTATGTTCAGTATCCCTTGCAAACGTATGACTCACATGTGTTGAGGTGTTGTTTTTTCTTGGGTGTTCCTGGGATGGGGCTGTTTGACCAATCCTTTCTCTCGCCATCACTGTCCCATTCAGGTTTATTTGCCACTGGCGTCTCAAACTCTACTACTGAATCAATCTGAATGGCTGGAGACTTAGTGATGGTGTTTGCTGGAAATGGAGAGAAATATAAAATATGGTAATGCTGAATGTAGTAATAAAATGTATTATAAAACATTTAGTTTTACCCTGCATATTGTGTACAGTATGTAGCTACAGCATCCAATAACTTTGCAGTCACATCAACTTTGTTTTCAATATGTCTTGTTTTTCTGGAAATAATATCTACTAGTTAGTCACAGGAAACAGATCAAAGCAGCTAGATCTCTAGTGCATTTACAGAATATGAGGAGAATGAAATATACAGTACATGACTTTGGGTACTTTTTAATGTTCGTCCAAGTACATTGCTGCTAGTTCTAGAGTACATCAGTTTTATAGGACGACAACAAACGTGCTTGATCAATGGATTATAGACATACACCTTGCCCTCCTGAAGAGGATCAGAATACCTGGGTCTGTCTGGCTCGGTTCCGTACCCGATGCCCACTGAATAGGGCAGTCAGGCTATCGTGAGCCATTTACTGTTTGCCCTTTCATAGCACAACAGTGGCATTGGAGCCAAAGTTACGTCTCAAGGGGCAAGGCATACAGATGCCATTAGCTGTAACTCTTGTTCTTCTATAAAACACAAACCGATGACAAGGCATTCAAAACCCAGCCTTCCGAGCAAGCATTTGTAACCATGTCTGTGCACTTCTCAGATACAGTGGTAGAGGTTATCCATCACACATTCAGCATGGTGTATGACATTTGTATCTCTTACCCTCTTGTTCATCAGTCTTGTTTTTTTTCTCTTTACTTGGGGTGGGTCCTTTCACTTTGTCCTTCTTTGTTTTTCTCTCTCGCTTTTCCTTCTCTTTCTCCTTCTCTTTCTCCTCTCCCTCATCCTCATTCTGTTCCAACTCTAAAACATTATAGACAGAATGGTATTTTCTTTACTACATTTTGAGGAAGCCTCCTCTGACAAACAATCACAGACACACACACACACATACACACACCACACACAGCAAACACACAGCAAAAATACACAACACACAACACACACACACACAATATCCTGTGTGTATGTGTCGTGTGTATGTTGTGTATTTTGCTGTGTGTTTTCTGTGTGTGTGTGTGTGTGTGTGTGGTATCTCATAGGTTAAAATGATCTCACGTTTTGCTTGCCCCTTCTCCTTTTTCACACATTTCTCTTTTTTCTCCTTCTTTTTCACTTCCGCAGGGCCTTCATTTTCTGTGCTAAGTTTTGGCTGTGGCTGGCTGTCAATGTCCACGTCCATAGTCTTGGTGATGATGTATTTCTCGGGGGGCATCTCATCTGTAGCATCATTCGTTTTTAGGCTGAGCTCTCCCAGAGTAATTTCCTCCAGTGGGTTATCATGGGCCTCTTCAGCTGAAGAGTATAACATGCCCATTACAAGTCAGACATACAGTACTAGATGGTTATTGGTAAAATATGTCAAACAAATAGTTCTCGCCCACATCTTGACATAGGTTGTAACCATTCAACAGTGTTTTATTCTTGATAAGAATTGTGTCAATACGAGGACATGTATTTGAAAGGCTGATAATATAGCTAACACAGTTGTATGGCTGTTCTGTGGTTCAGTATACTGCATTGTGAGAGTACTATACAGTGAGTGTTCATATCACCAACCATTTAAGGAGTTGTTGCTCTGGGATTGCGTAATCAACAGGTCTGTGTCATCTGCTCCAGTCTTCTGCTTGCTTTTCTTGGGTCGAGCGTCCCTATTGGCTGTGACCATTTGGGTATCGGCCCTCCGTCTCTGCTGCTTCTTCATCAAAAGGGAACGCTGAGGGAGATTCTGGTGTTAATCTTAATTCCAAGATTGCATCAATGTTCTGCCTCTCCATCAGGTTCAAAAACACAACAACCACTTGCATCACTTTCATAAGAGGTTTACCTATTTCTTTGATTAGCCTATATGTAAGGGTAACTAATAGTTATTTCTTATTTTAATATTGTCATGTTTAATCTATACCTCTAAATGTAACATGTTACATTGTTTCAATATTTATAATTTAAACTACAACATCCATGAATAGCACCAAAATAAGTACATATGATTTTCTTTCGAATAGGTTAAATTGGGGTTTATGTAGAGGACTAGTATCTAGAGAGACTGGTTGCTTTTATTTGGCATGTATACACTGGATCCGTACACCACACCATTGGTGACATTTGCCTTCATTACACAATATTGTCATGAATGTCAGTTTAGTGGAAGTCATCTGAAATACGATTTTGATTTCCTTACCTGATTGTCCAGCTTTAGTTGACGCAATTCTGGGTCCTCCATGGCTAAAGTAATTGTACTGTAAATAAGACTCCAATAAGACCCCTAATGACCGTCTGCTGAGAAGCAGATATCTAAATAGATTTACCTGGACAAATGTGCAGCCTGCAGACAAATAATACAACTACAGATTCTCAAGTAAACATGCATCAATGAAAACATGAAACGTGTTTCATTCTATCTCTCTTTCTCCGTCTGACATAAGCATATGCACCTGCATGCAACAGAAGGTAAAGTGGATTAAGAGGGATAATGTTCTTAAACTCCATGGCATAGCACATGCAGTATGGACTGGTGAGTGGTGACTGAGCTGACCAGTGACTAATAACATTGAGTCATTGAAAGAGTCATGTTTAATGTGTAAGAAGAAACATATAATGTGTAATGTATTTGATATGTTATTTAATGTACATACATCTATACCAAAAGTAGGCATATTAATTGATTGTAGCCTATTATTAATTTGCTATAATGAAACAAGGACATCCCTGTAGGCTATCAGTCTTCTACTTCTATGAGACTTCAAACAAATGACATTTTATAACTGAGAAACGAATTGTCAAACAAATTGCTACAGCACATATGCAGCGAAAATTATTTATTTCCAAGCCTTTGTGCTTGAGTTTATTATAAGGGGGCTTGTGTTCATTCTACTGTGCGCGCAATGCAGTGAGCAATCTTTACTGGTGGTGCGCCACCGGAAGAATAAAAAAACGGTGTTGCTAGGACACGTTAGTGTAAACGAAAAAGTGTCATCTAGCATTTCATTTCAGATTTTTTTTGCTGATGCAAATTAGTTTCAAATCGATACATTTATCTACAACTTAGCTAATTGCAGTTATATTTAGGCGGAGAAATGAAATTGACTGGGATAATAAAGGTAAGAGAGTGTGTGACAAACTGATGTTAGCTAGCTAGCTAGCTGTCAACTGAAAGAGCTTGGACATTTAGCATTTTAGGTAGCAAGCTAGCTAACTGTTAGCTGTATGCCCCCAATTCATTGCTATTGAATTTGGGGCATATAGCTTTTTTTTCTTATTTAATTGCTATATTGTAGATACATTTCATGAATTGAGTACTTTCTTTTATAGGAACCTCACCCCCTGAACCCCAAAGTCTTGCTATGGTAGGGGGCACATGCAGCTGTATTGAAGATGTTTCTGCAAACTATAGGCCTACACTTAGATTGAAATTCTCTATTTATGTGTGTTCCCAGGGCAGATGTAAGCTACAGTGACATGGAGGAAATTGAAAACACCAAGACCATACCAGAGCTAGAGAGGTCTCTATCCTTGTTTGTAGCCACACACGCACACAAAATCCCCGACATAGTGGTTAACTGCTTACTTTTTTACTCAGAACTCTATGCTCTGTGCTGGGAGTAAACATTCCTGAGCCGAGGAGGGGAGTCCTGCTGGAGCTCTATGTCCACACAGTGCTGTTCTGTAGAGAGAGCAACTTCAACAGGGAGCAGACATCTGCCCTCCTCTCCATCGTCAAGAGCATGCATCAGGTTAACACTGGTAATGGGCTACTGCTCATAGTTTGGTCTTGTGCCGTTTTAGTTAGAGGAAGACCATTTAATTATGTCAGCAGCATTGACTCTGCAATTCTTTGTTCAGAAAGTCCACTCAACAACATGGGCCATTGCTTTGCATACTGCAGTGAACTTCTGCTCTGTCACTCTGTCAGGGTGAGTTTGTGTATCCAAAGAGACAATACTGTTTATTCCCACATCTTCTATTCCCTTCACAATCTCACCAATGTATGAATTGTAATTCAGTCATGTGTTCTGGAGGTTTTCATGGACAAACTCTTAAAATTTCACCATTATTCTATTGTTTTCTACCTGCCACAGAGACCTCCCTTCAGTATCAGCCTGTTCAGCTCTGAGGAAGTGACCCAGATCTTGAAGTATCTCCTCAACACCTATATTAGACATTACAATCTGTACAAGTACATATTCACCCCTCAGGTAATTTCCACACGAGATAGATATCTGGGAGCCATATATTTTTCTAAATAACGCTGACATTGTGTGTTTTGTTTGGGGCTAAGCTATGACTTGAAGTCAGTGTTTTGCTCCTTGTCTCTTAGGTTAAATTGGATCTGTCTTTTTCCTACTCTGGCATGCCAGACGAAGACCCTGCCACTGAGGACGCAGTATCATCAGGTCAGTGTTATTGTGCAAATACTGAAATATCCACCGCACCCATGTGATCAGGAGAACAGTATGAATTAATGTTTTATCTGTGTGCACCAGCTGGGTACTGCAATAAGGAAAACGAGCCAGAGACTGCAGAAGAAGGGGAGCAGCCCATTGAAGCAATGAACACAGGGCCAGAGGTGGCTAATACAGGTATTACACGGCTTGCTCATGCAAGGCACCCGTATAGACGAGAGAAATTGTGTTGTAACACGCCTGGTTCTAAATAAAGACACTTCAGTTGCAACTTGTGACATTTCCTGTTTGTAAAAGTGCCTCTCTTCTCTATAAGATCCATCGCCCAAGTCAGAGTTGAGGATGATAATACAACAGGAAATGAGAGAGGAGATGATGCACTTGTCAAGGCAACTAGAGCAACGATTGAAGGAAAGTGCAGATCGGGTAAATAGTGCTCTGACTTCACTGGAGACCAACCTCCAAGGCAAAAAGTAAACGTAAAAGCCTGATTTTATCTATGTATTTCATTCTGTTCTTTGCACATGCTGTTCTTTGCAGTAAAACACTGTTAGTCAAATTTGAGATATAGGTTGTTTGTGGGTGTCTGTCAGTAAAGAGATTGATTACGTAACCATGTTTTTGTTAACTCCTTTACCACAAAATCAACACACAAATATGACAAAGTAAATAGGTTACTTTTATTATTATTATAAATAAAACATGTCTTTTATAGTTATACAATTATTGTACACCACTTATTGAGGAATGCCAGTTTCATTCAGGCAAAGGTACACTTAGTTGAGTAAATCTCACACTGGACTGAAAAGGAATGCTATTTGTTACAATAATTGTTGTATTGCACTAAACACCAAACGCAGAAAGGAAACTAATCTGACTGGGGTAACGGTTATTTCGTCTTTTCCTATACCCTTATCTTAAAATATCAGTGGAAATTGGAAAACTATATTTGGAATGTTTAATGTTTCTTCTGCAATCACTATGTTATTTTAGATTCAGTAAGAATACATGATTGTTAAAATACAGGTTTAGGTAGCAAATAGAAGTAAACAATGAAAAAAGAATGTTACGCCAACTCGATAAAGAATGTCATACCAATAAAATACTTTTACTTTTCAAGCATTAACTGCATCATCGGTATGGATATATGTTCACCTTTTTTGCCCTATGTGTACAATATAGTGCATTGAAGTGGCTTTGTCACTTTTGCTTCCTAAAACCATTGCCAGCTGATTTGAGTAGTCTCAAAAAGCACTCTCTTGGAACCTACATCGATCTCAAATCCACTTAACCATAAATAATTATGAGCCATTATCTGCATTAAGGCTAACATGTCACTGGACCCTGAATTCCTCATCATATGTAACGAGACCTAACATTCATAAGGAAAAGAATATGCACACCAAAAAAAAAACCTGTTAAACTACATAAGGTTAATGCAGTTACTAGAACAAGTATGACCTTTTAAGTTTCAAAGTCCTCTAAACCAAGAAGCAATATTTTAGCCGTATTCTGGAAGAGGGCAGCCCTGTTTTGCTGCTCCCCTTTCTTAACCCAGTGTCCATAGATCCTGAAGGCGCAGCCGTCGATAAGTTTGCGCACTCCCTTCAGGGAGTAGGGGTCTCTGGCCAGGACCTCCCGCGTCAGTGGCCTGGCCCTGCGGTAGCGACAGTACATACGGATACAGGCCAGCACACTCAGGATCAGTACCTACAGGAACAGTGAAAGGGACGTGCATTAAAACACACACACGTTAATGCTTCACAACCTCCCAGAAGATCCCCATCTTCCAGTCAAAGCACAAATCCAATTGGATGCAATGGAAATCTAATTCTGGCTCAGCTGTTCATTTTACAGTCACTGGAGCCAAATAACACAAAATACATAGAAACTTACCCTGAATGTCTTCCGGGGACTGAAGTGACGCACCTCGTCCCTTTGGTACTGCCTAAAGAAGGAATGAGCCAAGGCTTGTTCAGCGGTGAGACGGACAATTGGGTCCACCACCAGCAACCTGGTAATCTAACAGTTGTGAAAGAGAGAAGTCATAAAACAATGCCAGTCAGAGAAAGTGTATCGATGTTCATATTCAACATATTCTTTAAATGACATATAGTATAACTTGACCTTGAAATATACAAATCAGTCCTTGAATCATAGATAGGAACTAGAGACAGGATGACGTCTCACCAGATCTTTGACGGTGTCAGACCTGTCATCCCACTCTGGGGAGCTGAACTGGTAGCGGCCCTCCATGATCATTCTGAGCATCAGCAGCTGTTTGCGGTGCCAGAAGGGTGGAGAGCCAGCCAGCAGGGTAAACAGAATCACCCCACACGCCCAACTAACACACAGAAAACCAGATACAGTTTCTGGAACAGAATCTTCACTGATTCATAAAATAGTTTGGTGCCCTTATATTACAAATAACAAAATGTTATTAGGACTATCTGATTACTGATAGTGATCATTTTAAGACTTACAGGTCAACTTCCTTCCCATATCCCTGATGCGTCTCATCCATGGAGCATTTCAGGATTTCAGGTGCCAAATAACCTGGCGTCCCACAAAGCTCTAGCCGTTTGGAGAGAACAAAGCAATTCCACATTTGAGCTATGTGGGCAATTAATGGATTATGTCTTCAACTTTTTATTTTGTTGATGAGAGTGTAAATCCAAAATACAGCGAGTTCATTTCAATCTACTCTCTCACCTCTCAGATTCTTGCCTGGCTGAAGCTGGACAGAGAAGCCAAAGTCAGAGAGTTTGATGTGTCCCTGGTCATCCAGCAGAATGTTTTCAGGTTTCAGGTCCCGGTGAACTATGTTGAGGGAATGGAGGTATTGGACAGCTTCCAGGAGACATCGCATCATACACCTGATGAGAGAGAGAGGGAGAGAGAGACAATTGAGAAGATCTGGAGTGCATTTTTGGCTTGGGTTATAACTGACCAAAACCTAGACACTCACCTAGTTTCCTTCTCACTGAGAGTGACCTTCTCTGTCAGGTAGTCGAAAAGCTCTCCACTCCTCATGCTGCAAAAGGAACCATAATGATAGAAAACACTTGAGTAGGTGAACACTATGAAAAGACAGGATCATTAAAACGCATCACAAAAAAACACAGCTACACATGTAATAATTAATTAGGCTTTATAAATGCATACTTACAGGTCAAATACCAAAAATATGAAGGTTGTTGACTCATAGGAATCAATGAGAGTGACTTGGAGAAAGATGAAGAAAGAGTTTATCATTAGCATATTGCATTTCAAGAGACATGAGTAAGCTATTTTAAAAATGCCCTTCGGTGCATTGGTGAAGGTAGTACAAACTCACTGATAGAGGAGTGTCCTTTGACCATATTGAGGACCTGGATCTCCTTCAGTGTGGAGCTCTTCACCTCTTCCAGCTGCTGTGCCGTCATCTTCTCAGCTGTGATCTCTATAATCTTCACTGCCAACTCCTGCCCTGTGTGCTTGTGCACACATCTGCGCACCACACTACTCACACCTCTGCAAGGACAAAAAAAAGAGGTATCGTAAAGGTTAAATTCAAATTGGATGAGTAGTCGGGCAAGTTGAGCCTGCTTTGTGGTTGCCCCATGGGGCAATTATTATTATCATTCACGTTTTTTACTGAAAACAACCAAATTGCACAACAAATCCTGTATGTTTAAGTAAAAGACAGACAGGTTATGGCATTTGTGTGTAAACAGCTACATTTTCTGGGCAAGTTATCATAATCTTCAGGCAACCAAAAAGTACTCCTGACTTGCCCAAAGGCCAAGTGCCTTTCAGACCTTAATGTCAATCCCTGAGCTAAGCGAAACAATTGTAGCTTTTGTGATAGAGGCACCACATTTCACACACAGCTAGGGCATGTCTAAAGTATTTTTGGCTATAGTCCAATCACAGATTTGATCAATTTCAAATATGGCCGCAAACCAGCTCCATTGACAGGTTGATTGTTTAGCAACAAAACCAATGCGTGCGCAACTATGGGGCAAAACAGACGCGGTTGGCTTAGAATGTTGACAACATGTAAGAGCGCGATGAGCCAAGTAAAGGCCCCCTGGCCAAACCTGGACGACGCTGGGCCAATTGTGCGCCGCCCTATGGGACTCCCGGGATCGAACCCGGGTCTGTAGTGACGCCTCTAGCGCTGCGATGCAGTGCCTTAGACCGCTGCGCCACTCGGGAGGTCCCCTTACTACACATTTCTTGTGTTACAGCCTGAATTCAAAATGTATTAACTAGATTTTTTTCCCTCTCTCACCCATCTACACACAATACCCCATAATGACAAAGTGAAAACATGTTTTTAGAAATTGTTGCTAATTTATTGAAAATGAAATACTGACATATCTAATATACACAAATATTCACACCCATGTCAATACTTTGTAGAAGCACATTTTGTAGCGATTACAGCTGTGAGTCTTTCTGGGTAAGTCTCTAAGAGCTTTCCACACCTGAATTGTGAAACATTTGACAATTACTATTTTCAGAATTCTTCAAGCTCTGTCAAATTGGTTGTTGATCATGGCTAGACAACCATTTTCAGGTCTTGCCATAAATTAACTCTTCTTGGTAAGAATTTACTGTCTTCTTGGTAAGCAACTCCAGTGTAGATTTGGCCTTGTGTTTTAGGTTATTGTCGTGCTGAAAGGTGAATTCATCTCCCAGTGTCGGATGGAAAGCAGACTGAACCAGGTTTTCCTCTAGGATTTTGCCTGTGCTTAGCTCCATTAGGTTTTTTTTATCCTGAAAAACTCCCCAGTCCTTAACAATTATAAGCATTCCCATAACATGATGCAGCCACCACTATGCTTGAAAATATGGAGAGTGGTACTCAGTAATGTGTTGTATTGGATTTGCCCCAAACATAACACTTTGTATTCAGGACAAAAAGTGAATTGCTTTGCTACATTCTTTGCAGTATTACTTCAGTGCCTTGTTGCAAACAGGATGCATGTTTTGGAATATGTTTTATTCTGTACAAGCTTCCTTCTTTCACTCTGTCAATTAGGTTAGTATTGTGGAGTAACTACAATGTTGTTGATCCATCCTCAGTTCTCCTATCACAGCCATTCAACTCTGCAACTGTTTTAAAGTCACCATTGGCCACATGGTGAAATCCCAGAGTGGTTTGCTTCCTCTCCGGCAACTGAGTTAGGAAGAACACATGTATCTTTGTAGTGACTGGTTGTATTGATACACCATCCAAAAGTGTAATTAATAACTTCAGTGCTTTTTAAAATGTTTTTACCCATCTACCAATAGGTGCCCTTCTTTGCGAGGCATTGGAAAACCTCCCTGGTCTTTGTGGTTAAATCTGTGTTTGAAATTCACTGCTCGACTGCGGGACCTTACAGATAATTGTATGTGTGGGGTACAGAGATGAGTTAGTCATTAAAAAAATCATGTTAAACACTATTATTGCACACAGAGTGAGTCCATGCAACTTATTAAGCACATTTTTACTCCTGAACTTATTTAGCCTTGGCATAACAAAGGGGTTGAATACTTATTGTATTCATTTCTAATTAATTTGTAAAAATGTCGAAAAACAGAATTGCACTTTGACATTATGGGGTATTGTGTGTAGGCCAGTGACAAAAAAAATCTAAAATGAATCCATTTTAAATTCAGGTTGTAACAACAAAATGTGGAAAAATTCCCTGCGGCTAGGGAACCCTGACCTGTTCACCGGACGTGCTACCTTGTCCCGGACCTGCTGTTTTCGACTCTCTCTCTACCGCACCTGCTGTCTCGACCTCTGAATGCTCGGCTATGAAAAGTCAACTGACATTTACTCCTGAGGTACTGACTTGTTGCACCTTCTACAACCACTGTGATTATTATTTGACCCTCCAGGTCATCTATGAACGTTTGATCATCTTGAAGAACAATCTGGCCTTAAATGGCCATGTACTCTTATAATCTCCACCCGGCACAGCCAGAAGAGGACAGGCCACCCCTCAGAGCCTGGTTCCTCTCTAGGTTTCTTTCTAGGTTCCTGCCTTCCTAGGGAGTTTTTCCTAGCCACCGTGCTTCTACATCTGCATTGCTTGCTGTTTGGGGTTTTAGGCTGGGTTTCTGTATAGCACTTTGTGACATTTACATTTTAGTCATTTAGCAGACGCTCATCCAGAGCGACTTACAGTTAGTGAGTGCATACATTATTTTTGTTTTGTTTTCATACTGCCCCCCCCGTGGGAATCGAACCCACAACCCTGGCGTTGCAAACGCCATGCTCTACCAACTGAGCTACATCCCTGCCAGCCATTCCCTCCCCTACCCTGGACGACGCTTGGCCAATTGTGCACCGCCCCACGAGCCACTTACGATTACCCACATGGCAGTTTCTTGTCATTGTTGCTAGCCATTCAGAATCACAACTACTCACGGACTTCTGCCCCATTGAAGCGTGGGCATTGTTTTCGTGACGTTGTCAGCTAACCCATCTATATGGCCATCTCTCCATAAATAATAGGTACTTACAGCCCGATGATGGCTTAAAATGTGCAATATATGTATCCTTAAAATTCCAGTAAAAAATTTACATTGAAATAGGAAAGCTGCAAAAAAAGTACCACAAATTACTGTTTATTTAAAAAGAAAATCATGCCTAGTTCCAATATTATATATGTAAACAGTCTAAAAAATTTATATACAGTTGAAGTCAGAAGTTTACATACACCTTAGCTAAATACATTTAAATTCATTTTTTACAATTCCTGACATTTAATCCTAGTAAATATTCCCTGTTTTAGGTCAGTTAGGATCACCACTTTATTTGAAGAATGTGAAATGTCAGAATAATATTAGAGAGAATGATTTATTTCAGCTTTTATTTATTTCATCACATTCCCAGTGGGTCAGAAGTTTACATACACTCAATTAGTATTTGGTAGCATTGCCTTTAAATTGTTTAACTTGGGTCAAATGTTTCGGGTAGCCTTCCACAAGCTTCACACAATAAGTTGGGTGAATTTTGGCCCATTCCTCCTGACAGAGTTGGTGTAACTGAGTCAGGTTTGTAGGCCTCCTTGCTCGCACACGCTTTTTCAGTTCTGCCCACACATTTTCTATAGGATTGAGGTCAGGTATTTGTGATGGACACTCCAATACCTTGACTTTGATGTCCTTAAGCCATTTTGCAACAACTTTGGAAGTATGCTTGGGGTCATTGTCCATTTGGAAGACCCATTTGCGACCAAGCTTTAACTTCCTGACTGATGTCTTGAGATGTTGCTTCAATATATCCACATAATTGTCCTTCCTCATGATGCCATCTATTTTGTGAAATGCACCAGTCCCTCCTGCAACAAAGCACCCCCACAGCATGATGCTGCCACCCCCGTGCTTCACGTTTGAGATGGTGTTCTTCGGCTTCCAAGAAACCCCCCTTTTCCTCCAAACATAACGATGGTCATTATGGCCAAACAGTTCTATATTTGTTTCATCAGACCAGAGGACATTTCTCCAAAAAGTACAATCTTTGTCCCCATGTGCAGTTGCAAACCGTAGTCTGGCTTTTTTATGGCGGTTTTGGAGCAGTGGCTTCTTCCTTGCTGAGCGGCCTTTCAGGTTATGTCGATATAGGACTTGTTTTACTGTGGATATAGATACTTTTGTACCTGTTTCCTCCAGCATCTTTACAAGGTCCTTTGCTGTTGTTCTGGGATTGATTTGCACTTCTCGCACCAAAGTATGTTAACCTCTAGGAGACAGAACGCGTCTCCTTCCTGAGCGGTATGACAGCTGCGTGGTCCCATGGTGTTTATACTTGCGTACTATTGTTTGTACAGATGTACGTGGTACCTTCAGGCGTTTGGAAATTGCTCCCAAGGATGAACCAGACTTGTGGAGGTCTACATATTTTTTTCTGAGGTCTTGGCTAATTTCTTTTGATTTTCCCATGATGTCAAGCAAAGAGGCACTGAGTTTGAAGGTAGGCCTTGAAATACATCCACAGGTACACCTCCAATTGACTCAAATGATGTCAATTAGCCTATCAGAAGCTTCTAAAGCCATGACATCATTTTCGGGAATTTTCCAAGCTGTTTAAAGGCACAGTCAACTTAGTGTATGTAAACTTCAACCCACTGGAATTGTGATACAGTGAATTATAAGTGAAATAATCTGTCTGTAAACAATTGTTGGAAAAATTACTTGTGTCATGCACAAAGTAGATGTCCTAACTGACTTGCCAAAACTATAGTTTGTTAACAAGAAATTTGTGGAGTGGTTGAAAAATGACTTTTAATGACTCCAACCTAAGTGTCCAACTTCAGCTGTAAGTGTTTCCTGAAGTCTGATGATTACAATGATACATAATATGATTTTACATACTGTTTTAATTTTTAAGAAATGTGACGGGAAAACTGCCCTTTACACATCACTCTAGGTAAAATCCCATAGGAATGCATCATGTCCAGCATTATGTCCAGCAGTGAGATATGTAACTATGGATTACAGTATGTAACCCCAGTTCTCTGAAGGAGATGAGGGAGACATCTCACTTTGGGACACGTCCTCGTGCGTGTCATTCATTATTCAATCACACCTAGGGCTGTTATGGTGACCTTATTACCGCCACACCGGCAGTCACGAGTCATGACCGCAGTCAAATTTCACCTGACCGTTTAGTCATGGTAACTAGGCTTCTCGAAGCTCTGATGCTGCTGATGGTAGCCTACCAAACTGACTCAGCACTTTATTGTCCCTATAATTTACATTTACATTTGAGTCATTTAGCAAACGCTCTTATCCAGAGCGACTTACAGGAGCAATTAGGGTTAAGTGCCTTGCTCAAGGGCACAGACAGATTTTTCACCTAGTCGGCTCGGGGATTAGAACCAGCGACCTTTGGCCGATTGGCAGCCGGGAAAAGTGAATTATAATTATTATATTCAGCCCACAGGCACAACGGCCACTTTGGCCGCAAAAGGCATGGATTTGATTAGGGGCATTACGGCCACTGAAGGGGGATGCTGCTGGGAAATTCGAGGCCTAGTGAGAATATTATCATGTGCTTGTCAAATTGTGAATGAGAGACTGATGAAGTGTGTACAGCTTGCACAAGAAACAAAGCAGAGCTCATGCCTTTCGTACAACTTTTTTCAAATCTGAATGATTCAGAGGAGAACTGGGTGAAAGTGTTGTGGTCAGATGAGACCAAAATTGAGCTCTTTGGTATCAACTCAACTCGCTGTGTTTGGAGGAGGAGGAATGCTGCCTATGACCCCAAGAACACCATCCCCACCGTCAAACATGGAGGTGGAAACATTATGCTTTGGGGGTGTTTTTCTGCTAAGGGGACAGGACAACTTCACCGCATCAAAGGGACGATGGACGGGGCCATGTACCGTCAAATCTTGGGTGAGAACCTCCTTCCCTCAGCCAGGGCATTGAAAATGGGTCGTGGATGGGTATTCCAGCATGACAATGACCCAAAACACACGGCCAAGGCAACAAAGGAGTGGCTCAAGAAGAAGCACATTAAGGTCCTGGAGTGGCCTAGCCAGTCTCCAGACCTTACTCCCATAGAAAATCTGTGGAGGGAGCTGAAGGTTCGAGTTGCCAAACGTCAGCCTCGGAGACGATCTGCAAAGAGGAGTGGAACAAAATCCCTCCTGAGATGTGTGCAAACCTGGTGGCCAACTACAAGAAACGTCTGACCTCTGTGATTGCCAACAAGGGTTTTGCCACCAAGTACTAAGTCATGTTTTGCAGAGGGGTCAAATACTTATTTCCCTCATTAAAATGCAAATCAATTTATAACATTTTTGACATGCGTTTTTCTGGATTTTGTTGTTATTCTGTCTCGCACTGTTCAAATAAACCTACTATTAAAATTATAGACTGATCATGTCTTTGTCAGTGGGCAAACGTACAAAATCAGCAGGGGATCAAATACTTTTTTCCCCTCACTGTAGGAGGACCTGTTTCTTTGTTAACCGCTCAACACAGAATAGCCGCATGTGGCACTCCCTCAGAAATCATTTGGAGAAAATATGCTTTCTATTTCACTCAGCTATGTTCAATTGTATTCTTCATATTATGAAATAATGCCACGGAATTCTAAGCAAATCTTGTCTGCTAAATGAACTACTGTAGCCCACAGCTATATAGCCAGATCAGGGCCTAACATAAGGACAACTTAGAGAATGCTATTCTGTTCTTCTGAAATAGACTACATTTTCTTCATATCATGTTTCTTTAGACCTGTCTAAAATAAAATAATGGATTTATTTATGGTGTAGGCTATATTAAATGGATTTATTTGACTTTTTTAAATGTAGATGTTCCAAAGGTCTGCATCAGTGGCTTGAAGCCTATGCAGTGAAGACAGGAGATGCTAAATGTGTTTATGTTAATTTACCGTGAGACCGGCAGTTATTTGCTTGACAATCACCGGATGACAAAATGTAATGACCGCCACAGCCCTAATCGCACCTAACACAGGGTTAAAAAATAAATAAATAAGGGGGGGGGGGGGGGGGGGGGGGTCATAATAGCTTATATCCAAAGCGGTTAAAACGCTACAGCCAAATTCATAAGAAGAAAATAACTTCAACATGCCACATTGGCTTCAGAAACCGCCAGAAGCTTCTGTTTACCACAGAGAGCATTTGATTATATAATTTCCCCTCTACCTTTCCTGGATGGCAAAGTATCAGGATGTTGTATCTGGTTTTGAATCGGAATTTAGAGAACTGAACCAGATACAACGTTGATTACAAACCATTTCAAGTTAAACTCCCCTGTAGTAAAAATTTTTAAAATACACAGACAATGAATGCAATATCTACCATATTGAAACTCAACATATAAATATTGAATTTGAATATTCAATTAAATTGATATCTTAATAAAAAAACAATGCAATATTCATTAAATTCAGTTTCAAATCATGAAATACAAGTTCATGAATTCAATTATTTAATTTGTGCATTAAAACATTCAAAATAATACAATTTAAATGTAATATCCTAATACAAATTCAAAATTGTAAAATTCAAATACAATTTCTGTTCTCACCGAAATCGCTCCATTTGTGTGAATCTTCCCATTTACACCAGAGACCTGTATATAATGATGAGATTCTCATGTCTCCGCCCTAACAATGGGAGTCGTTGTCCCAAAGGCGGGGAGGCAGGCGACAAGCTTAGGTACAAAATAAGCACATAGAAACACATTGGGCTTATTTTTGGCGAGAGTGAAACCTCTCGCTTTGCCTCTTCCTCTCTGTTTACACACACAATGATGAAAGATCACTTCTTCCTTTCTGACAAGCGATTTCAACTCGCTATTTGCATTTGAGGTTTGTTCCAACAGAATCGGTTATATGGCCACCAAAACACAGAGACATTATTTTACTGTAATAGAGGAGAGAAGTTAACCTTTCTAACAAGACCCTTTTTATGTCTCAACTCCTCAAATTGTGCGCAGAGCAGACACTACTAACACAGGAGTATCAGTGAACATTGATTCTGGAAAATTAATGCTCAGTTTGTTGGCACGACATTTCGGTACCATGTACCGCTAGCAGCATTTTTGCCAAATGTTTTATAAATGTACAATAAGCATAAAACACAATTATATAAAGGTATTATATAATCATAGGTCCCGTGTAGCTCAGTTGGTAGAGCATGGCGTTTGCAACGCCAGGGTTGTGGGGACCAGTATGAAAGAAAAAAAAAATTATGCACTCACTAAGTCGCTCTGGATAAGAGCATCTGCTAAATGACTAAAATGTAAATGTTATATAAGGTAGGTAACTTGATTTCAACATCTGAACAAAGTGTACAGGCTAGCATGGTGTTCAAACAGTTGGAGATGGACAGAAGGGTGTGTTCATAACAATTCAACTGTTCTGCCTTGTTAGCTTGCAAATATATCCAAGTTGGTTAAACTTGAAATGTAAAGATTAGCTAGCATGTAGGCTTGTGTGATTGTGTATGAGACCTGTGTAAATGTTCTATAATGCCTGCTACAAGAAGTTAGTCATTATTAGTGAATGTGCATTATGCATGGTTCTGGTTAAATTTGTAACAAAAAGGGCATTTTCATAGACAGACTTTAAAGCCAGATTAGTGATTATTGCAACAACAAAAAAAGCAGGTTAACCTAATTTGATAAAATAATATAATTATTAGTGGGTCTTATGGTTGTGGAAGGCTTATACACTACATGGCCAAAAGTATGTGGACACCTGCTCCTCAAACATCTCATTCCAAAATCATGGCCATTAATATGGAGTTAGTCCACCCTTTGCTGCTATAGCAGCCTCCACTACAGTCTGTAACGTAACAAAATGTGGAAAAAGTCAATGGGTCTAAATACTTTCCGAAGGCACTGTATGTATCCTTTAAAATGTATGCTGAATAGTGGTCAAAATGTGCCCTCAAATTGCCATTTTGTAATTTTCAATTGACCATAACTTTATCATTAAGTGGTATATTAAGCCCCTAATGCTGGCTTACAATGTTCAAGGGGGCGCTGTGACGGTTATGGAATTTTGGGTAACAGTTATTTGTCAGGCAAATTTCCACGGTCACCGTTATAACAGTTCAAATAGCAAAAATAAGCCATGCTGATTTTCTCCTCTACTCTGTCTGCTGCACTTGCTTTGCAGCAGTAGTAGCACGTTGTGTTCCGTTGACTAGCAACCGCAGTGAACAACTATCATGCTGTTGCAATGCAGCTACACATTCTTGAGTTTGCTAGTCTAGCATGGATCTCAAAGTCGGTTTCCATCCCTTTGTCTCGAATATACATTCACTTTAGATGTCCACACTTACCAATAATTTGGTAGTTGATTTCAGCAGAGATGGTGGCTTTCAGCATCGTTTTGCATCTTTACAAACCGGATAAAATGTATAACACACAGTTTAAAATAGGCTACTAAAATCATTCCAATCCCAATTAAAGGGCAAATGCAGTTTAGCTGACTTTAGGACCATGCGGACGCCTGGGAGTGGGAGGGAAGGCTGTTTGTATGGCTGGATGCCTTTATGGGGAGCGCATTGACGCAACTGCAGGGATTAGCGCACATTTTTCTCAAAACAGTGCAGAGGTAAAGATGGCTGTAGTAGATGGCTTTGGCTAGGTACAGTGCCTTGCAAAAGTATTCATCCCCCTTGGTGTTTTTCCTATTTTGTTGCATTACAACCTGTAATTTAAAATTGATTTTTATTTGGATTTCATGTAATGGACATACACAAAATAGTCCAAATTGGTGAAGTGAAATGAAAAAAATAACTAAATAAATAACGGAAAAGTGGTGCGTGCATAGGTATTCACCCCCTTTGCTATGAAGCCCCTAAATAAGATCTGGTGCAACCAATTACCTTCAGAAGTCACATAATTAGTTCAATAAAGTCCAGCTGTGTGCAATCTAAGTGTCACATAATCTGTCACATGATCTCAGTATATATACACCTGTTCTGAAAGGCCACAGAGTCTGCAACACCACTAAGCAAGGGGCACCACCAAGCAAGCGGCACCATGAAGACCAAGGAGCTCTCCAAACAGATCAGGGACAAAGTTGTGGAGAAGTACAGATCAGGGTTGGGTTATAAAAAATATCTGAAACTTTGAACATCCCATTATTGTAGGCACTACAGAGGGTAGTGCGTACGACCCAGTACATCACTGGAGCCAAGCTTCCTGCCATCCAGGACCTCTATACCAGGCGGTGTCAGAGGAAGGCCCTCAAAATTGTCAAAGCCACCCTAGTCATAGACTGTTCTCTCTGCTACCGCACGGCAAGCGGTACCGGAGTGCCAAGTCTAGGTCCAAAAGACTTCTCAACAGCTTCTACCCCCAAGCCATAAGTCTCCTGAACAGCTAATCATGGCTACCCGGACTATTTGCACTGCCCCCCCCACCCCCCACCCCATCTTATCTTTTTACGCTGCTGCTACTCTGTTAATTATTTATGCATAGTCACTTTAACTCTACCCACATGTACATATTACTTCAACTACCTCAATTAGCCGGTGCCCCCGCACATTGACTCTGCACCGGTACCCCCCTGTATATATAGCCTCCCTACTGTTATTTTATTTTACTTCTGCTCTTTCTTTCTCAACACTTTTTTGTTGTCGTTTTATTTTACTTTTTTATTAAAAATAAATGCACTGTTGGTTAAGGGCTGTAAGTAAGCATTTCACTGTAATGTCTGCACCTGTTGTATTCGGCGCATGTGGCCAATAAAATTTGATTTGATTATTAAAAAATTTAAAGAATACGGCACCACAACAAACCTGCCAAGAGAGGGCCGCCCACCAAAACTCACAGACCAGGCAAGGAGGGCATTAATCAGAGGCAACAAAGAGACCAAAGATAACCCTGAAGGAGCTGCAAAGCTCCACAGCGGAGATTGGAGTATCTGTCCATAGGACCACTTTAAGCCGTACACTCCACAGAGCTGGGCTTTACGGAAGAGTGGCCAGAAAAAAGCCATTGCTTAAAGATAAAAATAAGCAAACACGTTTGGTGTTTGCCAAAAGCCATGTGGGAGACTCCCAAAACATATGGAAGAAGGTACTCTGGTCAAATGAGACTAAAATTGAGCTTTTTGGCCATCAAGGAAAACGCTATGTCTGGTGCAAACCCAACACCTCTCATCACCCCGAGAACACCATCCCCACAGTGAAGCATGGTGGTGGCAGCATCATGCTGTGCGGATGTTTTCCATCGGCAGGGACTGGGAAACTGGTCAGAATTGAAGGAATAATGGATGGCGCTAAATACAGGGAAATTATTGAGGGAAACCTGTTTCAGTCTTCCAGAGATTTGAGACTGGGACGGAGGTTCACCTTCCAGCAGGACAATGACCCTAAGCATACTGCTAAAGCAAAACTCGAGTGGTTTAAGGGGAAACATTTAAATGTCTTGGAATGGCCTAGTCAAAACCCAGACCTCAATCCAATTGAGAATCTGTGGTATGACTTAAAGATTGCTGTACACCAGCGGAACCCATCCAACTTGAAGGATCTGGAGCAGTTTTGCCTTGAAGAATGGGCAAAAATCCCAGTTACTAGATGTGCCAAGCTTATAGAGACATACCCCAAGAGACTTGCAGCTGTAATTGCTGCAAAAGGTGGCTCTACAAAGTATAGTTAGTTATGCACGCTCAAGTTCTTTTTTTTGGTCTTATTTCTTGTTTGTTTCACACAAAAAAAGATTTTGCATCTTCAAAGCGGTAGGCATGTAAATCAAATTATACAAACCCCCAAAGAATCCATTTTAATTCCAGGCTGTAAGGCAACAAAATAGGAAAAATGCCAAGGGGGTGAATACTTTCGCAAGCCACTGTAACTGCTGTTTGACTTGACATGAAACTAAACTAAAGTGTTAAATCCCGGTGCTGAGCTAGTGCATAGCTGCTAATTCTTGTATGACGTGTTTGTAGAATGAGGTGAATGAAGCTACAGCAACAAGGTGACTGGAGTCAATTCTGCTTGTTTTTGCTGTGCAGTAAATGAGCTTCAATTTTATAAAAAAAACCTAGGTTTAGCTGAAATGATGCCACTGAGCCAGAGCACTATGCATACTACGGATTAAGGTAGAAACGCAATTGTTAATAATAATAACAATTGCCCCCGTGTAGCTCAGTTGGTAGAGCATGGCATTTGCAACGCCAGGGTTGTGGGTTTGATTCCCACGGGGGGCCAGTATGAAAAATGTATATTAACTGTAAGTTGCTCTGGATAAGAGCGTCTGCTAAATGACTCAAATGTAAATAATTCATTTACACTACTGCTATTGGGTATATTGGATATATTTACTTAAAAATAAATGTATTACAAATATTTTCTAAAATGTATGTATTAGAATGGTTATTTTATTCACAGTCTTCATCCATAATCGTTGGTTACACAACACCTGCTCTTTCCATGACATAGACTGACCAGGTGAATCCAGGTGAAAGCTATGATGCCTTATTGATGTCACTTGTTAAATACACTTCAATTAGTGTAGATTAAGGGGTGAAGACAGGTTAAAGAAGGATTTTTAGAAGGATATTTAAGTGCCTTTAAACGGTAGTAGGTGCCAGCCGCATCAGTTTGAGTGCGTCAAGAACCGCAACGTTGCTGGGTTTTTCACGCTCAACAGTTTCCCGTGTGTATCAAGAATGGTCCACCACCCAAAGGCCATCCAGTCAACTTGACAACTGTGGGAAGCATTGGAATAAACATGGGCCAGCATCCCTGTCGAACGCTTTCTTCACCTCACCGCCCTGACAAACTGAGGCTGGCGTGAGGGCAAAAGGGGGTGCAACTCAATATTAGGATGGTGTTCCTAATGTTTTGTACACTCATCTGTATATGGCATATTTCAGCAATTGTATTGTGTTCTCCACACCATCTCAAACATTTTAAGCCATCACTGGGCTGTGTCTACCTATTATTTATGGCGATATGGCCATGTGACTCCTGTCCAATATGTATGTGAAATTTGGTGCCTCTATCACAAAAGCCACAATCCCCCTAAAATGTGACACTTAGCCGCTGGACTATAATGTGCTTTGGATCTATTCTTGTGTGGTGTGTGACTCAGTAACTCACCTGCCAATCACCTCTTTTGGGTCATATTTCTGGTAGAACTCCTTGGCTCCCACCCAGTCAGGTAGTTCATCTCCAATCACTATATCTCGAGTCATGGTGATAGCTTAATCTATAACATGATAAGAACATTACTGTATTACAACTCTTTAAAATGTTGGGGGAACTAATCTAGCTACCTGGCCAGGATGCTCTTAGAGCTTTGACAAGATAATCAAATTGATCAAGTGTTACAGGCTACATTTAGCTTGAATTTGTCTAAGGTGAGACATTTGTGTGCAAAATTGTGTAAATGTTCCTTACAAGCCAGAATGTTTAATAAAATTACATTTAAACTTACTCTACGGGTTGTCTGTGCGGTTTGTCCTTCTGCTGCTCAAAATTGACACGAGAGAAGGTAGGTATATGGTTATTTTGGCACCCAGGTAAAATTAGTATTATACTGGATATTTGGTTCTCTCATTAATAGCTATTGAACCAAGCATGCCATGACAATGAAAATGGTATATTCTGAATCAGGTGAGGATGGAGAACAATCCACACACTTTTGAAGATTTAAATCGGAATGTCCAATATAAAACTAACTTTACCTAGCAGCCAAACCCATATACCTACAGGCCCTCTGAAATGTGAGGTAAACAATACTTTCCTATTTTGTCTCAAATTTCGAGCAGCAGAAGGACAAACAGCACAGACAACCGGTAGAGTAAGTTTGGCTTGTAAGGAACATTTACATGATTTTGCACACAAAATGTCTCAGGCTCTATATATATATATATATATATATACACCAATTAATTGTCTATTACGGCCTGATTAATCAGACAAAGTTGCCACTAGCCGAATTTCTCAACTCCACGATATGTACAAGTACAGAAACTATGAAATCCAGCATAGCTGGTTAAACTCAACTACATTATTTATGATGGAGTTGAGCAGCAACTAGTTTGGACGGACTGGTGCTCCGATGTCTCATAAAATGAAGTTATCAAAAACTGCAGATTTTAGCACACAAAGAATAGCCCACAATTACACACGGCGTTGTTCTATGTAATCGCGGACTATTCTTTGGGTTCTGAAATCAATCGTTTTTGATTTTTTTTTTAATGGTCGGAGCTCCAGTCCATCCACACTATTAGTCGCAGTCCAACTCCATCATAAATCGTTGAGTTTAGTCGGCTACAACACCCAAAGAAAAGCTTGCATTTACAAAGGACAAACATAGGTACAAGGAAAGCGTTAAAGAATGGACATTTTTACAAGTATCGACTGACAGCGACTCGATGTAGTCGGACTCCAGCCCGACCCCTTTTTTAAATGTATTTTTATTTAACCAGGTAAGCCAGTTGAGAACAAGTTCTCATTTACAACTGCGACCTGGCCAAGATAAAGCAAAGCAGTGCGATAAAAACAACAACACAGAGTTACATATGGGGTAAACAGTACATAAAGTCAAAAATACAACAGAAAATATATATACAGTGTGTGCGAATGTAGTAAATTATGGAGGTTAGGCAATAAATAGGCCTTAGTGCAAAATAGTTACAATTTCGTATTAACACTGGAATGATAGATGTGCAAAAGATGATGTGCAAATAGAGATACTGGGGTGCAAATTAGCAAAATAAATAACAATATGGGGATGAGGTAGTTGGATGGGCTAATTACAGATGGGCTAATTACAGATGGGCTGTGTACAGGTGCAGTGATCGGTAAGCTGCTCTGACAACCAACGCCTAAAGTTAGTGAGGGAGATAAGAGTCTCCAGCTTCAGAGATTTTTGCAGTTCATTCCAGTCATTGGCAGCAGAGAACTGGAAGGAATGGCGGCCAAAGGAGGCGTTGGCTTTGGGGATGACCAGTGAGATATACAGTGAGGGAAAAAAGTATTTGATCCTCTGCTGATTTTGTCCGTTTGCCCACTGACAAAGACATGATCAGTCTATAATTTAAAATGGTAGGTTTATTTGAACAGTGAGAGACAGAATAACAACAAAAAAATCCAGAAAAACGCATGTCAAAAATGTTAGAAATTGATTTGCATTTTAATGAGGGAAATAAGTATTTGACCCCTCTGCAAAACATGACTTAGTACTTGGTGGCAAAACCCTTGTTGGCAATCACAGAGGTCACAGGCCACCAGGTTTGCACACATCTCAGGAGGGATTTTGTCCCACTCCTCTTTGCAGATCGTCTCCGAGGCTGACGTTTGGCAACTCGAACCTTCAGCTCCCTCCACAGATTTTCTATGGGATTAAGGTCTGGAGACTGGCTAGGCCACTCCAGGACCTTAATGTGCTTCTTCTGGAGCCACTCCTTTGTTGCCTTGGCCATGTGTTTTGGGTCATTGTCATGCTGGAATACCAATCCACGACCCATTTTCAATGCCCTGGCTGAGGGAAGGAGGTCCTCACCCAAGATTTGACGGTACATGGCCCCGTCCATCGTCCCTTTGATGCGGTGAAGTTGTCCTGTCCCCTTAGCAGAAAAACACCCCCAAAGGATAATGTTTCCACCTCCATGTTTGACGGTGGGGATGGTGTTCTTGGGGTCATAGGCAGCATTTCTCCTCCTCCAAACACAGCGAGTTGAGTTGATGCCAAAGAGCTCGATTTTGGTCTCATCTGACCACAACACTTTCACCCAGTTCTCCTCTGAATCATTCAGATGTTCATTGGCAAACTTCAGACGGCCCTGTATATGTGCTTTCTAGAGCAGGGGGACCTTGCGGGCGCTGCAGGATTTCAGTCCTTCACGGCGTAGTGTGTTACCAATTGTTTTCTTGGTGACTATGGTCCCAGCTGCCTTGAGATCATTGACAAGATCTTCCTGTGTAGTTCTGGGCTGATTCCTCACCGTTCTCATGATCATTGCAACTCCACGAGGTGAGATCTTGCATGGAGCCCCAGGCCGAGGGAGATTGACAGTTCTTTTGTGTTTCTTCCATTTGCGAATAATCGCACCAACTGTTGTCACCTTCTCACCAAGCTGCTTGGCGATGGTCTTGTAGCCCATTCCAGCCTTGTGTAGGTCTACAATCTTGTCCCTGACATCCTTGGAGAGCTCTTTGGTCTTGGCCATGGTGGAGAGTTTGGAATCTGATTGATTGCTTCTGTGGACAGGTGTCTTTTATACAGGTAACAAGCTGAGATTAGGAGCACTCCCTTTAAGAGTGTGCTCCTAATCTCAGTATGTTACCTGTATAAAAGACACCTGGGAGCCAGAAATCTTTCTGATTGAGAGGGGGTCAAATACTTATTTCCCTCATTAAAATGCAAATCAATTTATAACATTTTTGACATGCGTTTTTCTGGATTTTCTTGTTGTTATTCTGTCTCTCACTGTTCAAATAAACCTACCATTAAAATTATAGACTGATCATTTCTTTGTCAGTGGGCAAACGTACAAAATCAGCAGGGGATCAAATACTTTTTTTTCCCTCACTGTACCTGCTGGAGCGCAGACTACGGTTGGGTGTTGCTATGGTGACCAGTGAGCTAAGATAAGACAGGGATTTGCCTAGCAGTGATTTATAGATGACCTGGAGCCAGTGGGTTTGGCGACAAATATGTAGTGAGGGCCAGCCAACAAGAGCGTACAGGTCACAATGGTGGGTAGTATATGGGGCTTTGGTGACAAAACGGATGGCACTGTGATAGACTACATCCAATTTGCTGAGTAGAGTGTTGGAGGCTATTTTGTAAATGACATCGCCGAAGTCAAGGATCGGTAGGATAGTCAGTTTTACGAGGGCATGTTTGGCAGCATGAGTGAACTTTTGATTGGAGATGCTTAATGTGAGTCTGGAAGGAGAGTTTACAGTCTAACCAGACACCTAGGTATTTGTAGTTGTCCACATACTCTAGGTCAGACCCGCCGAGAGTAGTGATTGTAGTCCGGTGGGCGGGTGCAAGCAGTGTTCGGTTGAAAAGCATGCATTTAGTTTTACTAGTGTTTAAGAGCAGTTGGAGGCTACGGAAGGAGTGTTGAATGGCGTTGAAGATCGTTTGGAGGTTTGTTAACACAGTGTCCAATGAAGGGCCAGATGTATACAAAATGGTGTCGTCCGCATAGAGGTGGATCCAAGCATCACCAGCAGCAAGAGCAACATCATTGATATACACAGAGAATAGAGTCGGCCCGAGAATTGAACCCTGTGGCACCCCCATAGAGACTGCCAAAGGTCCAGACAACAGGCCCTCCGATTTGACACATTGAACTCTATCTGAGAAGTAGTTGGTGAACCAGGCGAGGCAGTCATTTGAGAAACCAAGGCTATTTAGTCTGCCAATAAGAATGCGGTGATTGACAGAGTCTAAAGCCTTGGCCAGGTCGATGAAGACGGCTGCACAGTACTGTATTTTATTGATCGCGGTTATAATATCGTTTAGGACCTTGAGCGTGGCTGAGGTGCAACCATGACCAGCTCGGAAACCGGATTGCATAGCGGAGAAGGTACGGTGGGATTCGAAATGGTCGGTGATCTGTTTGTTAACTTGGCTTTCAAAAACTTTCGAAAGGCAGGGCAGGATGGATATAGGTCTGTAACAGTTTGGATCTAGAGTGTCACCCCCTTTGAAGAGGGGGATGACCGCGGCAGCTTTCCAATCTCTGGGGATCTCAGACGTTACGAGAGAGAGGTTGAACAGGCTAGTAATAGGGGTTGCGACAATTTTGGCGGCTAATTTTACAAAGAAAGGGTCCAGATTGTCTAGCCCAGATGATTTGTAGGGGTTCAGATTTTTCAGCTCTTTCAGAACATCAGCTGTCTGAATTTGTGTAAAGGAGAAGCGGGGGGGGGGGCATGGGCAAGTTGCAGCGGAGGGTGCAGAGCTGGTGGCTGGGGTAGTGGTAGCCAGGTGGAAAGCATGGCCAGCCGTAGCAAAATGCTTGTTGAAATTCTCGATTATTGTAGATTTATCGGTGGTGACAGTGTTTCCTAGCCTCAGTGCAGTGGGCAGTTGGGAGGAGGTGCTCTTATTCTCTATGGACTTTACAGTGTCCCAAAACTTTTTGGAGTTAGTGCTACAGGATGCACATTTCTGTTTGAAAAAGCTAGCATTTGCTTTCCTAACTGATTGTGTATATTGGTTCCTGACTTCCCTGAAAAGTTGCATATCGCGGGGGCTGTTCGATGCTAATGCAGTACGCCACAGGATGTTTTTGTGCTGGTCAAGGGCAGTCAAGTCTGAGGAGAACCAGGGGCTATATCTGTTCTTAGTTCTGAATTTTTTGAATGGGGCATGCTTATTTAAGATTGAGAGGAAAGCACTTTTAAATAACAACCAGGCATCCTCTACTGACGGAATGAGGTCAATATCCATCCAGGATACCCGGGCCAGGTCAATTAGAAAGTCCTGCTCGCTAAAGTGTTTTAGGGAGCGTTTGACAGTGATGAGGGGTGGTCGTTTGACCGCAGACCCATTACGGACGCAGGCAATAAGGCAGTGATCGCTGAGATCCTGGTTGAAGACAGCGGAGGTGTATTTAGAGGGTACATTTGTCAGGATGACATCTATGAGGGTGCCCATGTTTACAGATTTTGGGTTGTACCTAGCAGGTTCGTTGATAATTTTTGTGAGATTGAGGGCATCTAGTTTAGATTGTAGTTTGGCCGGGGTGTTAAGCATATCCCAGTTTAGGTCACCAAGCAGTACGAACTCTGAGGATAGATGGGGGGCAATCAGTTCACATATGGTGTCCAGGGCACAGCTCGGGGCTGGGGTCTGTAGCAAGCGGCAACAGTGAGAGACTTATTTCTGGAAAGGTGGATTTTTAGAAGTAGATGCTCAAACTGTTTGGGCACAGACCTAGATAGTATGATAGAGCTCTGCAGGCTATCTCTACAGTAGATTGCAACCCCACCCCCTTTGGCAGTTCTATCGAGACGGAAAATGTTGTAGTTGGGGATGGAACTACACACGACTCCATCGTATGTAGTACTAAGTTACTAGTAACTTGGGTAAACTCAGCTAGGTTGCCACCGTTGCCACTTGCCAGTTACTGTAGCTACCTCAAGCCGGATGATGTAGCTAGCCGGCGAATGCTGAAACTTGGCAAACCATGTATGGTAATGCACCACCAGCAATTGACATAGCTACCTACTGTAACTAGCTACACATAAGAAGTATTATTTGGGGCCCCAGAGAATATATTTTAATTTGGACCGATTTGATCACAGCGAGGTTAAGTAGCTGCTAACGTTAGCTAGCAGCTAACGTTAGCTAAACTAGACATGTCTAAGTTAACTAGCTGCACAAGTTTAAATTGGTTCACGCGCTACTTACCAAATGCAATCAAACTACGAGATTGATAGAAGATAGATCGTGTCGAGTATCACTGACAATACTACCAAACTGATGAGCAACTATTGCATTGCAATATGTCTAGGGTTGCTAACTATCTAACGTTCAGCTACCATCTTGATTGTTTACATTCTGGAGCGCAATCCCTTACCTCCTTACCTTGACACATATGAACAATTCTTCTTCTTCTTCGGTGGGGTTTAACAGCGGTTGGCATCCGATGTTAATGGCGCATTACCGCCACCATCTGGACGAGGTATTGAATGAGAAAATAGAAAAACTGCGGGAAAGGAGGAAAACGACATTATACAAAATACAAAATTAGGCACGTCAACTAACAAAAAACGTTCAGCTGCATACACAGTGATTCTAATTTTCTTAGACTTATTTTCCGCGAACAATTATTTATATACAACAATGCATATGAAGGGGCTGTAGACTGTAGTGCCACCATGAGGACAGAGTGAGGCGTGGCATGGACTAAATAGTATTTCACATAATTAATCGTATAAATCAACGTTTAAATATTTATTGTATAATGGAAAAATGTGTACAGCATGCATTCATTTAGGCATTTAGTTAACTATACAGTAAAAATAACCCAGCGAGATACTGACTGCAGGACCTTTATTTTGATGAAACGACTTTCCCATCGGTACACTTACCGTGCCGTACAGGAAGCTAGTTAAATAACTACTGTCGTCATCTCCGGTTAGCAACTATGTTTTACAAATTCTCTTTCTGCTGTTGAAGGTTTGTGATAGTTCTTAGTGATCTTGAAATAAAAACGTATGATTGCATGTAGTAAACATTTAAAAGTGATTCGACTACATAGGCCGTATAACTATAATCTGCTAGCCGGCTAACGTTAGCTAGCATTCATTACAGTTAGCCTGTTAGCTAGCTAGATTCTCGCAAACGTTAGCTATACTAGCTAGTAAAATATACAATATATATATAAATATATATATATGTGGACACCCCTTCAAATTAGTGGATTCGGCTATTTCAGCCACACCCGTTGCTGACCGGTGTATAAAATCGAGCACACCGCCATGCAATCTCCGTAGACAAACATTGGCAGTAGAATGTAGGCCGTCATTGTAAATAAGAAATTGTTCTTAACTGACTTGCCTAGTTAAATAAAGGTTAAATAAAAATGGCCTTACTGAAGAGCTCAGTGACTTTCAACGTGGCACTGTCATAGGATCCCACCTTTCCAACAAGTCAGTTTGTCAGATTTCTGCACTGCTAGAACTGCCCTGGTCAACTGTAAGTGCTGTTATTGGGAAGTGTAAATGTCTAGGAGCAACCACGGCTTGGCCGCAAAGTGGTAGGCCACACAAGCACACAGAACGGGAACGTAGAGTGCTGTAGTGCATAAAAATCGTCTGTCCTCGGTTGCAACACTCACTACCGAGTTCCAAACTGCCTCTGGAAGCAACATCAGCACAAGAACTGTTCCTCGGGAGCTTCATGAATTCATGCGCCTAAGATCACCATGCGCAATGCCAAGTGTCGGCTGGAGTGGTGTAAAGCTCGCCGCCATTGGACTCTGGAGCAGTGGAAACGCGTTCTCTGGAGTGATGAATCACGCTTCACCATCTGGCAGTCAAACTGACAAATCTGGGTTTGGCGGATGCCAGGAGAACGCTACCTGCCCCAATGCATAGTGCCAACTGTAAAGTTAGGTGGAGGAGTAATAATGGTCTGGGGCTGTTTTTCATGATTCAGGCTTCTTAGTTCCAGTGAAGGGAAATGTTAACGCTACAGCATACAATGACATTCTAGACGATTCTGTGCTTGGCAAGTTTGGGGAAGGCCCTTTCCTGTTTCAGCATGATAATGCCCACGTGCACAAAGTAAGATCCATACAGAAATGGTTTGTCGAGATCGGGGTGGAAGAACTTGACTGGCCTGCACAGAGCCCTGACCTCAACCCCATCAAACACCTTTAGGATGAATTGGAACGCCGACTGTGAGCCAGGCCTAATCCCCCAACATCATTGCCCGACCTCACTAATGCTCTTGTAGCTGAATGGAAGCAAGTCCCTGCCGCAATGTTCCATAATCTAGTGGAAAGCCTTCCCAGAAGAGTGGAGGCTGTTATGGCAGCAAAGGGGGGGGGGAACAACTCCATATTAATGCCCATGATTTAGGAATAAGATGTTCGACGAGCAGGTGTCCACATACTTTTGGTCATGTAGTGTAGGTTAAGCATGCAACTACCGCTATTTAGGTAGCTAACATGCATATTAACTCATGGCAAGTTTTTTGCATTTGTGTCCTAAAACGGCTGTCACACTTTTTGTTGCAGAAGCAGCAATGATGTCTGGCACCGGGGGAGGGAAGCGAGCCTCAGGTGGGGACAGCCCCCCTGGTCCACCAGAGAAGAAGTGTAGAAAAGAAGAGAAGACCACCACCACTCTCATTGAGCCCATACGCATTGGGGGAGTGTCCTCTACGGTTAGTCATTTTCTTGTTGTCCTCCACATCCAGGTCTTGTCTATGCTTAAGTTAATCGTCCCTCCTATATGGTTATCTTCTTTATTATCACGTGACATCTGCAGGAGGAAATGGACATGAAGGTGATCCAGTTTAAGAATAAAAAGCTGAGTGAGCGTCTGGAGCAGAGGCAGACCATGGAGGATGAGCTGCGAGAGAAGATAGAGAAGCTGGAAAAGCGACAAGCGACTGACGATACCACACTGCTCATTGTGAATCGTTACTGGTCCCAGGTACTTACATCCCACAGTAATTTGCTGCCGTGAAGGACCATAGACATATACTTAACTAAGTGTAACCCCCACACATACTCAATTACCTTCTTTCTCTAACTTCCAGTTGGAAGAAAATGTTCACTTGCTGCGCCAACGCATTGACCCCACGGTGGTCCCGGCACCGCCCGCTACGCCTGTCTCTGCCCCTACCCCAATGGAGGAGGATAGTATGATCCCACCACCCCCTCCTTCAGCCCCACTCCCAGCGCCAGAACACGAGGAGCAACAGCCTCCACCACCCGATGGTATGGAGATAGCTCGTAATCCACAGCAGGACTCGACAACCGGTAAAAATCATTCCTGCTCTCTCTCAACCTTTTATCTACGCATATCTAGCCTCTGATCAGAAGTAATGATACAGGCCTCTCGAGTGGCGCAGCGGTCTAAGGCACTGCATCGCAGTGTTGTGGCCGTGACCGGAAGTCCAATATTGCGGCGCACAATTGGCCTAGCATGGTCTGGGTAAGGAGAGGGTTTGGGCGGGGGCCTTTACTTGGCTCCTTGTGGTGGGCCGGGCGCCTGCAGGCTGACTTCGGTCATCAGTTGAACGTTGTTTCCTCCGACACATTGTTGTAGCTGGCTTCCGGGTTAAGCGAGCGGGTGTTAAGAAGCGTGGCTTGGCGGGTCATGTTTCGAAGGACGCATGACCTGAACTTTAGCCTCTCCCGAGCCCGTTGGGGAGTTGCAGCGATGAGACAAGATCGTAATCACGAAATTGGGGAGAAAAAAGGGGGCAAAAACATAAAAAATAGGTAATGATACCTCCGATTGCGTTGCCACCTATAATAACTGGTGTGAGGCATGGCAACATAACAAAGCAGTAAACCTGTCTAGCACTTACGCCACACGTTTTATCGTCAACCACATCCTAAGTCTTACCATCCTAACTGTTTAGCACCGCTGCCCACTACTACCCTCAGTGAGAGTGCCAAAGCCTTCCTCTCCACTTTGGACAACAGCAGTGAGGAGGAGCTCAGCCTGCAGCTGCAGGACAGGATGCAGTTCAGCAAGGAGGCAGCTGCCTGCATGGTCTGCGTCTTCGACAGGCTGCACAGCCGCATCGACAGCCTATGCACCCAGATCCTGTCCACAGGTAACTATTCAGACTCGCTTATCATGACTAGGGGCTTTTTCACTTTCTGGTTGTAGCAACATGTGGGTACTAAATTTGGCATAATTATGTAGAGTGGTTCCCAACTATGACATTCACTCTGATCTTGTGTTAAATTCCTGTCAGTCGCTTTGGATAAAAGCATCTGCTACGTGGCATATGTAATCACTAGTTGAGTAACCCTAGTAACTGTGTTGTCTTTGTCAGTGTTTGAGGATGACAGCCAGGAAGAGATGCTCCGTCTGAATCGTACTCTGCTGGAGGAGAATGGCAGACTGCGAGACCTGGCCTCCTCCCTGCAGGGCAGACACCACAAGATGTCTATGGAGGTACGTTACCGCACCCTGTCATGAATAGTGTGTGTATTGGGAATTCCCACATCGCCATAGTGTCGTCTTTCAGGCTTTTGTATCCTCCTCAATGTGAATGTCTGCTAGTTCTCATCGGTGATGATACATGGCGATTGTGTGGACTCATCCAGCCAATTTCATAATCAAATGTTTGCTCTCCACTCTCCTCCTCTTTATCAGTACAATGAGCTTGTGGATAAGGTGACAAGCTCGGAGACCAAGGTGTCTGAGATGGAGACTGCTGTGGAGGATCTGCAGTGGGACATCGAGAAGCTCCGTAAGAGGGAACAGAAGCTCAACAAGCATCTGGCTGAGGCACTGGAGCAGGTGTGTGTAATTTGTGGGTGTGTACTTAATGTACTTTGTGTGTGTACTTGAGCAGGTGTGTGTGTGTAGTTCTAGTGTCTTATCATCGCTGATGTCACTCTCCATTATGCATCGATGGCCAGCGATAAGGCTGAAGCACCAGAGCATGCCATCCATTGAATAGCAGCTGTGGGGGGGTTTGTGTTTATCTATAGTGCCTTGCAAAAGTATTCACCCCCTTTGCGTTTTTCCTTTTTGTTGTATTACAACCTGTAATTTAAATGAATTTTTATTTGGATTTCATGTAATGGACATACAGAAAATAGTCAAAATTGGTGAAGTGAAATGAAAAAAATAACTTGTTACAAAAAATTCTAAAAAATAAATAACGGAAAAGTGGGGCGTGGATATGTATTCACCCCCTTTGCTATTAAGCCCCTAAATAAGATCTGGTGCAACCAATTACCTTCAGAAGTCACATAATTAGTTAAATAAAGTCCACCTGTGTGCAATCCAAGTGTCACATGATCTGTCACATGATCTCAGTATATATACACCTGTTCTAAAAGGCCCCAGAGTCTGCAACACCACTAAGCAAGGGGCACCACCAAACAAATTGGCACCATGAATACCAAGGAGCTCTTCAAACAGGTCAGGGACAAAGTTGTGGAGAAGTACAGATCAGGGTTGGGTTATAAAAAATATCTGAAACTTTGAACATCCCACGGAGCACAATTAAATCCATTATTTAAAAATGGAAAGAATATGGCACCACAACAAACCTGCCAAGAGAGGGCCGCCCACCAAAACTCACGGCCCAGGCAAGGAGGGCATTAATCAGAGAGGCAACAAAGAGACCAAAGATAACCCTGAAGGAGCAGCAAAGCTCCACAGCGGAGATTGGAGTATCTGTCCATAGGACCAATTTACGCCATACACTCCACAGAGCTGGGCTTTACGGAAGAGTGGCCAGAAAAAAGACCTTGCTTAAAGAAAAAAATAAGCAAACATGTTTGGTGTTCGCCAAAAGGCATGTGGGAGACTCCCCAAACATATGGAAGAAGGTACTCTGGTCAGATGAGACTAAAATTGAGCTTTTTGGCCATCAAGGAAAACAATATGTCTGCCGCAAACCCAACACCTCTCATCGCTCCGAGAACACCATCCCCACAGTGAAGCATGGTGGTGGCAGCATTATGCTGTGGGGATGTTTTTCATCGGCAGGGACTGGGAAACTGGTCAGAATTGAAGGAATGATGGATGGCGCTAAATACAGGGAAATTCTTGAGGGAAACCTGTGTCTTCCAGAGATTTGAGACTGGGATGGAGGTTCACCTTCCAGCAGGACAATGACCCAAAGCATACTGCTAAAGCAACACTTGAGTGGTTTAAGGGGAAACATTTAAATGTCTTGGAATGGCCTAGTCAAAGTCCAGACCTCAATCCAATTGAGAATCTGTGGTATGACTTAAAGATTGCTGTACACCAGCGGAACCCATCCAACTTGAAGGATCTGGAGCAGTTTTGCCTTGAAGAATGGGCAAAATCCCAGTGGCTAGATGTGCCAAGCTTATAGAGACATACCCCAAGAGACTTGCAGCTGCAGGGGGGGGGGGGGGGGGGGGGGGGGGGGGGGGGTGAATAGTTATGCATGCTCAAGTTTTCTGTTTTTTTTGTCTTATTTGTTTCATAATAAAAAAAGATTTTGCATCTTCAAAGTGGTAGGCCTGTCGTGTAAAACAAATGAAACAAACCCCCCAAAAATCAATTTTAATTCCAGGTTGTAAGGCAACAAAATAAGAAAAATGCCAAGGGGGGTGAATACTTTCGCAAGCCACTGTATGTCCTGCTGTATGTACATGGGTAAAATAATGTTTTGATGTTGTATAGCCGGAATGAAGACTGTAACCACATCTATATAACTATTGTAATATGTCTGGGTTAGTGTCTGTACTAATATATGGGGCAAGTTAGCTAAACACCTCTGATTGTTCTGCCCAGTTGACCTCGGGCTACTACACCACTGGCAGCTCAGGGGGGCTACCCGGTGGCCAGATCACCCTCAATATACAGAAGGTGAGTGCAGACTTGTCTCTATTGTCCAACCATATTCTTGAGCTTCCCTTCCATCTTGTTTTGATACATTGCTGTTTCCAACCCTGTCATGTGGAGTTAAATTAGTGCCAAAAGTAATACAAATGTAACTCCATATTGTAATTATTATATCTGTTAGTTTGAGAGCCTGAATGCAGAGTTGGAGCAGAACCAGGAGCTGGCCAACAACCGCATGGCGAACCTGGAGAAACAACAGCAGGAGCTCCAGGAGGCTGTGAGGGAGAGTGAGAAGCTTAAGGTACAGCAGCAGTCCCCTCCGAGGGAATACAAGACTAAACTCACAACAATACGCTGTGCATTCTGTTATCTGTCAGCTTAACAAAGGAGATGCTCACTATTCAGACAGTCATGAGTCAGATGTCATGTCAAGGAAGATTATAATTGTAGAATATATACAGTGCCTTCAGAAAGTATTCATACCCCTTGACTTTTTCCACATTTTGTTGTGTTACAGGCTAAATTCAAGATGGATTAAACAAATATATAATCTCACCCATTTAACTACACACAATACCCCACATTTAAATAAAAAAAGTTTTCAAATTGATTGAAAATAAAATACTGAACTATCTAATTTACAGAAATATTCACACCCCTTTGCCACGACAATCCAAATTGAACTCAGGTGCATCCAATTTCCTTTGATCATCCTTGAGATGTCGCTACAACTTGATTGGAGTCCACCTGTGGTAAATTCAATTGTTTGGACATGATATAGAAAGAAACACACCTGCCTATATAAGGTGCCACAGTTGACAGTGCATGTCAGAGCAGAAACTATACCATGAAGTCCAAGGAACTGTCCGTAGATCACCGAGATAGAATTGTGATGAGGTATATATCTGGGGAAGAGTATAAAACAATTTCAACAGTGTTGAAAGTTTCCAAAAGCACAGTGGTCTCCATCATTGGGAAATAGAAAATATATGGAACTACCCAGACTGCCTAGAGCTGGCCGTCTGATCAAACTGAGCAACTGGGCAAGAAGGACCTTGGTCAGGGAGGTGACTAAGAACCCAGTGACCACTCTGACAGAACTACATAGTTCCTTGGCTGAGATGGGAGAACCTGCCAGAAGGAAAGTAGACTCTACAGCGCTTCACCAATCTGGGCTTTGAGAAAAAGGCACATGACAGCACGCCTGGAGTTTACAAAAAGGCATGTGAAAGACAAAAGATTCTGTGGTCTGATAAGACAAAAATGTAACTCTTTGGCCTGACTGCAAAGCGCTACGTCTGGAGAATATCAGGCACAGCTCATCACCCGTCTAACACCATCCCTACCGTGAAGCATGGTGGTGGCAGCATCATGCTATGGGGATGCTTTTCAGTGATAGGGACTGGGAGACTCGTAAGGATAGAGGGAACAATGAATGGAGCCAAATACAGGCAAATCCTTGATGAGAACCTACTTCAGAGTGTAAATGACCTTAGACTGGACCGAAGATTTACGTTCCAACAGGACAGTCACCGCAAGCATAAAGCCAAAGCAATGCTGGAATGGCTTCAGAACAAGAATGTGAAAGTCCAACAGCCAAAGCCCAGACTTGAATCCCATTGAAAATCTGTGTGAAGACTTGAAGATTAGCAGCATTTTCTAAAAACATGTTTTCACTTTGTCGTTATGGGGTATTGTGTGTAGATGGGTGAGGAAAAAAATATTTAATTCATTTTGAATTCAGGCTGTAATACAACAGTGTGGAATAAGTCCAGGGGTATGAATACATTCTTAAGGCACTGTAAACACTTAAAACAATTATAAACACAATAACATATGTTTGTTATGTTATGATCACTGAATGTATACTCTGTCTGTAATGTAATGTATTTTCCTGGCAAATGTTCCCTTGTCTGAATTGCAGTAATTTCGTTTTTCACTATGTCTCAAGGTGCCTTACAGTGTATGGGGGGTAATTCACTCACCCGCTTAACTACCTTTCAGTTGGACCTGAAAAATATTCCGGAGGATGTGGTGAAGGAGACCGCGGACTACAAGTGCCTGCAGTCCCAGTTCTCCCTGCTCTACAACGAGTCTCTGGGGGTGAAGACCCAGCTGGATGAGGCCCGGGCCCTGCTCCTCACCGCTAAGAACGCCCACCTCAGACAGATAGAGCACATGGAGGTCAGGAGCACTGATTTTGCAGAGAGTGGCTATTTAGAGGAAGGTTTTACTTGCAATGATTATGATCCATGGTTCATTTACCTCCCTTAGTTGAATGGACTGATTGTCGCTCTGCATAAGATAATGTAAGTGTAGGAGGGAGCGACTGATTTTAAAGTAACAAACATTTCAGCATATCAGATCTGGGTTCAAATAGTATCCCCCCCCCCCCCCCCCCATGCGTTAGTTGCGCTTGATTGAGCCTGCCTGGGGTACCAGATGGATGGGTTTTGCAATTTTGGGACTATTCCATTGCTCCCATTGTGCAAGGCAAGCTCAATCAAGCGCAGCTAAAGTATTTGAAAGAAAACAAATACTACTTGAACCCAGGTCTGGCATGTATATCATGAATACACTAGGAATATACAGTGGGGAAAAAAAGTATTTAGTCAGCCACCAATTGTGCAAGTTCTCCCACTTAAAAAGATGAGAGAGGCCTGTAATTTTCATCATAGGTACACGTCAACTATGACAGACAAATTGAGAAAAAAAAATCCAGAAAATCCCATTGTAGGATTTTTAATGAATTTATTTGCAAATTATGGTGGAAAATAAGTATTTGGTCACCTACAAACAAGCAAGATTTCTGGCTCTCACAGACCTGTAACTTCTTCTTTAAGAGGCTCCTCTGTCCTCCACTCGTTACCTGTATTAATGGCACCTGTTTGAACTTGTTATCAGTATAAAAGACACCTGTCCACAACCTCAAACAGTCACACTCCAAACTCCACAATGGCCAAGACCAAAGAGCTGTCAAAGGACACCAGAAACAAAATTGTAGACTTGCACCAGGCTGGGAAGACTGAATCTGCAATAGGTAAGCAGCTTGGTTTGAAGAAATCAACTGTGGGAGCAATTATTAGGAAATGGAAGACATACAAGACCACTGATAATCTCCCTCAATCTGGGGCTCCACGCAAGATCTCACCCCGTGGGGTCAAAATGATCACAAGAACGGTGAGCAAAAATCCCAGAACCACACGGGGGGACCTAGTGAATGACCTGCAGAGAGCTGGGACCAAAGTAACAAAGCCTACCATCAGTAACACACTACGCCGCCAGGGACTCAAATCCTGCAGTGCGAGACGTGTCCCCCTGCTTAAGCCAGTACATGTCCAGGCCCGTCTGAAGTGCATTTGGATGATCCAGAAGAGGATTGGGAGGATGTCATATGGTCAGATGAAACCAAAATATAACTTTTTGGTAAAAACTCAACTCGTCATGTTTGGAGGACAAAGAATGCTGAGTTGCATCCAAAGAACACCATACCTACTGTGAAGCATGGGGGTGGAAACATCATGCTTTTGGGCTGTTTTTCTGCAAAGGGACCAGGACGACTGATCCGTGTAAAGGAAAGAATGAATGGGGCCATGTATCGTGAGATTTTGAGTGAAAACCTCCTTCCATCAGCAAGGGCATTGAAGATGAAACGTGGCTGGGTCTTTCAGCATGACAATGATCCCAAACACACCGCCCGGGCAACGAAGGAGTGGCTTCGTAAGAAGCATTTCAAGGTCCTGGAGTGGCCTAGCCAGTCTCCAGATCTCAACCCCATAGAAAATCTTTGGAGGGAGTTGAAAGTCTGTGTTGCCCAGCGACAGCCCCAAAACATCACTGCTCTAGAGGAGATCTGCATGGAGGAATGGGCCAAAATACAAGCAACAGTGTGTGAAAACCTTGTGAAGACTTACAGAAAACGTTTGACCTGTGTCATTGCCAACAAAGGGTATATAACAAAGTATTGAGAAACTTTTGTTATTGACCAAATACTTATTTTCCACCATCATTTGCCAATAAATTCATTAAAAATCCTACAATGTGATTTTCTGGATTTTTTTTCTCTCATTTTGTCTGTCATAGTTGACGTGTACCTATGATGAAAATTACAGCCCTCTCTCATCTTTTTAAGTGGGAGAACTTGCACAATTGGTGGCTGACTAAATACTTTTTTTCCCCACTGTATGTGGTTAGAAAGGTATTTGGAATAGCCAGGGTTACAGCGGCCCGGGGAGCTGACTAGCTCTGCATTCCACAACACTATGTCATTGCCATGGCTACAGTGCCTAGTGTTTGGGCAAAACATGACCAATTTGGCGTAAGCAGAAACAGACGGGCTCTCTTTATATGCTTGGAAAGTGGATTGTGTCACAATCAGTAAAAACTGGCCAAAACTAGTCAGGATGTCAGATTTGGTGTGATTTGGCCGCCGTCAACAAAAGCTGTGGTGTTTGTCATCTGTTCAGAGTGACGAGTTGTCACTACAGAAGAAGCTCCGCACTGAGGTCATCCAACTGGAAGACACGCTGGCCCAGGTGCGCAAGGAGTACGAGATGCTGCGCATCGAGTTTGAACAGAACCTGGCGGCCAACGAGCAAGCAGGTAACATCTAATCTCCACAACACCTCCCACTACCTAGGCTTGTTTCTATCATTAAATGTTTCCCATAGAAAGCAAACGTTTCAGTCTTATTCCTGTTTTTCCCTCTAACCAAGGATGTTGACTGTGTGTTTGGGAGGAATGTATCCTCTCCTGTTATCACTATCCTTATTGCTCACTAGTTTGGCGATACTTCACAAGTTTAGCGCACGCAGAATACAGTCAGACAAAACAATGTGGTGGCTCTGACTGAAACGCACGGTCATTGTTTCCTTATCAACCCCTCTGTCCCCTTTGATCTTTCCCTCAGGCCCAATCAACAGAGAGATGCGCCACCTCATCAGCAGCCTCCAGAACCACAACCACCAGCTGAAAGGTGACGTGCAGCGCTACAAGCGGAAGCTCAGAGAAACACAGATGGAGATCAACAAGGTAGGTGGCGGATCCTCCACGTGAGACCAATAGACTTTCTTCTGAATATTTAATCAATATGCAGATAGAGACAGGTTTCTTTTCTAACCAGATGACCAGGTCAGGATAAACTCTGGACTAGAGCGCTGCTACCTGACCTGAGCCCGACGGGCCCCGATATTACTCATCGGGGTAGGGCCTGTTTTTTCATCAATAACTAGGGTACGGGCAGCACTCGGGTATCACTTAATTGATCTCTAACATTTTGAAGCTGAGCCATTTGCGTGTGCTCTGCTGCGCAGTACAGTCATATCTGACTACGATCATAACATGGTGTCAGAAGTGCTTCAACCTCGTTAAATATAAAACGGGAGAGATTATTTCACAGAAAATAATGTTCCTTGAGTTGTGTCTGAGTTTAGAGTGACGAAAAGTAGCTAACATCTAACTGCTCTCTCATGTCTCTTCATTGAGCAGAACAGCCCAAGCGGAGCTGTTGCTATGGATACTCAGACTCAGAGCTGCCGTGAGCAGAGCGAGCTGCGTGCAAGGAGCGAGTGACAGAGAGGAGCAGCTAATGGATTTACTAACTGAGGTTATTTACTAACGGAAGTTATTTCTGATTTCTGGTTTCGGGCAGGGCCTTGAATTTGGTAGAAGCAATCGGGCCTGGGTAGGGTAGGGCCTGAATGTCGTGGGCATGGGTAGTACTCGCTTAAAATTAATGTCCGTGCAGGGCTCTACTCTGGACCCTTGTTATAGGCTAACTAGAGCATTTGCCCTGGTGAGGCGGTTAAGTCACGTGGTTCATCAAAACTTGAATTGCACAATATTTGATTAATAGATGAGGGTAAACGTGACTTATTTGAGTCATGACATTTGCTACGAAAATGTGATCAATGCGATTGATGTCCCAAAACCATTTTCTATCCCTGTCCCTTTGACAGTTGCGGTGTCAGAGTGGTGACACTGGGCTTCTGTCGTTGGAGGAGCCGGTGAGCGACAGCCTGGAGGTGAAGAAAGAGGAGGATGAAGACCAAGAGGAGGAGGAGGAGAGGAGGAGGGAGCTGGAGAGACAGCGGGCCCGGGAGAGAGAGCGGGAGACTGGGAGGGAACGAGAGAGGGAACGAGAGAGGGAGCGACAGCGCAGCGAGGAGTTGAAGAGGAAAGATTCGGACACCCTGAAGATGCTGAGGGCGGAACTTAAGTATGTTTTTTTTTTTGTCACAGAACACACAACTCACCTTTCATGTTATACAGAATAAAGTAGGGGTGTGCAGATCTGTTCATAATCGTATTTGAAATTCTATCCGTTTTATCACACTTGATACTCGTAATCAGATTTACTCGTGATCGGAAAACCTGGAAGTGAGCTTTAAATGCCGGTAAAGCCTATACCTCAAGTACACATTACTGCACTATCACCCAGAGTGCATCTCAGAGCACATCGTTATGTTCCTTCACTCATTCACACATTGTTCAAAGTTAAGAAATTATACTGACAGCTGAAAATGCATATGATTTACTTACTTAGTCCTATTCAATTATCAACAAAATAGGCTAATAAATAATGCATGGCTGGCTACTGCTGCCTGCATTTATTCCAGACAGATTTAGTTGAAGGTAATTCGCTTGCCCCATATATTTTTTCACTTTCGAGAGGAGCAAAACATTTCTCTCCCGACACTTATGCCACAACATTTGTACAATGAAAATGAACTATCTGCATTTGTCATTTTTAATGATCAGTCTCTCTGTAAATATGCCTGGGCGAGAATAAATAATAATAATAGCAAGCATGGGTTTAGCTCACAACATAACGACAGAGGGAGGGGGAGCGGAGACTTGTTCTAATCCAATTGTGGCAGCTGGCTCAACCCACACCCCGCCCATTTCTTGACAGACAGCCGAACTAGCCAATTGAGTTATTTATAGTACACAACACTTCACACTGTTTGAGAGATGTGTGCTGGCAGCTGAAAATACATTTTTCCCCAATCACGAATAATTACAAAAATTACTCATATCATAATCGTATTCAGAAAATTATCCATATCTGTTAAGATACTTGTTTTGTCCGAGTACTCGGCACATCCCTAGAATAAAAGATACTCTCATATAGTAGAAGACCTTAACACATTGTCTTATTCTAAAGTGAGGTAGTGCTAACTCTAATACTGTTCATTCTCCTTTTCACCCAGGAAAGCCCAGGAGTCTCAGAAGGAGATGAAGCTACTGTTGGACATGTACAAATCAGCTCCCAAAGAACAGAGGGACAAAGTGCAGCTTATGGCAGCAGAGCGCAAGTCTAAAGCTGAGGTTTGTCCAGCAACCGTTTGACTTCTTTCTTAATAATTCCGACCTGAACTGTAGGTTATCATTGAAAGTCAATTCATGTACAGTACCAGTCAAAAGTTTGGACACACCTACTCCTTCAAGGGTTTTTCTTTATTTTTACTATTTTCTACATTGTAGAATAATAGTGAAGACATCAAAACTGTGAAATAACACATATGGAATAATGTAGTAACCAAAAAAGTGTTAAACAAATCAAAATATATTTTATATTTGAGATTCGCTGCCTTGATGACAGCTTTGCACACTCTTGGCATTCTCTCAACAAGCTTCATGAGGAATACTTTTCCAACAGTCTTGAAGGAGTTCCCACATATGCTGAGCACTTGTTGGCTGCTTTTCCTTCACTCTGCGGTCCAACTCATCCCAAACCATCTCAGTTGGGTTGAGGTTGGGTGATTGTGGAGGCCAGGTCATCTGATTCAGCCCTCTATCACTCTCCTACTTGGTCAAATAGCCCTTACACAGCCTGGAGGTGTGTTTTGGGTCATTGTCCTGTTGAAAAACAAATGATAGTCCCACTAAGCGCAAACCAGATTGGATGGCGTATCGTTGCAGAATGCTGTGGTAGCCATGCTGGTTAAGTGTGCCTTGAATTCTAAATAAATCACTGACAGTGTCACCAGCAAAGCACCATCACACCACCTCCTCCATGCTTCACGGTGGGAACCACACATGCAGAGATCGTCCGTTCGCCTACTCTGCTTCTCAGAAAGACACAGCGGTTGGAACCAGAAATCTCACATTTGGACTCATCAGACCAAAGGACAGATTTCCACCGGTCTAATGTCCATTGCTCGTGTTTCTTGGCCCAAGCAACTCTCTTCTTCTATTGGTGTCCTTTAGTAGTGGTTTATTTGCAGCAATTCGACCATGAAGGCCTGATTCACGCAGTCTCCTCTGAACAGTTGATATTGAGATGTGTCTGTTACTTGAACTCTGTGAAGCATTTATTTGGGCTGCAACCTGAGGTGCAGTTAACTCTAATGAACTTTATCCTGCAGCAGAGGTTACTCTGGGTCTTCCTTTCCTGTGGCGGTCCTCATGAGAGCCAGTTTCATCATAGTGCTTGATGGTTTTTGCGACTGCACTTGAAGAAACTTTCAAAGTTCTTGAAATGTTCAGTATTAACTGACCTTCATGACTTAAAGTAAAGATGGAATGTCGTTTCTCTTTGCTTATTTGAGCTGTTCTTGCCATAATATGGACTTGGTCTTTTACCAAAAAGCGCTTTCTTCTGTATACCACCCCTACCTTGTCACAACACAACTGATTGACTCAAACGCATTAAGAAGGATAGAAATTCCACAAATTTACTTAACGCACACCTGTTAATTGAAATGCATTCCAGGTGACTACCTCATGAAGCTGGTTGAGAGAATGCCAAGAGTGTGCAAAGCTGTCATCAAGGCAAAGGGTGGCTACTTTGAAGAATCTCAAATATAAAATTATATTTTGATTTGTTTAACACTTTTTTGGTCACTACATGATTCCATATGTGTTATTTCATAGTTTTGATGTCTTCTCTGTTATTCTACAATGTAGAAAATAGTAAAAAATAAAGAAAAACCTTGGAATGAGTAGCTGTGTCCAAACATTTGACTGGTACTGTATATTTGTAAAATAATTCAAACAAGTAAAGTTAATTGGTATTTGTTGGGTCCTGTTACTTTGTATTTGTTGTATTTCGTATCTAAAAAATTGAATTGTCTATAAAATATTGGTCATAAAAAAAAGTAAATTCATGAGGTGGTTGAAGTGGTAGTCCTCTGTAGCTCAGCTGGTAGAGCACGGCGCTTGTAACGCCAAGGTAGTGGGTTCGAACCCCGGGACCACCCATACACAAAATAAATGTATGCACGCATGACTGTAAGTCGCTTTGGATAAAAGCGTCTGCTAAATGGCATATTATTTATTATTATTAAGTGGTATCTGTATCCAACCCCACTTCAATCTCAAGTAGAAAAATTTAAAAAAAAGTAGAGTGCCTATGTGTTTCAGTCCATGTATTACATATAAATCCCCCCCCCCCCCCCCCCCCCCTGCGTCCCAGGTGGATGAGTTGCGGGTGCGGGTTCGAGAGCTGGAGGAGAGGGAGAGGAAGGAGAGCAAGAAGCTGGCTGATGAGGACGCTCTTAGGAAGATCCGTGTGGCAGAGGAGACAATCGACCACCTACAGAAGAAGCTCACTGCCACCAAACAGGTACTGTATATCCACTACACATTCAAAACTTTTGCAGAGGTGTTGAATATGTTAAATATCACAATTGCAGTGGGTTTGCCTTGGCTTTGCCATATATTTTTTTTCATTTGACCAGGTATTTCAATGGAATTTGATTTCTTAAGAAATCTCAGTGCCGATAAGTGAGGTGTCGCAATGCTATTCAGTGGTATTTTAATTACATTAGATGAGGTGTCATTGTGAAGTCAGTTGATACATGTTAGTTACAATTACATTGTGTGTGTGATTCATTCGGGATACATTGCAAGGTAACACTGTGTGACCTAATGTGTTTTCATCTGCCATATTGTACCAGGTCTCTCTCTTAAAGAGATTGGACCTCAATTAAATGAAACTACATAACTAACAGTAAAAATAAAATATAAAAAACTAAACCAATGCCAACTCTATGCCAACCTCCCACCCCCCTGTACCTCTCCATTCTGTCCAGGAGGAGGAGGCCCTACTGAGTGAGATGGACGTGACAGGTCAGGCCTTTGAGGACATGCAGGAGCAGAACAGCCGGCTGATGCAGCAGCTGAGGGAGAAGGATGACGCCAACTTCAAGCTGATGTCGGAACGCATCAAGTCCAACCAGATCTACAAGCTGCTGAGGGAGGAGAAGGAGGAGCTGGCCGACCAGGTGCTCACCTTCAAGACCCAGGTAAGAGAGACTGTGGAGGATGGACTGTCAGCATCGTGTGTGTGTTTATTTCCAAGGCAACTTACAAAGCGGTGGATGTACAACGGGTGCATAACTCGTTTGGCAAGAAAGACTGTTTTATTTTATTTTTCTAAGACACCCGCGGGTCAAAAAATAGCATATCTCGAGCCGCATGTTGTGCATCCCTGATGTAAACATTGGCTATTGAAATAAAAAAGAAAACAACATTTGATTGTAGTCCTGATAATGCATGTGTTTCTGAGCTAATGAGGAAGAGGTCTGATTGATTGGTTCCCCTTGCTGTCTGTCACAGGTGGAAGCCCACTTATTGGTTGTACAGAAGCTGGAGGAGAAAGAGGGCATCCTCCAGAGCTTACTGGCCACTCTGGAGAAAGAGTTAGGAGTTCGCATACAAGCACTAGAACTCAACAAGAGGAAGGTAGCAAAACAATACCTCTACTACTACTAAGATACTTTTAAACTCCCCTTCTTCCACAGTTACCTTACCAATACTACTACTCACAGTACTACAACTACTACTACTGCTTTTACTATTGATATTGTAATAATACCACAAAAAGGAATAACAATACCACTGTTGTGAAGGACAATACTAGAAATTGTGTTGCTGGTCACTCTTCTTGTGACATTCTGTTGGGAGTATCTCTGAGTGTCTCTTGCCCCTCCATGTCCCCAGGCGGTGGAGGCAGCCCAGCTGGCTGAGGACTTGAAGGTGCAGCTGGAACACACCCAGTCCAAGCTGAGGGAGATCCAGGTGTCCGTGTCCGAGAACCGCACAGCCAGAGAGAGGGAGTTGGGCAACCTCAAAAGAGCACAGGTACACACAACTACTGACAAGTCTGTCCTTTCTAGATATTTATCCTTTATTTAACCAGGTGAGTCCCATTTTTAAATAGTAATATATTTTTTCGTGGGAACCCTGGTGTTAATTTGTCAAACCCCTAAAAGCCTTCAGTGAATACAGTGGGAAGGGTAATTTTACATTTAAGTCATTTAGCAGATGCTCTTATCCAGAGCGACTTACAAATTGGTGCATTCAACTTAGGATAGCCAGTGGGACAGCCACCCTTTTTTTTTTTATGGGGGAGTAGAAGGATTACTGTTATACTATTCCAGGTATTCCTTAAAGAGGTAGGGTTTCAAGTGTCTCCGGAAGGTGGTCAGTGACTCCGCTGTCGTGGGGGAGCTTGTTCCACCATTGGGGTGCCAGAGCAGCGAATAGCTTTGACTGGGCTGAGCGGGAACTGTGCTTCCGTAGAGGTAGGGGAGCTAGCAGGCCAGAGGTGGATGAACGTAGTGCCCTCGTTTGGGTGTAGGGTCTGATCAGAGCCTGAAGGTAAGGAGGTGCCGTTCCCCTCACAGCTCCATAGGCAAGCACCATGGTTTTGTAGTAGATGCGAGCCTCAACTGGAAGCCAGTGGAGTGTGCGGAGGAGCGGGGTAACATGAGAGAACTTGGGAAGGTTGAACACCAGACGGGCTGCAGCGTTCTGGATAAGTTGTAGGGGTTTAATGGCACAGGCAGGGAGCCCAGCCAACAGCGAGTTGCAGTAATCCAGACGGGAGATGACAAATGCCTGGATTAGGACCTGTGCCGCTTTCTGTGTAAGGTAGGGTCGTACTCTGCGAATGTTGTAGAGCATGAACCTGCATGATCGGGTCACCGCTTTGATGTTGGCGGAGAACGACAGGGTGTTGTCCAGGGTCACGCCAAGGTTCCTTGCACTCTGGGCGGAGGACACAATGGAGTTGTCAACCGTGATGGCGAGATCATGGAGCGGGCAGTCCTTCCCCGGGAGGAAGAGCAGCTCCGTCTTGCCGAGGTTCAGCTTGATGGTGGTGATCCGACATCCACACTGATATGTCCGCCAGACATGCAGAGATGCGATTCGCCACCTGGTTATCAGAAGGGGGAAGGGGGAAATTAATTGTGTGTCGTCTGCGTAGCAATGATAGGAGAGACCATGTGAGGATATGACAGAGCCAAGTGAATTGGTGTATAGAGAGAATAGGAGAGGGCCTAGAACTGAGCCCTGGGGGACACCAGTGGTGAGAGCACGTGGTGCGGAGACAGATTCTCGCCACGCCACCTGGTAGGAGCGACCTGTCAGGTAGGACGCAATCCAAGAGTGAGCAGCGCCGGAGATGCCCAACTCGGAGAGGGTGGAGAGGAGGATCTGATGGTTCACAGTATCAAAGGCAGCAGATAGGTCTAGAAGGATAAGAGCAGAGGAGAGAGAGTTAGCTTTAGCAGTGCGGAGAGCCTCCGTGACACAGAGAAGAGCAGTCTCAGTTGAATGACCAGTCTTGAAACCTGACTGGTTTGGATCAAGAAGGTAATTCTGAGAGAGGTAGCAGGAGAGTTGGCTAGAGACGGCACGCTCAAGAGAGAGAAAAGAAAGAAGGGATACTGGTCTGTAGTTCTTGACATCGGAGGGATCGAGTGTAGGTTTTTTGAGGAGGGGTGCAACTCTCGCTCTCTTGAAGGAAGGGACATAGCCAGCGGTCAAGGATGAGTTGATGAGCGAAGTGAGGTAAGGGAGAAGGTCTCCGGAAATGGTCTGGAGAAGAGAGGAGGGGATAGGGTCAAGCGGGCATGTTGTTGGGCGGCCGTCACAAGTCGCAAGATTTCATCTGGAGAGAGAGGGGAGAAAGAAGTCAAAGCATAGGGTAGGGCAGTGTGAGCAGGACCAGCGGTGTCATTTGACTTAGTAAATGAGGATTGGATGTCGTCAACCTTCTTTTCAAAATGGTTGACGAAGTCATCCACAGAGAGGGAGGAGGAGGATTCAGCAGGGAGGAGGTGGCAAAGAGCTTCCTAGGGTTAGAGGCAGAGGCTTGACATTTAGAGTGGTAGAAAGTGGCTTTAGCAGCAGAAACAGAGGAAGAAAATGTAGAGAGGAGGAAGTGAAAAGATGACAGGTCCGCAGGGAGTCTAGTTTTCCTCCATTTCCATTCGGCTGCCCTGTTCTGTGAGCTCGCAATGAGTCGTCAAGCCATGGAGCAGGAGGGGAGGACCGAGCCAGCCGGGAGGATAGGGGACATAGAGAGTCAAAAGATGCAGAAAGGGAGGAGAGGAGGGTTGAGGAGGCAGAATCAGGAGATCGGAGGGAGGAGGATTTAGCAGAGGGAAGAGATGATAGGATGGAAGAGGAGAGAGTAGCGGGAGAGAGAGAACGAAGGTTGCGACGGCACATTACCATCTGAGTAGGGCCAGAGTGAGTAGTGTTGGAGGAGAGCGAGAGAGAAAAGGATACAAAGTAGTGGTCGGAGACTTGGAGGGGAGTTGCAGTGAGATTAGTAGAAGAACAGCATCTAGTAAAGATGAGGTCAAGCGTATTGCCTGCCTTGTGAGTAGGGGGGGACGGTGAGAGGGTGAGGTCAAAAAAGGAAAGGAGTAGAAAGAAGGAGGCAGAGAGAAATGAGTCAAAGGCAGACGTAGGGAGGTTAAAGTCACCCAGAACTGTGAGGGGTGAGCCATCCTCAGGAAAGGAACTTATTAAGGCGTCAAGCTCATTGATGAACTCTCCAAGGGAACCTGGAGGGCGATAAATGATAAGGATGTTAAGCTTGAATGGGCTAGAAACTGTGACAGCATGGAATTCAAATGAGGAGATAGACAGATGGGTCAGGGGGAAAAGAGAGAATGTCCACTTGGGAGAGATGAGGATTCCTGTGCCACCGCTGCGCTGACCAGATGCTCTTGGGGTATGCCAGAACACATGATCAGACGAGGAAAGAGCAGTAGGAGTAGCAGTGTTTTCTGTGGTAATCCATGTTTCCGTCAGCGCCAAGAAGTCGAGGGACTGGAGGGTAGCATAGGCTGAGATTAACTCTGCCTTGTTGGCCGCAGAACGGAAGTTCCAGAGGCTGCCGGAGACCTGGAACTCCACGTGGGTTGTGCGCGCAGGGACCACCAGATTAGAGTGGCAGCAGCCACGCGGTGTGAAGCGTTTGTATGGCCTGTGCAGAGAGGAGAGAACAGGGATAGACAGACACATAGTTGACAGGCTACAGAAAAGGCTACAATAATGCAAAAGAGATCGGAATAAAATTAACTAAACATCTGGGAAAGCGAGAGAGCGGGGCATCCCTCACTTACCTTTCACTGAAACACTCAAATATAACTCTCCCAACTTCAACTTTAGAAATTATAATTGTTGTAAACTACAGCGGTTCAATGTTTCTAGGAATAGACTCTAACTTAGTTTATTGAGCTAGCTAACTTGGTACAGTATTCTTACCGTGAAAACCGCCCAGGGCACCGTATCCTATGACGCCATAGCTAACTAGCATGCTAGCATCCAATAACACACGGTTTATCACCAATAATTGGTTACAACAAACTACCAATAGTGTGTTAACACACTAAACAGATAATTCGTGTCCGTGTCTAGTTCCTTTCATAACGCAGAAATAATTAAACGTTGGCTAGCTAGCACAAAAGTCAGTCATGCTAGCTACACAAGTGCACAATACTGTAGTAGCCTATATTAACTGTAGGTCTAATATAAGCTACTACAGTATTCGACTGTGTCTGCCTGACTTATAGGAGGACCTGTCCAGGCTACGACGAAAGCTGGAGAAACAGAAGAAAGTAGAGGTGTACACTGATGCTGATGAGATCCTGCAGGAGGAGATCAACCAGTACAAGGTAATACAAAATACACACATCCTGATGGAATGGCCTTGCTTTTGTTTGATCAATTACATGTAGTTGTACATGTGAGAAGGTTCACATATTGTGGTACATGGATAACACTTTATTTTACAGCGTTAACTGTATATTTTCTATCCCAAATTGACCCTGCATTTTCTGTACTCCACACCTTGCAGGCGAAGCTGCGTTGTCCGTGCTGCAACACCCGCGACAAAGAGACGGTGCTCACCAAGTGCTTCCACGTTTTCTGCTACGAGTGTCTGAAGACGCGCTATGACACTCGTCAAAGGAAGTGCCCCAAGTGCAACTGTGCCTTCGGGGCCAACGACTTCCACCGCATCTACATCACCTAACTCCGTTACATGTAGAGGAGAAGAAGAGAACAGTGAACAGAGATAAAGGAGAGAAGGGGGGTGGGGAATAAATGGATGGAAGTGAGGGTGTGGTTGGAGAGCTTAGTTTTGTCTTTGCTTTTAATCTCTCCTTTTGGAAATACTTTTTTATATTGCATCATTGCCGGTTGGTGCTAGTGACCAAACAGATAGTTGTGACTGAGTGAGAGTGTAAAAACAGAAGTGCACATACCAAGGTATTCCTACTTCTGGATACTCTGAATTGTTTTTCTGTCCCATCTTTGTTTTTGGTCAGGTCTTGCCCATGTGGTAATTAACTTTTAACTGAGCCCATTTTTGTTGTTGACATTTTTCACCTTCTAAAAGAGAACTAGGAAGTTGTCGTAGCGCTGTATGATTTGTATACATTCAGACTTCCCCAGAATCATCCTTGAGAGCACCTGTATGTGCTTGTTTGGTCTTTTCTTAAAATACCTGATTCTCAAGAACTGAGATTAAATCACTGGACGCGTATCTAGTTTAGTTGATATGTTGAGTTGTGTACAAATGCGACTCAATTCAGTAGAAATGTATTTACTTTCATTATCGTAATGAGCACGTTATGCTCCTGTGCAGAGATTTCACCAGACGATACTGCAGGCCTTGACATTAACTTTTTTTTAGCCACTTGTCCTTCAGAGAAGTAGGACAGATGTATTTTTTTTTGTCCGAAAGCTCAAGTCACTTGTCCCCCCCCCAAAAAAAAAAACATGAAGTCTAACACCATGGGCCTAAAGGGTGACACTTAAAATTGTGTTGTATGTTTCAAGAAACCACTTTACTAAATAAAAATTACTATTATTGCTACCATATAGAGAATCAGACAAATTTAGGTTAACCTCTGCCTATTGGCTTCTTTGCATATTCAAGCCTGTCTCAAAATAAGACACTGCCCTTTTAGATGCACCTGGAGGATGGTTGGCAACCCTTAAATAGGCCAAAAAATATTGCACGGTTACAATTCCAATCGAATACTTTTTGTCTTTAATAAATCATTTCCTAATTTAATGATTCAGGGATCAAATGGCTACGGTAGGTTTCTTAAAAGCAAGGTAACTAACGAAGATGTGTTTATAACATTGTAAGGCTAAAATATTCACGTTTCAGTGGAGATATATTGACCACACTGTTCAACCAATCCAATAAATGTGGAGGAGGAGTTAAGATGGAGTGTCGCCTTGTTAACGTCCAAAAGCGGAAGTCACTTCATAGGCTCTTTCCATTTCCCTTGAAACCCAAACATCCGGTTGTTGGGGACTCAGCGGAGGCTACTATGAAGCTATTCTAAGAAGATTTTAACGTCAGAATGACATGGCCAATGTTGAATAAAGGGGAATCTCAGCTTTCCAACGGTGTTAGATTTATTTCTCAACTCCCAATAATAAATACATTTCAGATATGCTATCCCCAAAATAATAATTTGGTTGTGTTTATGAAGGTCTTGGCTAACATACTACGAGAATATATATATTTTTCTAAAAACACAATAGCATTTTCATTAATTTATTTTACTGTAGGCTATCTGTAAAAATGAATAAACACTAAAAGCACCACAATTGAAATGTTACATCATCACAAAGAAATCCATTATAATTACGTTTTGGCAGGTCTTATAAGGCCCAGTGCAGTCCAAATTGTGTTTTTCCTGTGTTTTGTATCATATTGTACAACAGCTGATGAAATGAACACTGTAAAAGTGTGAACAAAATTGATCAGTGTTATATCCTGATAGTTGCTGGTTGAAAATACAATCTACACAGGACCTTCTAATCAGCCTGTTTGCATGGGTGGGAGTTTCTGCTTGCCTGGTGACATCACCAGGTGGGAAATTGGTTAACTTTTACATTTTAGTCATTTAGCAGACGCTCTTAACAGACCAATAACAAAGAGAGTTCCAAACCTCTCTGCTAAAAACAGCAAGTTTTAAGTTTTCACCTCCCCGCTTAGACCACTCCCAGACAGTCCTAACAAAAATCTTGCTTGAGAAGGTTTTTGCTAAAAATACGTTTTTGTTCATTTTAACTATTACAGTAAGGTACTTGTTACCCAGAAATGATTTGATATTGATATAAACATGGCTGCATTGGGCCTTTAAGAAAAAAAATTAACTAAGAAAATGTATTTCAAAAGAACAGAGTAAAATATATACAGTGAGGGAAAAAAGTATTTGATCCCCTGCTGATTTTGTACGTTTGCCCACTGTCAAAGAAATGATCAGTCTATCATTTTAATGGTAGGTTTATTTGAACAGTGAGAGACAGAATAACAACAAAAAAATCCAGAAAAACGCATGTCAAAAATGTTATAAATTGATTTGCATTTTAATGAGGGAAATAAGCATTTGACCCCCTCTCAATCAGAAGGATTTATGGCTCCCAGGTGTATTTTATACAGGTAACGAGCTGAGATTAGGAGCACACTCTTAAAGGGAGTGCTCCTAATCTCAGCTTGTTACCTGTATAAAAGACACCTGTCCACAGAAGCAATCAATCAGATTCCAAACTCTCCACCATGGCCAAGACCAAAGAGCTCTCCAAGGATGTCAGGGACAAGATTGTAGACCTACACAAGGCTGGAATGGATTACAAGACCATCACCAAGCAGCTTGTTGAAAAGGTGACAACAGTTGGTGCGATTATTCGCAAATGGAAGAAACACTAAATAACTGTCAATCTCCCTCGGCCTGGGGCTCCATGCAAGATCTCACCTCGTGGAGTTGCAATGATCACAAGAATGGTGAGGAATCAGCCCAGAACTACACGGGAGGATCTTGTCAATGATCTCAAGGCAGCTGGGACCATAGTCACCAAGAAAACAATTGGTAACACACTACGCCGTGAAGGACTGAAATCCTGCAGCGCCCGCAAGGTCCCCCTGCTCAAGAAAGCACATATACAGGCCCGTCTGAAGTTTGCCAATGAACATCTGAATGATTCAGAGGAGAACTGGGTGAAAGTGTTGTGGTCAGATGAGACCAAAATCGAGCTCTTTGGCATCAACTCAACTCGCTGTGTTTGTAGGAGGAGGAATGCTGCCTATGACCCCAAGAACACCATCCCCACTGTCAAACATGGAGGTGGAAACATTATGCTTTGGGGGTGTTTTTCTGCTAAGGGGACAGGACAACTTCACCGCATCAAAGGGACGATGGACGGCGCCATGTACCGTGAAATCTTGGGTGAGAACCTCCTTCCCTCAGCCAGGGCATTGAAAATGGGTCATTGGATGGGTATTCCAGCATGACAATGACCCAAAACACAAGGCCAAGGCAACAAAGGAGTGGCTCAAGAAGAAGCACATTAAGGTCCTGGAGTGGCCTAGCCAGTCTCCAGACCTTAATCCCATAGAAAATCTGTGGAGGGAGCTGAAGGTTCGAGTTGCCAAACGTCAGCCTTGAAACATTAATGACTTGGAGAAGATCTGCAAAGAGGAGTGGGACAAAATCCCTGCTGAGATGTGTGCAAACCTGGTGGCCAACTACAAGAAACATCTGACTTCTGTGATTGCCAACAAGGGTTTTGCCACCAAGTACTAAGTCATGTTTTGCAGAGGGGTCAAATACTTATTTCCCTCATTAAAATGCAAATCAATTTATAACATTTTTGACATGCGTTTTTCTGGATTTTGTTGTTGTTATTCTGTCTCTCACTGTTCAAATAAACCTACCATTAAAATTATAGACTGATCATTTCTTTGTCAGTGGGCAAACGTACAAAATCAGCAGGGGATCAAATACTATTTTCCCTCACTGTATATATTTGTATTACTAGTAGTCGTTGCTTAGTAGCCTAGGCTATATGCTGCCGCCAGTGCTCTGTGTGGAGCGCATTGAACAGCGGTTTTTTCTTGGAAAAAGTGATATTTTGAAATAGAGCTCATCTCAGTTATTTGGCAAATAAAGATACAGATGTATGACCTGCATGAACCTCTGTAGGATGATTAGAAAATGTTGCTTTTTGGTTAAGCTTAGTCAATTACACACGTCAATTCACAATTTATAATATTGTCACCCATCAGACTGTCAATTTAATGTTGTCTTTAGGCTATAATTATTATATCTGTGCAATTAGTTTTTATATAGTTTAGGTGGAGTTTCCATGGGCCATTATCAGATGGGCAGCCAACTGTCAGGTGAAGGAAGGGCTGGGGGGAAATGACATGTCCTCCTAAAACTGCTTATAACACAAATCGAAATTCTAACAATGTCAGTGTGTTAAATATATTTATTTAGGAAAAGTCAAAGATGGAGGGGGGCATGACTTTAAAAATGCAGATATTAAAATGTTTAATTCACATGAAGTTAAAATGACAGTCTTGTTGTTTCTAGTGTTAACTACTGAGATAACTACTTGTCTGACACTTATTTTTTTTACTTGCCCCGGACAATCTTAAAGTCGAGCCCTACTATTGTCAATAGGAATTATTCGACACAAAGTTGGCAGTTTAGTTTGGCGCAGAATCAGCACAAAAAGGAGTGTTAAGGATCACCTTGGGCTAGATCTTAGTGTGTTAAGCCAGTTATGACCAATCCTGTTGCTAGCACCTAGAGCGACTTACAGTCACACACAACATCTGCAGGTTTTAGTGCCTCATTACTGATTACGTCATTTCAATGGAATAGTCAGCTCATGAGTGTCATACTAAGTGGGCTGTCCCATCCAGGTCCTCCAAGACGACTTTGTTAAAGGTTACTCATACACTAGTCTCAAAACATCTGTTACAACCATATTCTGCCTTAATGGACCTCGGAACACTTAGTTCCGATGATGTAAACAGTATAATGAGAGCTCTGTAATGCGTTTGACGTTAGCTCCTGTGAGAACCAAAATCATAACTGGCTTCAAAAAACCACAGTGAGATTCTGGTGATCTACAGTCAATGGCAAAAAAAACATGTATCGGTTCAAAATAAGACCTCTATAATATTTTGATGTAATGTTGTGTCTGTCTGGATATTTGGATTGGTATAAATGAGTGGACAGTGTGGGCTCTGATTGTGATGTTATGAACATACATGTCGTTTGGAACATACTAGCGATCATTCTGTATTTCACAGTGTAGAAGTTGTGCGTTCCTAGTAAAAACGTTCACTTGTGCATCATGAGTTGAGTTGAATGTTGAATACATTTCCTAATCTTGGGGTTTTCTGACCTCTTCTAAACCTTTTGGCAGGTTAATAATGGGAAAGCATTTGATCTTGTTAAAAAAGCAGAAGTATCAAATATATGTGGGTCTGTGAGTGTTTCAGTTCCCACTTGTGCGCCTAACATTTGGTTTCCCAATACTGTATATAGCAGGAGGGGTTTTGCGTTGTGTTTTTACAGATGTTGCTCCTTCCTGAGGATGGCAAAAAACAAGCTCCTTTGACAGTCAAGTGTTACATATACATACAACCATATGACCATACAAAATAATATATACCACACATGTATACAACATAGTATGAAAAATGTATGCACTCACTAATTGTAAGTCGCTCTGGATAAGAGCGTCTACTAAATGACAAAAATGTCAATTGGATCACAAAAAATATATATATATATATGAGATAGCGAAAAAAAAAACGTTAAATTGAACACTGTAATAGCTGCAGAACCTACTCATGTGAACCAAGATGAGGATCCTCTTCTGTAATTGTATTAATTTCCCTGTAGTGTTTCTCAGAAAAATACAACTTTGCATCACAAAAGTTCTGTGAAGTTTTAAACAACCCTAAACGTATTCAACCCCAGTGTAAAGCGCTTTTCTCCACTGCTTATGGGATCCAGACCTATGCAACTGCCAGATACTTGTGTTTTTTGGCAGTGCTCAGTGAATGACGTAGACAGGCGTGGTAATAACAATGAGAACACTATTAATTCCAGACTATACAGATTTTGCACTCTGAAGTTGGCTAAGGGCAAATCAAAAAGGGTGCGGTCATGGTATTTAGTTCTGCTGGTTCTAATATACATATTGTGGATGATCCATTGCCATTTTTCGCTTTACTACAATAAACGAAAGTAAAATGTTCTATCATTCTAAAGTTTCCTGCCTGTCGGGATGGCTGTGCTACGCGCGCAATACACTGAGAATGTGAGTACAGTACATAGGAAATGACTCATAGGAGTTGAACTGTTAGCGTGGGTGTGTACTCTATTAAAACAAGGCTCAGACTACTCCGGGTGACTCATTGTGAGGCTAGCTTTTCCATGGTGAAAACCAAAACTGGCTCTTCATCAGATTAACTTTCGGGAATTGCGTTTATACAAGAACCATGGCTTCAAACATTATCTGTGCGCTTTGTGGACTTATCATTGCGACTGTAGCGAACCTAAACGGAGTGAACGGGCAACAAAGTAAGTAAAATACTTTTAATTTAACTTTTATGGATATAGCTAAACTTGAATTGTATTCATTGTGTTTACATCCGTTGATCTATGTAAGGCAAATAAAAATACTTAAAAACAAATTTTCGATTGCAATACGATATTTTAAATGCGTTTTAAAGAAACGTTATTTTATCTAACTTTTAATCGCATGGGAATTCTTGTTTCACTGACCGTCATGGAGTCATCGCATGGCTACTCAAATGGAGTCTGATAAAAGAAAGGGTTGCTTATGGAGTTGCTTCCTCTACCAGCTGCCTTCTCACCGGTTCCGCATTCCAATCGCCTTATTTCACTCTATCCATGCCCATGGTTGAAAAGGACAGACCTGATGGATGGGTCTACTTATAGTTGGCAATAGACAAAAATCATTATAACCTATTTACTTTCTTGAGAGGATGTAGGCTATAACTTCTTAAGTAAAATTGTGAACTCCACAAATGTGCATAATTAATGGTGACTTTGAACTTGACAATATAATGCTTCCCATTCACATTACCAGCACATTAATAATTCCTTTATTGAGGCTATTTTCTAGGATGGCTCTTAGTGATGAGCGGGCATCAGAAAAAATTGTATTATGTCTTAAATGCATGTGAGACTGTTTCAGTATTGTCCAGACCAGGGCAACAATGTAGCTAATGCTGAAATGGGCTTTCATCCAGGGCCCAAGGGTGAATTTGGGATTTTGCAGGTCACTACCCAAAATGTGTTGATTGCTTATGATCACTCAGCAATTCTAACATGAACAGTCCTGGAAGTCAGACAAAGATGAGAATCCACAACAATTCCTGATAACATGCATAATCTGCTTCTTCATAAATAGTATGTTACCATGGAAACATCAAGTCTCCAATTTCCTGCACTCTCATCTCACACCTTTGTCTTACATCATTGTGTCACTCAGTTCTGACCTTATGGTATTGTTTCACTGAGTTTCAAAGCAACTGATGGGCAATTCCACGGAAAACAATTCAGACTCAGATTTTTCACTTTAAAATGTATGCCAAACAAAAGCCATTGATGCACAAGGACTACTTTGCACAATTTATAACAACATTTCATAAAAACACATTTACTGGAAGAACTGTGCAGATACAAAGTTTGGTAACATAATTACGGCAAAATGTCCTTCAGTTTTTTATGCGACCACATTTTCGAAAAAACTGTTAATTATCTGCTCTGAATAAAGATTCAAAGATGTCTGCAGAACGAATGGGGTATCTGCTATGACATGACACCTTGAGTTAGAAAAAAACTATTTTGGTTATTAAACTACAGTAAGTGAAGTGGATTTACACCCGTTAACAGAATTACGGTAATGGAATTACATCATGGGTCCCTGATCTGTACTACACAGAAATGCATAATTATGCATTCTCTTCATGTTGATGTATCCTGAAAAAGGTACACAAAGGTAGAAATACGCAATATCATCCTATGCATATATGGGTATTATTCTACACACTGGCTATTATTCTAATGAGATCTGCCCCCAAACAAGACCAAATTTGGTTGGTCCGGACCAGACCAAATCTGAACCAATCATAGACGTCCATGTTTCACAAGTTTGGACATCACAGTACAGTACAGTACAGCACATCACAGTACAGTACAGTACAGTAGAATACAGTACAGTAAAGTATAGTTCAGTACAGTACATTATACTGTCCTCTACGCTATTGTGCTCTACTGTACTGTACTATACTCTACTTCTCTTTACTGTACTGTACTCTACTGTGCTGTACTATACTCTACTCTACTTCTCTTTGCTGTACTGTACTCTACTTCTCTTTACTGTACTCTACTCTACTGTACTGTACTATACTCTACTTCTCTTTACTGTACTGTACTCTACTGTGCTGTACTATACTCTACTCTACTTCTCTTTACTGTACTCTACTCCTCTGTACTCTACTGTACTGTACTGTACTGTACTTCTCTGTACTCTACTGTTCTTCACTCTACTGTACTGTACTGTACTTTGCTGTCCAAACTTGTGAAACATAAACGTCTATGATTCGTTCAAATTTGGTCCGGTAACAAACCATTTTCTCAAAGTACATTGTCCATGTGGTTATATGCTGAATTACAAAGTGACAAACCACATTGTCAACACCTGATTACACTGACTAGACCCTTGTGTGACCTTCAAGCTCAAGGAAGAGGAAACTATAGGCTTTATCTCATTGACACTTTACATCACTTCAATGAGTGAATCTAATGACGTGGAGACGTCAAGCCTGACAAGCAGTGTCAGAGTAACCCGAACTCTGTAAAGTAACAGGCGTTTCATCACATTATCGACAAGTTTGTTAAGCGCTGTGATCACTACATTGAATTCACCATCAGGCTTTATTCTTTACCGAGTTGAATTAACATTGCAGACCCTTTCTTCCATACTTCATCACCTTAGATATAAATTGACACATGCCTCTTTTTTATGAGTCTGGTACTGCTGTCTGTGGGTTCTCTAAAAGGATATGTGGTTTCCGTTGTAGTGTCTCTCAGGGAACATAGACATTTTAAATCTAGTCTACGACATATTTGTCTGTCAGTTCACTGCTGTTATGGTAATGTTTACTCCCAGTCTCCCCACACCTTCTCTAGAAGTCAAACACGCCAAAACAATGTGTCAGAAATCGTCTTGATAACACACATCCTGCCATTCACACACGACATCTCACCATGCTTGTGCACGCAAAGCCAATGAGTAATGTTAATTGGCACGTAAGTGCATCAGTATGCGAAATTCAAAGGAATTCCCCAACTAATTTCATAAGAAGAGGAAACCCACAGTTTCTCGGATCTTCTCTATTTCTTTGGACTTGATGTCATACGATTTCTTTATCATTGGGCAAAAACAATTCCTTTCTCAGACCACAGACTAAGTGCATACCTTTTTATTGGCAGGTTTTAAAAACATCTACAATAAGATAAATCATACTTACAGTTGAAGTCGGAAGTTTACATACACATTAGCCAAATACATTTAAACTCTGTTTTTCACAATTCCTGACATTTAATCCTAGTAAAAATTCCCTGTCGTAGGTCAGTTAGCATCACCACTTTATTTTAAGAATGTGAAATATCAGAATAATAGTAGAGAGAATGATTTATTTCAGCTTTTATTTCTTTCATCACATTCCCAGTGGGTCAGAAGCTTACATACACTCAATTAGTATTTGGTAGCATTGCCTTTAAATTGTTTAACTTTGGTCAAACGTTTCGGGTAGCCTTCCACAAGCTTCCCACAATAAGTTGGGTGAATTATGGCCCATTCCTCCTAACAGAGCTGGTGTAACTGAGTCAGGTTTGTAGGCCTCCTTGCTTGCACACGCTTTTTCAGTTCTGCCTACACATTTTCTATAGGATTGAGGTCAGGGCTTTATGATGGCCACTCCAATACCTTGACTTTGTTGTCCTTAAGCCATTTTGCCACAACTTTGGAAGTATGCTTGGGGTCATTGTCCATTTGGAAGACCCATTTGCGACCAACCAACCCCCATGCAGCAAAGCACCCCCACAGCATGATGCTGCCACCCCCGTGCTTCATGGTTGGAATGGTGTTCTTCGGCTTGCAAGCATGCCCCTTTTTCCTCCAAACATAACGATGGTTATTATGGCCAAACAGTTCTATTTTTGTTTCATCAGACCAGAGGACATTTCTCCAAAAAGTAAGATCTTTGTCCCCATGTGCAGTTGCAAACCGTAGTCTGGCTTTTTTATGGCGGTTTTGGAGCAGTGGCTTCTTCCTTGCTGAGCGGCCTTTCAGGTTATGTCGATATAGGACTCATTTTACTGTGGATATAGATACTTTTGTACCTGTTTCCTCCAGCATCTTCACAAGGTCCTTTGCTGTTGTTCTGGGATTGATTTGCACTTTTCACACCAAAGTACGTTCATCTCTAGGAGACAGAACGCATCTCCTTCCTGAGCGGTATGACGGCTGCGTGGTCCCATGGTGTTTATACTTGCGTACTATTGTTTGTACAGATGAACGTGGTACCTTCAGGCGTTTGGAAATTGCTCCCAAGAATGAACCAGACTTGTGGAGGTCTACAAGCAAATAGGCACTGAGTTTGAAGGTAGGCCTTGAAATACATCCACAGGTACACCTCCAATTGACTCAAATGATGTCATGGCTTTAGAAGCTTCTGATAGGCTAATTGACATCATTTGAGTCAATTGGAGGTGTACCTGTGGATGTATTTCAAGGCCTACCTTCAAACTCAGTGCCTCTTTGCTTGACATCATGGGAAAATCAAAAGAAATCAGCCAAGACCTCAGAAAAAATATTGTAGACCTCCACAGGTACACCTCCAATTGACTCAAATGATGTCAATTAACCTATCAGAAGCTTCTAAAGCCATGACATCATTTTCTGGAATTTTCCAAGCTGTTTAAAGACACAGTCAACTTAGTGTATGTAAACTTCTGACCCACTGGAATTGTGATACAGTGAATTATAAGTGAAATAATCTGTCTGTAAACCATTGTTGGAAAAATTACCTTTGTCAAGCACAAAGTAGATGTCCTAACCAACTTGCCAAAACTATAGTTTGTTAACAAGACATTTGTGGAGTGGTTGAAAAACGAGTTTTAATGACTCCAACCTAAGTGTATGTAAACTTCCGACTTCAACTGTAGGTTTCTGTCTAAAGACTATTCAAGCAGATCCATTGTTCTCATTGACCAATGTTGAAGGAAATAGTTCATTTGTTTTGGTGAGGTAGAGGAACATTTCCCAATGAGCAAATTAAGTCACAAATTGTTGTCATTAAAAGGGGTAAAAGCTGTCAGAGAATTAAGCATTAAGTCTCTCCATTTGATGTTTTTTCACAGACCTATGCAGTAGTTCAGAGTTCTGGAGTTCGGACATAGACCAATGCGTATCCTGCTCATCATGCAAGCAATATCCAAAGACTCCTTCATGTAACACATGTAAGTAAAATCCTTAGCTAAGGAACAGTCAACCTTATGTCTTACAATTAAATCAAACAAAAACCAATGCTTAATTGCCTAAAACTGTCCTCTTTGACCAATATGTCCCCTTTCAGGCACAGTTACCAAGGAAAGATCTGATGTCTGGAGACTGGCAGCCATTTCCAGCTTCTCTGTGCTGGCAGTTATTCTGGTCGCTGCAGTATTGATCATTGGAGTCATGGTGCATCGACGCAAGGCACAGAAGAGGCCCCTTCGTGGTAGGGCTCACGTCTACCATCTCATTATAAACTAACATTGTCAGTCATTACACTTATTGTAGCATGATGATAGAGAAACACATATGATGTTTGTAGCATTATGACACATTGACCTCTTTAGGTTCTGGTGAAAATACATAAAAGAAAATCAGCATTTTCTTCTTGTTCTGCAGAACCTATTGAAGAGACAACGGGACCTCTTTACCAAGCGTAAACATTTCAGTAAGTATGCATTCCTCAAATTTGTTGGTGTGACCAATTGATGATAACGGCTGTCAATTATTATACATAATTATATATGAAATTAGCCTACATACACTACCGTTCAAAAGTTTGGGGTAATTTTTTAAAAAGAAAAGCAATTTTTTTGTCCATTAAAATAACATAAAATTGATCCGAAATACAGTGTAGACATTGTTAATGTTGTAAATGGCTATTGTAGCTGGAAACGGCTGATTTTTAATGGAATATCTACATAGGCATACAGAGGCCCATTATCAGCAACCATCAGTCCTGTGTTCCAATGGCACGTTGTGTTTGCTAATCCAAGTTTATCATTTTAAATGGCTAATTGATCATTAGAAAACCATTTTGAAATTATGTTAGCACAGCTGAAAACTGTTGTGCTGATTAAAGAAGCAATAAAACTGGCCTTCTTGAGACTAGTTGAGTATCTGGAGCATCAGCAATTGTGGGTTCGATTACAGGCTCAAAATGTCCAGAAACAAATAACTTTCTTCTGAAACTCATCAGTCTATTCTTGTTCTGAGAAATGAAGGCTATTCCATGCGAGAAATTGCCAAGAAACTGAAGATCTCGTACAACACTGTGTACTACTCCCTTCACAGAACAGCGCAAACTGTCTCTAACCAGAATAGAAAGAGGAGTGGGAGGCCCCGGTGCACAACTGAGCAAGAGGACAAATACATTAGAGTGTCTAGTTTGAGAAACAGATGCCTCACAGGTCCTCAACTGGCAGCTTCATTAAATAGTACCCGCAAAACACCAGTCTCAACGTCAACAGTGAAGAGGCGACTCCGGGATGCTGACCTTCTAGGCAGAGTTGCAAAGAAAAAGCCATATCTCAGATTGGCCAATAAAAATTAAATATTAAGATGGGCAAAAGAACACAGACACTGGACTTTTTCTTGAATGACTACCGACCCGTAGCACTCACGTCTGTAGCCATGAAGTGCTTTGAAAGGCTGGTCATGGCTCACATCAACACCATCATCCCAGAAACCCTAGACCCACTCCAATTTGCATACCGCCCCAACAGATCCACAGATGATACAATCTCTATTGAACTCCACACTGCCCTTTCCCACCTGGACAAGAGGAACACCTACGTGAGAATGCTATTCATTGACTACAGCTCAGCGTTCAACACCATAGTGCCCTCAAAGCTCATCACTAAGCTAAGGACCCTGGGACTAAACACCTCCCTCTGCAATTGGATCCTGGACTTCCTGACGGGTCGCCCCCAGGTGGTAAGGGTAGGTAACAACACATCTGCCACGCTGATCCTCAACACGGGGGCCCCTCAGGGGTGCATGCTCAGTCCCCTCCTGTACTCCCTGTTCACCCATGACTGCATGGCCAGGCACGACTCCAACACCATCATTAAGTTTGCCGACGACACAACAGTGGTAGGCCTGATCACCGACAACAATGAGACAGCCTATAGGGAGGAGGTCAGAGACCTGGCCATGTGGTGCCAGGATAACAACCTCTCCCTCAACGTGATCAAGACAAAGGAGATGATTGTGGACTACAGGAAAAAAAAGAGGACTGAGCACACCCCCATTCTCATTGACAGGGCTGTAGTGGAATAGGTTGAGAGCTTCAAGTCTCTTGATGTCCACATCACCAACAAACTATCATGGTCCAAACACACCAAGACAGTCGTGAAGAGGGCACGACAAAGCCTATACCCCTCAGGAGACTGAAAAGATTTGGCATGGGTCCTCAGATCCTCAAAAATGTCTACAGCTGCACCATCGAGAGCATCCTGACTGGTTGCATCACCGCCTGGTATGACAACTGCTCGGCCTCCGACCGCAAGGCACTACAGAGGGTAGTGCGTACGGCCCAGTACATCACTGGGGCCAAGCTTCCTGCCATCCAGGACCTCTATACCAGGCGGTGTCAGAGGAAGGCCCTAAAAATTGACTCCAGCCACCCTAGTCATAGACTGTTCTCTCTACTACCGCATGGCAAGCGGTACCAGAGTGCCAAGTCTAGGTCCAAAAGGCTTCTCAACAGCTTCTACCCCCAAGCCATAAGACTCCTGAACAGCTAATCATGGCTACCCGGACTATTTGCACTGCCCCCCCCCCACCACCACATCCCCCTCTTTTACGCTGCTGCTACTCTGTTTATTATTTATGCATGGTCACTTTAACTCTACCCACATGTACATATTACCTCAATTACCTTGACTAGCCGGTGCCCCCGCACATTGACTCTGTACCGGTACCCCCCTGTATATAGCCTCCCTACTGTTATTTTATTTTACTGCTGCTGTTGAGTTATTTGCTTTTATTTTCTTACTTAACACTGCATTGTTGGTTAAGGGCTTGTAAGTAAGCATTTCACTGTAATGTCTAAACCTGTTGTATTCGGCGCATGTGGCAAATAAAATGTGATTTGATAATGGGCCTCTGTACGCCTATGTAGATATTCCATAAAAAATCAGCCGTTCCAGCTACAATAGCCATTTACAACATTAACAATGTCTACACTGTATTTCTGATCAATTTGATGTTATTTTAATGGACAAAAAAATGTATTTTCTTTCGAAAACAAGGACATTTCTAAGTGACCCCAAACATTTGAACGGTAGTGAAAGTATATGTAAATATTTCTGTACGAGTTGTAATTATGTTTTGTAATAATGGGGATGTTAAGAGTGAATTAACCAACAAATCTCTCATTACTTCCTCAGCCTCATCTTCCTTCTGACATTGATGTGACAGAACCAAGGGAACATCTTTGGATGACCAACCGAAAAAGAATCATTTTTGTACTGGACTGTACTCTGACCACAGGGTATTATTTGAGTGGAGTTGGACCATTTAATTTATTATACTGTTAGGAAAGATGTGTTCACACACACTCAGTGTGTTACAGAACGGAGCTCTCACATAGAACTGTGTTAACTGGCGCTGTCAATCCCTTATCTTGTCTGCAGTCAGACTATACTCTGAGGAAGATCATGTAGTTAGTAAAGAGTAGCTCTCACAGCTTTTTGAAATGATGGCCTTTGAGTAGTGATGCTAGGTTTAGCTTGTGTAGATATTCCAATAATCTATCTATCGATAAGTAAGTTGTTCAATCAATAAGTTGTTTCAAAAACAGTAGTGAACATGAGACACATCTTGAATAATTTGGATTTCTAACCATAACTGTCAATGCTTCAACACCTATTGTTCTATTGTAGCTTATTAGGTCGAATACCAAGTACCGCACTGCCTCGACTTGCCATCAGCAGGATACAAGTGAATACAGCACAATCGTGCTTCCTGGGCCAGGTTTCACATACTGTACTTCTATAGAGTAAAAGGTTTCTATTTGCTGGTCATATTTAACATCCTCATGGTAATGAAGTGTAAAAGGGAAATGTTAGATTATAAATTCATGTTGGGCACATTTGGGCCATTTGAATGTACTTTTAGGGCAATTTATCCAGTCTGTGTTTCCATGTAGGAACTATATGCACTTAGTGCTTGTTTTTAAAGGAGTAGAATTCTTTAACAGTATTGTGCACTGTACTCTCTAGGGTCTTCGAATCAAAAGAGGCAAAGGGAAAAGTTCACTGATTATGAAACTGCTCAAACATATTGGACATTTTTAAACAGGTCATTTGACCATTATACTGTAATATGTGTGTATGCAGGATAAGTAGCATAACACAGGGGTTCGCAAACTGTCATGATGGAAAAGTTCAAGGTGGTAACAGAGGTTTGCAAACTGTCGTGATGGAAAAGTTCAAGGTGGTCCAGAATTCAGTGGGAATGTGTTTGTATAGTTCAGGGGATGGGCAACTTTGATGGGGGTGGGGGCCACAAAAAATCTGAACTCATCATGAGGGGCCACAGTTGTGCCGCCACCCAATATAGTTTATATATATATATTTTTTTTGCATTTAAATCCTTCCCAGATGGACACAAATAGGGAAACCTTAGCGTTGTGCTCTCCACAGTTGAAACAATGGAGATGAGTCAATGCTTGTGTGACAGAATTTTTTTAACACTATTAGACACTGACTGTTAACCCAGGAAGGAACATTGCAGTTTAGGGAAAAACAAACTGAACCCTATTGAAAAGTATAACCATGGTATAACTGTGTAGTCATCTTCAAACTAACTCAGAGCACAATTTTAGAGTTTATTTCATATTACTTACAATATTACTTCCTTATCAATATTAAGTGAATATGGATAACAGCAGCAAGAAAGGGGTAACTTTTATACAGATATTGTTTTTATATCTATTTATTTTGAATGATATATTTTGTAATGTTTATAGTTACATGTGGAAACAGCTAACTGTATGAATAAATACTGTCGAAGGGACCCCTGTAAAGTTGTTTATAAAACCTCTGACACCAGCTGACCAATTTTATTTGTTACTGAGCAATAATTTAGGGCTCTATTCAATCTGTATCGGGGAAGCGTTACAGATTGTGCAATAGAAGTGTAAAGGTAATTTCAGATTGAGCTGTCATATGCAGCGTTTACCATGAATGCAGTCTCCGCTAACGCAGAAACATTGCCTTTAAATTTCAATTACGCTGTAACGCTGAACTTCCGTGATTTGGATTGAATAGAACCCTAGGAAATGTACTTTTCTTGTGGGCTAGTGCAGTAATAAGCATTGTTACAAATTAACTCTGTCTGACTTTTGTGTATTATATAGAATAAAATTATGAATCCCATTGATTTATTGATGTATCAACCTTGTATTATGGCCTAGATTCAATCTGTTGCGCGGAAGATCCTCGCTATAGCACGATTTAAATGCAATAATCCCGCGGTCGCAGAAACTGCATTCACGGTAAACGTTGCATCAATCGGAAATTACCTTTAAATTGAAATTGTGCTATAACACAAATCTTCAGCGCTACGGATTGAATGTAGCGAAGTTGTTCAACAACTGTCCAACTGCACACATTTTGCACTCACTACAACCATGTACTGTGTTGCGTGGAGACAGGCCTTGGTTTGGAACCAGGTACTATTGTGTGTAGGAGACAGGCCTTGGTTTGGAACCAGGTACTATTGTGTGTAGGAGACAGGCCTTGGTTTGAAACCAGGTACTATTGTGTGTAGGAGACAGGCCTTGGTTTGAAACCAGGTACTATTGTGTGTAGGAGACAGGTGTTGGTTTGAAACCAGGTACTATTGTGTGTAGGAGGCGGTACGTTTTGGAACCAGGTACTATTGTGTGTAGGAGACAGGTGTTGGTTTGGAACCAGGTTCTGCATGTTTTTTTTTTTTTTTTTTAAAGAACATGAACTAAAAAAATTACCAACACAATGTATTTTAAGTCATTTAATTTCAATAACTGATTTGTTAAGTTTCTAATTAGCTAAGTTCATAGTTCTAACAAGTAAGTAAAAATCTACATTTCAAAGTGACAAAATATATACAGGGTTATATAAATATGAATAAAATATTCATCAGACTTGAGTTTTCAAACACTAAATTCAAATGTGGTATATGCTTTTTATTATACTATAGCTAATTTAGCAGTAACTTCCTCATGTAAAGGAAATTCTTTCTATGAATGTACAGAGAACCCAGCCAATGTTTTATTCCAATATTTACAGAACTGTGGGAGACACACATGACACATATACAGAACAGGGGTAGTCATGTTGTCAAAAAAGTGAGGTGTACATTAACAAGTGCCAGAAGAGATGGAACCATAGTAATCAGACACCTAGCCACTTGCAAGGTTTAAACTGAGATCATCTGACATTCTCTACATGCAGACCATTTAATTTTCATGGTTTAAAATTTCATGTAGAGAGGGTATGAGAGCCGAATTACAGAAATTAACCATAATGTATTTGTCAATCCAAGTAACGCAAATAACCATTGAAAAAAGACAACTGTCTCCGTTTAGATATTGGTAAGTCTGCCATCACCATGCAAGCTATTCTAAGTGTACAGTAGTTCTGCAGTAACCTTGTGTAAGTTGTAGAATCACTGTGTCAGGATGGCCATGTGTTTTGTCTTCTGAATCAAGTAATATACACTACCAGTCAAAAGTTTGGACACACCTACTCAATCAAGGGTTTTTCTTTATTTTTACATTGTAGAATAATAGTGAAGACATCAAAACTATGAAATAACACATATGGAATCATGTAGTAACCAACCAGCTTCATGAGGTAGTCACCTGGAATGCATTTAAATTAACAGGTGTGCCTTACAAGTTTAATTTGTGGAATTTCTTTCCATCTTAATGTGTTTGAGCCAGTTGTGTTGTGACAAGGTAGGGGGGGTATACAGAAGATAGCCCTATTTGGTAAAAGACCAAGTCCATATTATGGCAAGAACAGCTCAAATAAGCAAAGAGAAACAAAAGTCCATCATTACTTTAAGACATGAAGGTCAGTCAATACGGAACATTTCAAGAACTTTGAATGTTTTTTCAAGTGGTCGCAAAAACCATCAAGCGCTATGATGAAACTGGCTCTCATGAGGACTGCCACAGGAAAGGTGCAGAGGATAAGTTCATTAGAGTTACCAGCCTCAGAAATTGCAGCCCAAATAAATGCTTCACAGAGTTCAAGTCACAGACACATCTCAACATCAACTGTTCAGAGGGGACTGTATGAAATCAGACCTTCATGGTCAAATTGCTGCAAAGAAACAACTACTAAAGGACACCAATAAGAAGAAGAGACCTGCTTGGGCCAAGAAACACGAGCAATGGACATTAGACCGGTGGAAATTGTCCTATGGTCTGGAGTCCAAATGTGAGATTTTTTTATTCCAACCGCCATGTCTTTGTGAGACGCGGTATGGGTGAACGGATGATCTCTGCATGTGTAGTTCCCACCGTAAAGCATGGGGGAGGAGGTGTTATGGTGGTTCCATGTGTGTTATTTCATAGTTTATGTCTTCACTATTATTCCACAATGTAGAAAATAGTAAAAATAAAGAAAAACCCTTGAATGAGTAGGTGTCCAAACTTTTGACTGGTACTGTAATTTTACCCAGTGGGCAAGCATGTTTGAATGGTCTGATAAAAAAATGAGAATTTCATCCACGAGATGTGCACTTACTAAAATAACATGTTCCCATGTATTGGCAAAATGAGCACTAAACGTTTCCAAAATGTCAACATATTGCTTATAATATTGGTAGAATGGGGAGAACAAATTACATGCATCTCGACTGCCCACGTGCAATTAGAATTTGAGGTGTTGGGAGCTGATGCCTTATTAACAATGTGCTCATGATACAGGCCTAGATAACTTTAAAAGTTTAAATTATTACAGTGTTACTATATGTTATAATTTCTCTTAAATAAACTGTTATAGCTTTAAATATCAGTTTCAGGAATTGGCAAGGCTCTTTAATGAGGTATTTTATACATCTTACCGGTCCCAGAAATATGTACAATTCATAATATATGAAATACAAGGCATAAAGAAAGCAAAGAAAAACACCTTGTGGTGTACTGATACAACACCCTCAAACAAAGGCCCTCTGCTGTTTAAAACCTAAAAAGGGTCTCCGCTTCCTACTTGTGTTTTCCAAAACATTTGACATTACAGTGTGACTGAAAAGATGCACCGTTTTGCGTATGATAGGCACCTCATTGTTTTCTACACTTTCTGGTAGGAATAGCAAACCAAAGATAACTTAATTGCACGTTTATGTAAAGGTTATGACCACAAATTGCTTTTTCCAAAGACACCCAAACCATTTCGCAAATAGTGGTGATCAACATCTGCTTCTTGATAAACGCTGTTGACTTTGCTCACAAGGGTGAACACTTAAGCTTGTTAAGTGAGTGGTTAGAACAATATTCTGTAGATTTAGCTCCACCTTTTCAAAGTTATAAAGAATCCATAATAAAACATTTAAAACAAATAAAATAACCATTAAAATAAGAGCGAACTAGGAGAGTAGGATTTCACACCACGATAATTCTACACTTTTGACTTATATTTTAAGGACTAGCACTCAAACATGTCTTTAAAAGTTTGAGAAGTCAAAAGCATGCGTATTATGGACAAAAGGCTACAATTCTTGTTTTAAGAAGACATGGGTGAGAAATGGTGCATGTAAAAAAAAGTCATGCCCAACTCAGACACTGATGATTATCTACAATACTTTGCACATCAGATATTTTCCTTTTAAAGATAAAAAACCTGAGCGCTAGCAAGACAATTATCCTTGGCTAATGCATTCATACCTGTATTGGAGTTGCACCAATTGAGAATAATGGAATTATAGATTAATCAAGGAATTTCCATAGACGCTACATAGGATATTTTCTTAAAAAGATTCAAGGTTTTCTTTACATGTTAACATTCATAGAAAACTGTGATCTATCAAAGTATACAAAGAAGAAAAAGAAAAGAAAAAAATTGAGAGAATAAAATGAATAAATTATTAAATACGTCCATTTAGCATACAATGCCTCTCAAACATGAACCCAAATATTATCATTATTAAAACGATTTACTTGATTACATGATTTCAGTAAATACCTTTGATATCATCCTCTGGGTAGGACTAGAGGTCATCTCCCTGACAGCGACAGGGTTGTCCTTATTGAAACCACATCACAAAAGGTCAATTGACCACTTCTCTCTAACCTATGGCAACACTGAGAACAAGGGCAAATATACAGCCCACACTTTTGATGAGCACAGCCGAGAAATTAACCTACGGAGGCAAAGAACACAGTAATAGACAGAAAGAGGAAATAAATAATGTCCTCTAGTTCTCACTCCTATAGCACTAAACGATTCAATGGCTTTGAGCAAACATTCAATCCAATCAGGGACTTTTTACAGTGTCACAATCCCTACTAGAGGTAAGATCGGAATTCCTTCCACCAGTCCAAAAGTGTATGACCAAAACATAATCCCAAAAATGAAATGTTTGTGAGGCAGTTTTGAAGAGCTCAGCATCAAGACTAAACGCAGTCTCTACTGGGGCTTTGAGGAACACCCGTCACTTTACAATTACTGATAGGGGCCCAGGGGACGGGAGACCAATTGAATAAGTATTTGACTCTCTCTACAATGGTCAGAGGGTTTGAAGAAAACCCTCACCTTTTGAATCCCGAATCAGAGAAAAGAGCCCATGTCCAAGTCCATAAAACTGTTAGCATCCATGCTGAAGGAGGACTCATAGGTCTGGGCACCGCTCTGGTGCATCTTTTGGTGGTGGCGCAGATTTGACTTGCTGGAGAAGCCCTTGTCGCACAGCAGGCAGGAGAAGGGCTTCTCTTTGGTGTGCATCCTCCGGTGGCAGATGAGCTGGGTGGACACGCGGAAGGCCTTGCCGCACTCCAGGCACTGGTAGCGCTTGGGCTCCGTGTGGATGCGCCTGTGGTTCTTCAGGGCCATCAGGTTAGTGAACTCCTTCTGGCACACGGAGCAGAAGAAGGAGCCTGTTTTGTGGCTGTTCTTGTGGTTGAGGAGGGAACCGGCGTGTCGGTAGGTGCGGCCGCAGTGCTCGCACACATGGCTCTTCTCCCCTGTACAGTGAGCCTCCTTACTCTCTTGCTGGTCCTGTGGGTCGGGCATGCCGTCGTGCATGTGGGCAAACGCCGGTACCAGCTTGGGCATGCCCTGGAGACCCATGGGTTGGTCCAGTCCCGAGCCCCAGCCTAGGTCGTCCTTTAATTGCATGCTGTGTTGTTGATAATGCCCCTGGGCCTGGTGGTGCAGGTCCTGGTGTTGCTGGTAGCTGGCCGGGTTGGGGAAGCTCTGATGGCAGGGGCTGCAGACCAGGGTGCGTTCCTTGGAGTGCACCTCCATGTGGCTCTGCAGGTGGGAGATGAGACAGAAGGTCTTGCCACAGTCTGGGCAGCAGTGGCGCTTCATCTGAGAGTGGACCTGGAGGGCGATTGGGTCGGGGAAAGTCTGGAGGCACAAGGTACAGTGGTGGAGGTTTTCGGAGTGCGTCTTTTTATGGTTGAGCAGGGAGCCGGCGTGGTGGTATGAGCGTCCACACAGGTCACACCTGCAGCAGAGAGACTTATTAAAATCCCTGTTCATGAAAATAATTTACGTTGGGCATTAGGTGGCAAAAACAACTTTGCTTTTACTAATAGAATATAACTGAGGAAATAATTACAGATTTACCCTAAAACTAAACATAAAAAAAATAGCCATTAAAACCATGAAAACAGAAGACTAAAGAAGGGGATCGTTATAATAACATCCACGAAGAAGAAATATGAGTTACATAATGAGTTGATTATGAGACAGTAACTCACATGAAGCACTTGACTCCACCACCATCTCTGTGATAGCTGTCACCAGCTTTAGCCGAGTCATCCTGACCCCTGCTCTGGCAGCGGTGCCTCTTCAGCCCAGACTTTCCCTGGAAGCTCTTGCCACATTCTGGGCAGCTGAAGTGGCTAGCCACCCTGGTGTGGACCTTCTGGTGATTATGTAGAATACTGGCCAGCCGAAACGCCTTCCCACAGGTCAGGCAGACATGCTTCTTCTTCTGTGTGTGGATCCGTGTGTGGTTGCGTAACGCCATGGGGTTAGAGAAGGGCTTGGAGCAGAACGTGCAGCTGAAGTGGCCAGACTTATGGGTGTTTTTATGATTTAGGAGACTGCCTGCGTGCCGGTAGCTGCGATTGCAGATGTTGCAGGTGAATGGTCGCTCCTCTTTTTTCACGGACATGCTCATTTGTCCATCACTGCCCTCTGAGGAGTTTGCCAGTGACCCACAGGTATGGGCTGTCAGCTGGTCAGCAGAAACAAACGTCAGTCTGCACTGCTTACATTTAATGTTTCTAGCTCGTCTGTGACCACTTCCTCTGACCCCTCCAGGCATATCCTTTCGGAGGTGTGCGCAAATATGGTTAGACAACTGCTTCTTTCCCCTAAAGGCCTTACCACAGTCTTGGCAACTGTGCTTTTTAACTGAGAAGTGGATGCGCAGGTGGTTCTTCATGGCCAGTTGGTTGGAGTAGGTGTTGTTACAAACAGAACAGTAGTATTCACCCGTCTTGTGAGAGTTCTTGTGATTGACCAGACTTCCTGCGTGACGATACGTTCGCCCACATTGGTCACAGGAGTAGGGGCGAGGGTCGCCTGCCCCCTCTGATTTGACCTCATTCTGAGACGCTGTCTGATCCCCTTCCCCCACACTGGGTTTCTTTCGGTAAACGGTTGGCCTACACTTTCTGCGGGTGGTAGTGGCAGCTTGATTGGCAGGTGCATTTAACGAGTGCATTCCTCCCTCTGACCTGGTCCCATTCATCTGCATGAGGGCCTGAATCTGATTGTTGAGCTCCTGTATTTTGGCCTGGTTCTCCTTGTGAATTCTTAGGTGGTTCAATAGCTGCTTTTGTATCTTGAATGCCTTCCCACATTCATTGCAAGTATGCCTAGAGGAGGGGACAAAGAGCGAGGTTAATCCTGTTTACAAAGCACAGAACATTCAAGCATGAATGAAGTTATGACAAAACACATCTATTTGCAATATACATTTTATTTTTTAGGCAAATTCAACTATAACAATGTAATAACCTAAACCTTAGTATGTAGTAGTACAAATTAATTGCGTCTACCGCATGTGTACACTGTAGCCTCTCTGGTTATATACATGATATGTCAAATAACATGGATACTTGTTATCAATAGAAGACAACTTTTTTCTGTGTTAGCAATTAGGTTTAGCAATTACCTCTTAACATCAAAGTGGGTCCTCTGATGGTTCTTCAGGGCCAGTAGATTGTAGAAGCGCTTCTGGCAAACCATGCAGCGGAATACTCCCGTTTTGTGGGACTTTTTATGGTTGAGAAGGGAGCCAGCATGTCTGTATACTCTTCCGCACTGATCACACTTGTACTGGCGATCTCCATTGTCTAAATTCTCTTTCATGTGTCCTAATTCTTTACCCTTGACAGAGTTGCCCATTTCAGTTCTCTCATCACCAGTTGCAAATTCACTTTTCCCATGTGTTGTACATTGATGAGTCTCAAGATGATGGTAACTGGTGCAAAATGTACCACAATTTCCACAGATGATGCTGTCAATCTCCTCTTTGTGCCCAGCTCCATTACTATTGTCCATATGTACGTGTTTAGCATCATCTGCCTGTGCTTTATGGTGTGAGAGCTGATGGGCAAGCATGTCCTGCTTCTTGGCAAAACTCTCTCCGCAAGTACTGCAGATCATCAGACCCCCATCCACCTGCTGTCTCTCTCCAGGGTCCTCTTCTTTATCAGCCTCGAGGGAGGACATGGAGGAGGGGCCAGAGCTTGTAGGAGTACCATGGGATTGAGTGTGGCCACGAAGATGGCTCCTCAGAGCCCTCATGCTCGTGTAGCGGTTCCCACACACTGAGCATTGATAGAGCTCTCCGTCATCATCATCCTCCTCCTCCTCTTCGCCATCACCACCATTTAACTGCTCCCCATTCATGCCTTCATGGAAGTTGTGTTCACCAAAGTACTTTTGTCCAGTGCCGCCATTCAATCCCTGGAATTCTATATGATCCCCTGGATTTCCCATGGAGCATTGGCCATTAGTGTCCTGGAAGATTAGGTTACGGTCACAGTCATTTGACATGGCCTCCTGCTGCTGTTGTAGCTGGGGGCATATGTGCGACTTGATCCCTGCGATGTCTGCAAATGTTTCGCCACAGTCTGCGCACATGTGCCTCTCCATCAGGTGCTCATCGTGAGGTAGGTGCACAGTTCTTTCCTGGGGAAAGGTGGAGTCAAACTGCTCATGGAATGATCCTCCATTGTCGTGTTCACCCTTGTTCTCCTGAGCGAGCGCCATCATACTGCTAGCATCACCATCCTGAGAGGAAAAGCAGGCCTGCTGGTTCTCCAGTGTGAGGGGCTCAGTAGACAGCCAGTCTCCTTCAGAGCCGAGGTTAAAGGAGGACGGATGGGCCCTGTGGATTCGGATGTGGCTGCGGAGGGCAGCCATGTGTGGGTAAGTCTTGCGGCAGATGGAACACTGGTAAATGCCCGTCTGATGAGACCGCTTGTGGTTGATGAGGCTCCCTGCGTGCCGGTAGCTTTTGCCACAGACCTGGCACTTAAAGCGGCGCTCAACATTTTCTGTAACTGAGGACTGTTCTGCCTTCCCTAGATCGTCAGCAGAAACCTCTGAATCCAAGATTGAGGGCTCTTGCTGAGTGTTCAAGGTGGATTCGTTACTGGAGTGGTCAGAGTATATTTGAACATTGTCGCTCTGCTCCCACTGATTATCCCTCGATGGAGTATTGTTTAGAGGGGGTGAATGAAAGTTTGAGTCAGGAGAATGAGTGACACTATGGTCATAAGAGCCATGATGACCCTCAGATGAACATTGATTGTGCCCAAAGGACATAGAGGCAGAATTATGCATTTGGATGTGTTCCTGGAACTCATCATCATTAGGAAACATCACTTGACACAGGTGGCAGAAATTTACAGCAGCCTCCCTGTTCGGGGGGGAAAACTGCTCTTGTGTTGTGCCTGCGTAAGTGACTTCCGTGGAACGGGTGTCTGGCCCACTTCTGGACTTGTTATGGGTTCTCTGGTGACTATGGAGGGCAGCAAGATTATTGAACTGCTTGAAACAGATGGGACACTCAAACATCCCTACTTGGTGAGACTTTTTATGATTGATCAGGCTTCCGTGGTGTCTATATGACTTTTCACACTGATCACATTTGAAAGGTCGATCCCCTGCATCGTCAGAGCCTAGGTTTTCACTATAATTTGCTGAGATGGGGATAACCTCGGCCTCCTCCTGACTAAGGCCATTATCAGATATAATATCCATCCTTGTGTCTTCCTGGTCAGCCACCAAGACCAACTGCTCATCAAGGTCATCATTATCCTCAATTTCATCTCTATTCTCAATTGGAGAATATTCTGCAGCTGCCCTCCTACCAGCTCTCCTCTTTGATTGCCTGGAGAGATGGACCTTTTGATGGGTGGCCAGCTGAGTAGCTAACCTAAAGGCCTTCTCACAATCCATGCAGGAGTACTTCTTCTGCGATGTGTGGATGCGCAGATGGCTCTTCAGGGCCAGAGGGTTTGAGAGATTCCTAGCACATATTGGACATTGAAAAGAACCCAACTCGTGTGTTTTCTTATGGTTAGCCAAGCTACCTGCATGCCTGTAACCCCGCCCACATTCATTGCATTTGAACTTGCGATCTTCCTCTTGCTGGGAGTGACTATCCATGTGTTCCAGAAGGCTTGGCATGTTGGAACACACTGTGCCACAGTGTTTGCAAGGGAAGCCTTTGGTCCTGCCAGGCTCTTGCATAGCCATTACAGGATAGTACTGCACATATTTGAGCGAGATAAATGAGGGGAAAATACATCAGATTCCCAGCTCCTCCATCTAACAAGAGCTTATCTATTGTACGATCCAAATAGGAAGGCAACACAATAATGCGATTGGATCATTTAGTACCACTCCATTGAATATGAATTTACTTTCTGGGGTAGAAAGGCTGAAGGTACACCATGAGGGCTGTGGAAAAAATAAGAACAGATCTGGTCATTCGGCATAATTTGCACAGTCAATGCATTCTTTAGTTATCTATGGGATAATAATGGCCTACTAATGCAGTGGGTACAAACTTTTATTCAAAATGTAGGCTGCTGATGCCACACCTGTTTTATTATTATTTAACATGTTAAAGGGGTCATCAGGTAGCCTAGCGGTTAAGAGCGGTTCGAAACCACAAGCCGATTAGGTGAAACATCTGTCGATGTGCCCTTTGAGCAAGGCACTTCACTCTAATTGCCCCTGTAAGTCGCTCTGGACAAGAGCATCTGCTAAACAATAAAATGTTAAGGCGGTGTCAGAGGAAAACCCTAAAAATGGTCAGACTCCAGCCACTCTAGTCATAGACTGCGCTCTCTGCTACCGCACGGCAAGCAGTACCGGAGCGCCAAGTCTAGGTCCAAAAGGCTTTTTAACAGCTTCTACCCCCAAGCCATAAGCTAATCAAACGGCTACCCGGAGTATTTGCATTGTCCCCCCCCCCCCCCTCCCCCCTTTTATGCTGCTGCTACTCTCTGTTTATTATCTATGCATAGTTACTTGAACTCTACCTACAGTACCAGTCAAAAGTTTGGACACACCTACTCATTCATGGGTTTTTCTTTATTTTTGACATTGTAGAATAATAGTGAAGATATCAAAACTATGAAATAACATATGGAATCATGAAGTAACCAAAAAAGTGTTAAACAAATCAAAATATATGTTAAACCTTGATGACAGCTTTGCACACTGTTGGCATTCTCTCAACCAGCTTCAACTGGAATGCTTTTCCAACAGTCTTGAAGGAGTTCCCACATATGCTGAGCAATTCTTGGCTGTTTTTCCTTCACTCTGCCGTCCGACTCATCCCAAACCATCTCAATTGGGTTGAGGTTCGGGGGATTGTGGAGGCCAGGTCATCTGATGCAGCACTCCATCACTCTCCTTCTTGGTAAAATAGCCCTTACACAGCCTGGAGGTGTTTTGGGTCATTGTCCTGTTGAAAAACAAATGATAGTCCCACTAAGCCCAAACCAGATGGGATGGCGAATTGCTGCAGTATGCTGTGGTAGCCATGTTGGTTAAGTGTGTCTTCAATTCTAAATAAATCACAGACAGTGTCACCAGAAAAGCATGTTGAGATGTGTCTGTTACTTGAACTCTGCAAAGCATTTATTTGGGCTGCAATTTCTGAGGCTGGTAACTCTAATGAACTTATCCTCTGGGTCTTCCATTCCTGTGGCGGTCCTCATGAGAGCCAGTTTCATCATAGCGCTTGATGGTTTTTGCGACTGCACTTGAAGAAACTTTCAAAGTTCTTGAAATGCTACGTATTGACTGACCTTCATGTCTTAAAGTAATGATGGACTGTCGTTTCTCTTTGCTTATTTGAGCTGTTCTTGCCATAATATGGACTTGGTATTTTACCAAATAGGGCTATCTTCTGTATACCACCCCTACCTTGTCACAACACAACTGATTGGCTCAAACGCATTAAGAAGGAAAGAAATTCCACAAATTAACTTTTAAGAAGGCACACCTGTTCATTGAAATGCATTCCAGATGACTACCTCATGAAGCTGGTTGAGAGAATGCCAAGAGTGTGCAAAGCTGTCAAGGCTTTTTGGGTTACTACATGATTCCATGTGTTATTTCATAATTTTTCATAATTTGACTTAAATGTAAATGTAATTTCATAATTTTGATGTCTTCACTATTACTCTACAATGTAAAAAATAAAATAAAATAAAGAAAAACCCTTGAATGAGTAGGTGTCCAAACGTTTTGACTGGTAGTATACATGTACATATTACCTTAATTACCTCGACTAACCCATTCACTCTGTACCAGTACCCCCTGTATATAGCCTCGCTACTGTTATGCTACTGCTGCTCTTTAATTATTTGTTACTTATCTATTTTTTATGAAACACTTATTTTTCTTAAATGGCATTGTTTTTTTTAAATTTAATTTATTTTGGGGGGATGGATCAGCTTAATATTGCAGATAGATTGTATCTTCTATCAATGTAATTGTCTGCATCACTTCCAATCCCCCATGTTTATTTTATTTTATATATATATACACTCCCCTTTATTACTTTTCAACCCCACCATCCTTTCCCTACTTGGAGTAAATTAGTGAACAACAATGCCCAGGCCTCTACTTCCGGTCTATACTTACTATCTACACCTTATGGACAGAGTTAATTTTACAATAATTCTATTATATATTTTTTATTTTATTTTTATTGCTCCTGAACTTCTTCTACTCTCAACCTCTCCGATCATTTTCATGATGTCCATCCGGTTTGCTTCTATATGCCATATCTTTCTAACTGTGCTCTTTCCCAAAAGCTCCCAACATACAACCTATATACTTATTATGGACACAGTATGCTTACATTATTAGCTATCTTTGTTATTATTTGTTGTTATTTGTTATTAGTCCCATCCTTCAACTCTATTCAATACCTCCCATCTATCTCTTAACACCATCCATATAGGATTTCTATTTGCCATATATATTTCAACCGTACTGTGATGTTTTACAAAAGTTCTGAACCTTTCTATTCTCATTGCTTCTACAGATTGTGAATTAAAAATAAACATTTTTGCTAAAAGTATTATTATATTATTGATTGATTGACTATGACTTTTCAGATCACCCAGTAATGCTATCTGCAAGGTTAGTTCCAGGTAAATATTGCAATCCTTTAGCCATTCCTGGACCTGTGTCCAAAAACAAGCTACAAATGGACAGAACCAACGGCATTGTTGGTTAAGGGCTTGTAAGTAAGCATTTCACTGTAAGGTCTACACCTGTTGTGTTCGGCGCATGTGACAAATACAATTTGATTTGAATATTGAAGGACCATTGCATAGGGTAGCTTATCACAGATTGGCTAATAAACTAGGCCTAATATATCTAACTCCGCTCAAATATCGTGTTAATCGGTTCAGTCATGTAACGCAACATGACATAAATGCTCCATTCATCATATACAGCTTCATACAGTGCACAGCAGTAATACTTTTCTTGTTAGGCCTAGCGACATAAAATGTCATTATTAACGTTACCGTGAACTGAATGACCAATTGTCTTACTTATTTACATGCAATTTAAATGTATATAAATCAAAATTTACTAAATTGAGTTATTTTACTAGCTTGTTACTTGTTGGCTAGCTCGGTATCAAACTATCCCAAAAAGATTTTGCCCGAATCAAGTTGAAAGTGGCTAGCTAGCACACACAGCAATACCCCGACTAGCGCGACAGCTAGCCGCATAGCTATGTCAATAATGTGGGAAAACAACACCTCGGTCAAAACAACTTAAAATGTCAATTGGTTGGATTCCAGTAGCTACATTTCATATGTAAGGTCAAAACACACACTGTTATGGAAAGGTTGTTGTTTTGCGAGCAATCCAATGCTGGATACAATATCTGCTAGGTAGTAAGTAGCATCATCATGCTTAGCTAGCTAAACAAACATTGCAGCAAAAGGCGATACTCTGTCTTACCATCTATTTGAATCTTGCGTCCTGACAAATATATTCTGTAGTTTCTGATGTATGGCATTTAAATCCGGGACAATGTTTTTACTCACCACAAAGCTAAAATGTTCTATTGATAATGGACAAGTCTTCTTCAATGCTCTATTTTTTTGTTCTTCCTATCCATTCCACATACTTCCTGCTCTTGTTGCTAGGAAACAGGATATGTGTACCACTAAAATAAGTCCCCCTTCGTCCTGTCATGCGCACATAACTGTGCGTTGTCTAAAAAACTATTCGTGGATTTGTCATGTAAAATTATCAAATGGACTGGTACGTAAAATGAATTTTAAAACACGTCCATCACAATTAGGCCCTAGCTCATTCAAAAATAAACAACCCATCTGCGCGACGTCAACCATCCATGCAAATGATGGAAACATTCGGCAAAACAGGCGCGTGCTATTTAATTATTTCCCCTCTCAATAGTACACCTCTTACCTGCAGTTCTTCCAAATAAAGCCATTCATGCGGTTCTCCGACATCTTCTTGCTAACTGTAAAATGCACTACAGTTGGTCAAATATGAGAAAATCCGTCAAGCCGACGTTTATGTTTGCGAGAAATTATGACCCACGCAAGTGCTGCACTGTTGCACGCTCGAGAATAGCGCTTTCGTCATGGTCCTAAAGCCGTCCTCCTCCACCAACACCAATCGTAGTGCTTCACTGTAAACGCAGTTATTGAGGCTCCATATCTGGACATTTTAACTGATCCTGAATGCCCGAACGAAGGTAAAACGGTAAGCAATAGTTTTAATATTATAATACAAACTTATTCCAAATACAGATGCGGAGCCATCTCATGCGATGATGATCCCAGAGGGCGAATGAGCTTGTTCAGCCGGTCCTAAAGCCAGCCATTTTGAGTTTAGCATAAGTACGCTAAAATCGCTTCAATGCCCCATTTTTGTTGAATTATTGTCTCCTGATATATGCGCCCCCGTAATAATTTAACTTGGAAAACGCACGTTATTTTTCAAAGAAATGAAATTTATTTGAGATTCGTGTTTTTCATGCCAACTTCCTTTTATAACAAGCGTTTAGTTGAATTGTCCCTGAGGTCCTAATGCCAGCCATTTTGAGATGTACCCCTCCACACTATTCATGAAACGTTGCTTCACTAATTTCCCACTGCAACCTAAGTGCCTTTGTCATGTCCTCTCAGCCAGTGCAAATTATATTTGAAAACATGATATAAATAATCTTGGATTGAGTCTCAATCTGCTCACTATTTTACATGATGGTTAAAGCATTACTGCCTACTAAACATTTCCCAAGCTTGATTAAGAAATGCATGACAATGCAGATCTTCAGATTTACTTATGTTTTTTTCTTATATTCTAATTTCCTTAGCATCACAAGCATATAACTGAAAGGATGGCCTCTCCCCAGCCTGGCAGCCCACCACCTACAGAGCAAGACACCCCTCTTGATGAACTGAGTGAGGAGAGCAAAGAGCTGGAGGTAGAGGAGCCCCCTGTAAAAAAGAGAGGCAAAGGCAGACCTCCAAAGAAATCCAAGCATTCTTTCAAATGCTCTGCCTGCCAGGAGGCCTTCAGTAGCCCCTTGGCTCTCCGGAGCCATAAGCTGTCTGCCCACAGTAAGGAGCAGCAGGAGAAAAAGCAGCACACATGTTCTCAGTGCAGCAAAACGTTCCCCAGCAGAGCCCAGCTCTCCAAGCACCAGCGCTCTCACTCTGCTCAGCGCCCCTTTCAGTGCGATCAGTGTCACAAGGCTTACAAGACCCCAACGGAGCTACGCAACCACAGCCGCTCCCATACAGGGGAGAAGCCTTTTGTCTGCACTGAGTGCGGCAAGACCTTCATGCAGGCCATCTGCCTGCGCATTCACATGACGCAGCACAGCGGCGAGCGGCCATATTCCTGCCCCCATTGCTCCAAGAGCTACCCCACTCTGTCCAAGCTGAAGGTGCACCTGCGCTCTCACACGGGGGAGAAGCCCTATTTCTGTGCCGAGTGCGGGAAGAGCTTTGCCGACCCCTCTGTTTACCGGAAGCACAGGCGCAACCACCAGGGCCACCGGCCCTACTCCTGTGATAAGTGTGGGAAGACGTACACCGAGCTGAAAGACCTGAAGAACCATGAACGGTCTCACACAGGAGAGAAGCCCTACCTGTGTTCCGACTGCGGCAAGGCCTTCTCCCGTTCGTCCTCCCTGGCTTGTCACCTCCGCATTCACTCCCAGAGCAAACCCTACCAGTGTGAGCAGTGTGGCAAAGGCTTCACTCAGCTCTCCTCCTATCAGTCTCACCTGCGCACTCACTCGGGTGAGAAGCCATTCCTCTGCCCGCAGTGTGGGAAGATGTTCTCAGACCCCTCCAGTTTCCGCCGGCACCAGAGGGCCCATTCAGGGTTCAAGCCCTACCCCTGTGACAAGTGTGCCAAGAGATTCCGGCAGCCTGCCGACCTGGCTGTGCATCAGCGGGTGCACTCCGGGCAGCGGCCCTACAAGTGTCAGAGCTGCGACAAGGCGTTTGTGGCGTCCTGGGACCTGCGACGCCACATGCTGGTGCACACGGGGCTGCGGCCCTTCTCCTGCACGGAGTGCGGCAAGTCCTTCGCCGAGCGCTCCAGCCTCAACAAGCACCGAAGGGTGCACTCCGGCGAGCGCCCGTTCAAATGTGACCTGTGCTTCAAGTCGTTCGTGGTCTCCTCCAGCCTACGGAAGCACGAGCGCACTCACCTGGCTGAGAGGCCCGCGCTGCTACCGCAGCAGGCGGTACCTGAGACAGTTGCAGCAGTGTTCCTCGCTCACACCTCCCTCCCCCAGTTCTCCTGTTCACACTGTGATGTCACCTTTGGAACCTGGGAGGAGGTTCAGGCCCATGAGGGTCTTCACACCATCTCTCCTCCTTCCACCACCGTGGCCCCCCTGCCCATGGGCCCACACGTATGCGCGACCTGCCGGGAGGAGTTTGTACTGCTGTCTGACCTGCAAGCCCACGAGAAGATGCACCCCAAACCACGACCCCACGTCTGCGACAGCTGCAGCAAAGGTTTCCTCAACAAAGCCGGGCTGCGGAAACACCAGCGGATCCACTCGACCAACCGCAACCACGTCTGCCCCCACTGTAGCAAAGCCTTTCTGTTTGCCGCTTATCTCCGCAAGCACTTACGCACCCACCGTGACCCCCTGCCCACCTTCCCCCTCTCTGACACACTCATTGCACACACGGAGCCTCTTCCCTCGCCACCTCCACCCATTGAAGTTTCCTCATCTACTCTTGAACCTGGTGCAATTTGTCTGACTATACCGGTGACTATTCCAGTGACTGTTCCTGTAACCTTTCAGACCACTCCCATTTATATCGATAAGGAAGACAGACTCTGAAAAGACCATAAGTGTTTGTGTTGAATTAATTATTACTCAACTGCCAGAGGCCTTGAATATTTTTAACAATAGTATGGTTAAAAACGGCTTAATTCCCATACTAAAACAAAGCTTATTGATAACCTATTGATAACAATTTGAAATAATGAGACGTTTCACTTTCAATTGCCCTCAACCCTGTATTTGTGATTTAAAATGTGTTATTTATGCTATGTAATGTACATTATGTTTTATACTATACAAAACCTGACATCTATCATCAACTTATTTCATTGTCATGATTTGTTCATAAGAATGTATTGTTTTGTGTCATAGGCTATACACTGAGTATACCAAATATTAGGAACACCTTCTTAATATTGAGTTGCATCCCCCCGTTTGCCCTCAGAACAGCCTCAATTCATCGGGCATGGACTCTACAAGGTGTCGAAAGCGTTTCACAGGGTATGCTGGCCCATGATGACTCCAATGCTTCCCACAGTTGTGTCAAGTTGGCTGGATGTCCTTTGGGTGGTGGACCATTCTTGATACACACAGGAAACTGTTGAGCGTGAAAAACCTGTTGTGCGACACAAACCGGTGCACCTCGCACCTGCTACCATACCCTGTTCAAAGGCACTTAAATATTTTGTCTTGCCCATTCAACCTCTGAATGGCACACATACAGAATCCATTGTCTCAAGGCTTTAAAAATCCTTATTTAACCTGTCTCCTCCCCTTCATCTACACTGATTGAAGTGGATTTAACAAGTGACATCAATAAGGGATCATAGCATTCACCTGGATTCACCTGGTCAGTCTGTCATGGAAAGTGCAGGTGTTCTTAATGTTTTGTGAACTCAGTGTATATTGATTGGTGTGTAGGCTAAACTACTAATCTTACTTCCACGGTTAGATCAATTCTGTCTAAACATAGGCTATAACATTGTTTGAATCATGATATGAAGTAATGTTTTTTCTTTTCCATGGACTGTTCAGTATTTTGATTTGTATGCAGTTCTCATAATTATTGCAATGGAATTTGTAAGTAAACAATTTACTCAATAGCATTGATGGACTGAAGTTGCCTTCTTGTGAAATGGCTCTTTTGAAGAAAAACCTGAATGCCTAAATTGACCTGTTGGAGAAGAACCATCATGTCTTATGTAATGGCATATTATTAGGCCATATGGGTATGATAACATATCATATTACAGTTAGACTTTCTCAAATACATATAATAGTTGCCTATGGTATCATCAAAAGCATAGATGATACCATAGAATAGAACCATATATCCAACCAATACACCTTACACACAGACTTATACAGACAATAGTTTAAAAAGGGATGGTAAGGTCACTGTGGAAAAAAGAGAAGTACCATTGGTTGAGTCAGCAGATTGGTGAGACATGGTAACGCTGATGTTGATGACAATGCCATTTTACAACCTATAAAAGGTTTTCAACAGACATACTATAAAGTTAATGGACATGACTTTTAACGGTAAATTAAATAATCTCCTATTATTACAGCAGCTTTATTTCAAATACACCTGGGAAAAGTGTTGAAATTAAAGTATTGTTGTAAGCATATTTTAATATTTACTGTAATCTTACAACATTTATTTAACGTTGAATATTATCGTTGACAACAGAAATGTTTATTGCTCTGCAATGCAGACATGTGGACATGTATCTTGATACATTACGCTATGTGGTACCTTTATTTTCGTGCTAGATCACTGGTGCGGAGGATTGGGATGAGCCCTGTTACAATGGCTGCCATTGTTTCTGCTTGCCTTTTTTATTAAACTACTGTAGCAGTGATCTAGCACGTAGTAGTAGTTTAATAAAAAAGGCAAGCAGAAACAATGGCAGCCATTGTAACAGGGCTCATCCCAATCCTCCGCACGGCAGTGGACACCACCACCACCTACAAGTCCCGCTCGCTGTGGTTTGGCTTCCTCTGCATGCGCCTGGTGGCCCTGTTCATGGCTGAGATGCCCTGGTTCAAGCTGGATGCGGACTTCAGCTGCAACACCACCCAGGACTTGTGCACCTGAGGCTGCTTCAATCAACACTGACAAGCCTGTCATGGAGGCCTGGAACAACTTCTTCATCCTCCTCATCCTGTCTGTCCTCCTCATGGAGCTCTTCGCCTCCCACCTCCGCTCCGCTGCCCAGAAGAGGAGCTCCAGGCAGAGGAAGATCACTGTGGTTGGAGGCCCAGAAGAAGAGTGTCAGTGTGGCTAAATCTGAACCCCCAGGGAAGATGGTGATTGACCTCCACAAAGACAGGGTCACTGTGGGCTTCTACCTGCTCAGCACTGTGCTTTGTCTATGCTTTGTCTATGTGCTTCTGTCCTGGAACCTACCTAAAATAGATGAAGGACCGTTTAAGTGTAAGTCAGCTATCTGACCAGAGTTACATATTCGCTTGGTGACGGAGAAATGTGTCTTATCTATGCTTTAGCCTCTATTTCAGACCTGGTCATTGTAACTTCAGTCTTGTTCTGTTTGTACTCTATTTTCCACTACCTCTGTGGATTTTGAGCCTGCAGGGAACCCACACTGGACCTTTTTAACTATAAATGACTCACTAACTGTAAGTCGCTCTGGATAAGAGCGTCTGCTAAATGACTAAAAAATGTAAAAAATAAATGTAATGTGTACGTGTAACATTGGATTTACTGTTTTCTTTTTTACCATGTGTCATGTCTGTGCCAGCTTAAAAGGCTAATAATGCTAAATAATCTGTCCAAGTTTCCTACATTCTCATTCTTGGCAGCAGATTTTACTGTGCAAACTGCTTATGGGTGTAGAAACACCTATATGATGGTGTGTCTGAGTCAGGCATTTCTAGTGATTTCTGGTCAGGGTGAAAATACATGCTAAACTAGAGAGTGAGTGTTACAGTGCCTTCAGAAAGTATTCACACCACTTGACTTTTTCCACATTTTGTTGTGTTAAAGCCTGAATTTAAAATGGATTAAATTGAGATTTTTTTTGTCACTGGCCTAAACACATTAACCCATAATATCAAAGTGGATCTTTATTTTTATTTTTAACAGATTAATTAAAAATGAAAAGCTGAAATGTCTTGAGTCAATAAGTATTCAACCCCTTTGTTATGGCAAGTCTAAATACGTTCAGGAGTAAACATTTGATTAACAAGACATACAGTGAGGGAAAAAAGTATTTGATCCCCTGCTGATTTTGTACGTTTGCCCACTGACAAAGACATGATCAGTCTATAATTTTAATGGTAGGTTTATTTGAACAGTGAGAGACAGAATAACAAAAAAATCCAGAAAAACGCATGTCAAAAATGTTATAAATTGATTTGCATTTTAATGAGGGAAATAAGTATTTGACCCCTCTGTAAAACACAACTTAGTACTTGGTGGCAAAACCCTTGTTGGCAATCACAGAGGTCAGACGTTTCTTGTAGTTGGCCACCAGGTTTGCACACAGCTCAGGAGGGATTATGTTCCACTCCTCTTTGCAGATCTTCTCCAAGTCATTAAGGTTTCGAGGCTGACGTTTGGCAACTCGAACCTTCAGCTCCCTCAACAGATTTTCTATGGGATTATGGTCTGGAGACTGGCTAGGCCACTCCAGGACCTTAATGTGCTTCTTCTTGAGCCACTCCTTTGTTGCCTTGGCCGTGTGTTTTGGGTCATTGTCATGCTGGAATACCCATCCACAACCCATTTTCAATGCCCTGGCTGAGGGAAGGAGGTCCTCACCCAAGATTTGACGGTACATGGCCCCGTCCATCGTCCTTTGATGCGGTAAAGTTGTCCTGTCCCCTTAGCAGAAAAACACCCCCAAAGCATAATGTTTCCACCTCCATGTTTGACGGTGGGGATGGTGTTCTTGGGATCATAGGCAGCATTCCTCCTCCTCCAAACACGGCGAGTTGAGTTGATGCCAAAGAGCTCGATTTTGGTCTCATCTGACCACAACACTTTCAGCCAGTTCTCCTCTGAATCATTCAGATGTTCATTGGCAAACTTCAGACGGGCCTGTATATGTGCTTTCTTGAGCAAGGAGACCTTGCGGGCGCTGCAGGATTTCAGTCCTTCACGGCGTAGTGTGTTACCAATTGTTTTCTTGGTGACTATGGTCCCAGCTGCCTTGAGATCATTGACAAGATCCTCCCGTGTAGTTCTGGGCTGATTCCTCACCGTTCTCATGATCATTGCAACTCCACGAGGTGAGATCTTGCATGGAGCCCCAGGCCGAGGGAGATTGACAGTTCTTTTGTGTTTCTTCCATTTGCGAATAATCGCACCAACTGTTGTCACCTTCTCACCAAGCTGCTTGGCGATGGTCTTGTAGCCCATTCCAGCCTTGTGTAGGTCTACAATCTTGTCCCTGACATCCTTGGAGAGCTCTTTGGTCTTGGCCATGGTGGAGAGTTTGGAATCTGATTGATTGATTGCTTCTGTGGACAGGTGTCTTTTATACAGGTAACAAGCTGAGATTAGGAGCACTCCCTTTAAGAGTGTAGTCCTAATTTCAGCTCGTTACTTGTATAAAAGATCTCTGTACCCCACTGATCTCTATACCCCACACATTCAATTATCTGCAAGGTCCCTCAGACGAGCAGTGAATTTCGTACACAGATTCAACCACAAAGACCAGGGATGTTTTCCAATGCCTCGCAAAGGGCACTTAATGGGTCAAAATAGAAAAAGCAGACATTGAATATCACTTTGAACATGGTGAAGTTATTAATTACACTTTGGACGGTGTATCAATACACCCAGTCACCAGTGGTGTAAAGTACTTACGTAAAAATACTTTAAAGTACTACTTAAGTAGTTTAATTTACTATTTCTATTTTTGACTACTTTTACTTACATTTACATTTACATTTTAGTACTTCACTACATTCCTAAAGAAAATAATGTACTCTTTACTCCATACATTTTCCCTGACACCCACTCGTACTCGTTACATTTTGAATGCTTAGCAGGACAGGAAAATTGTCCAATTCACACACTTATCAAGAGAACATCCCTGGACGTACGTACCGCCTCTGATCTGGCAGACTCGCTAAACACAAATGCTTTGTTTGTAAATTAGGTCTGATTGTTGGCTATCCGTAAATTAAAAAAACAAGAAAATTGTTCCATCTGGTTTGCTTAATAAAAGGAATTTGAAATGATTTATACTTTGACTTTGACTTTTGCAACAAGGCACTAAAGTAATACTGCAAATGAAATTGGCAAAGCAATTCACTTTTTGTCCTGAATACAAAGTGTTATGTTTGAGGCAAATCCAATACAACACATTACTGAGTACCACTCTCCATATTTGCAAGCATAGTGGTGGTTGCATCATGTTATGGGTATGCTTGTAATCGTTAAGAACTGGGGAGTTTTTCAGGATAAAAAATAAACGAAATAGAGCTAAGCACAGTCAAAATTCTAGAGAAAAAACTGTTTGTCTGCTTTCCACCAGACACTGGGAGATTAATTCACCTTTCAGCAGGACAATAACCTAAAACACAAGACCAAATCCACACTGGAGTTGCTTACCAAGAAGAAAGTGAATGTTCCTGAGTGGCCGAGTTACAGTTTTGACTTAAATCTACTTGAAAATCTATGGCAAGACCTGAAAATGGTTGTCTAGCATTAATCAACAACCAATTTGACAGAGCTTGAAGAATGTTGAAAAGAATAACGGGCAAATGTTGCACAATCCAGGTGTGGAAAGCTCTTAGAGACTTACCCAGGAAGACTCACAGCTGTAATCATTGCCAAAGGTGCTTCTACAAAGTATTGACTCAGGGGTGTGAATACTTATGTAACTTAGATATTTCTTTATTTCATTTTCAATACATTTGCAACATTTTCTAAAAACATGTTTTCACTTTGTCATTATGGGGTATTGTGTGTAGATGGGTGAGAAAAAACAAACAATTAAATACATTTTGAATGCAGGCTGTAACACAACAAAAGTTGGAATAAGTCAAGGGGTATGAATACATTCTGAAGGCACTGTAGGTACAAACCCATTTCACTTGCTATGTGCCATCGCAGTTCTGACATTAAGTTCTGATAGTTTGCATAGATAAGAACGGGATCAAGTTTTATTGTTTCTTTGGAAAAGTTGTTTTTACATATAGAATGAACAAGTACAATATCGACAGTTGTTAATGCTATTATAAATCATATATTTCCAGATGTTGCATTTTTGTTAGATACATTAATTAGTCCGATTTGTGCATAAATAGGCCTCCCCCAGAAGTCGGTAGAACTTGAATAGCTTCCAAGGATATCAGGCATAGTCAGTAGTCACCAGTCAGTGTTTGTGCTTTTCCTTCAGTAAAATAGACTTCCTGTTGCTGTTCTTCATGCTGTACAGCAGTGCAGCACACTTGTCCGTTAGAGACTGAAGGGGAGAGAAATATGAAGGAGATTAGCAGGGGAGACTAGAGGAAGGTAGGGGGCATAGTTGGATAGGAGCTTGAGATTGCAATGGTAGAATAGCATTATTTGTGTATCTGAATTGTACATTAGATATTACCATAGAGGCAATTGTAGTCTGGGTGAAAATATGTTGTAATGTTCATATCAGGGTTCTATATCTATGGATATGTTATACATCACCTGCAGTGTATCAGAAAGTATGGATTGTCTCTAAGATGGAAATAAACCCAATGACAATTATGCTTCAAATACTAAACAGAATGTATTAAAGAATGCACCATACACACAGTTTCTGTTTCACAATTGTCTCAATACTGTACACACAGACCTACCCTTGTGTAGTTTTGTAGGCTGTTGTGTATAGGGTCCATGGTTTTAAGCCATTCCGAATAAATCTGTTTGTCCTCTGCATTTTGATGATACTCTCTGAAAAGGTAACAAAAGATAAGCATGTTGTCGTGTATACACAAATACAAGTTGACAAATGTCTATGTACAGCAGAATTTACCAGCCAACACACAAGCCCAAACGTGCGCATGCTCACACACATTCGTATTCTCGCGCACACACCAAAACAGGCCTTGTTCACTCATGTGAATCCGGCTGTCAGTCTCACTCACTAATTAGCGCCCATTCTGAGGCTCTGCCTCCACACACGCAGGCACACACACACACACACACACACATACACATTGCTGTCCATCAGCCTTCTCACTAAATCATTCACTCACAGGGCTCTCTCAATCAGTTCCCTCTGTGTCTCCCCCTCTCTCCTTGCGTCTTGGAAGCGGCCCCTGACAGCTAGAGCGGCGCTGGCCTGGGATGAGTTGAGCTGAATGATGGCTAGAAGCAGAGAGGAGAGGACCACTGAGCTGAGAGTGAGAGGAGAGAGGAGAGAGGGTTACAGCATTAGGTTACTATCATGACCACTAACATGGTCGTCTCCATCATTATTCTCCTATCAAATTGTTTTGCAAATGGAGTGGATTGTGATGTGTAAACACATTTCTATTATTCTTTGACTTTAGCTCAGGCTGATGGTCTAGTCTTTCTGGTAGATAAACTGTCAACAAAAGGCATTTCTGAATGCACGTCATGAATGCTGGCAAACGCCTGAGTGAGTTCTGGGCGTGTCCCATTACCTGTCATCCGTCACCTCTCTCTCAGCAGTCAGCACTCTGAGCATACAGCGTCCATCCTTCTGTTTGTATCTCAGCTGCAGCTGGACAGACACGCAGCCATCTGCCACTGGGGCTGACACGAAACATCAGAGAAAGAAAAAGAGATTACAAATGTATTTCTCTGTGAACTTGGTCCCCAATCCTTAAATCCTCCTCATCCCTCTGTTCTCACCCTCTCCCTGTGAGCTGTGTTCCCTCGCTCCAAATTGAAAGGTGATTTCTGTGTCTGATGCCACATTGCCCACCTCTCTGGTCCCCCTGTTCCCGGCCTCTCTCTCTCTTCTCACACACCTAGTGGAGGAGGGAATGAGGGTGAGAGATGAAGGCCTTTTCCAGTCAAATCAGGGTTCTCTGTTCAAATGTATCGCTGGTGTGACAGTGCTAGATTTGCCATTTACAATTTATGATTGTCAATTCACCAAAATGTTTTCTTGAGGATGAGCATACAACTGCACACCCAGGGGTTCTTAAGCATTTACACCCTTTTTGGGGGGGGGGGATATATATACTGATGGTGACGTACATACACATTATGAATGAATTATACCTATTCAAACATCTACCCACACACATATACTATATTTGAAAATACACATGAATATATAGATGTTTAATTCAACACTTACAGAGTTGTGGGCAGCAGCAAAGTGACACTACAGTGTGTCGCTATCGTCCTGTTCTGTATAATCTCCTCAAATTCAGTGTATAGTTCATTTGGACTTGCTATCACCACCTAGGAGGAAAAGACGACATGTACAGTACCATATTAAAATACACATCTTGCACAATGGACTCTTATCACATACGGGCCCAATAGGATTGTAGCTAAATTACATACACAGCACATAAGAGAATAATACAATATTATTTATTGAATCACATACCTTTCCGCCTGTGCGGTCTGCTAGTCTCCCCAGCTCATCAAGTTTGCAGTCTGTCCCCTCGATAGCCAACACTGACACTGTCACCCTAGGAGAGAAAGGGTTACGTACTGTAAGCACTTGCTTATAGTATTCAATAACTGAAAATCACTTATGTTAATACCTAAAAGGCTATCAACATAGTCTGTAGGAAAATTAGCTAATTCAAGGTAAAATAGGTTCTCCACTATGCTTAAATAGAAGTGAACATTTAGCTAGTGAAGACAGTACAGAGTTGCACCAACCCCTGGCTAGCTGCGTACTCCCCCAGGTCGTGGTAGAAGATGGTGGAGGAGAGGTGAGATCGAGCATCATTGCCCTCCACCTCCAGATTCCCCAGGTCTGTGTTGGCCTTTCCATCTGTGCAGATGATCACCTGGGAAGAGGACAATATATTTTATTGGTACTACATCATAAACAAAACAGATACATTATTTATTCAGAGCACTGGAACTATAGGACTGACTGACCTTTGACCCTGGTTGCCGAGAAGCCATCGCTATGGCTACAAGAGAAGCTGGACCTAGAGCCGTGGCACCACTCTCAGACAATCTTTTAATGAAAAGAGGAAGTGTCAACATACCATTATTTCATTAAATGATTCCTTCATTGGACCAGTTTGAATGAGTACATGGCTTATTTGCTCTTGGACCACATGGGCCCTTGAATTAAACTGTAGAGTTTGTTTTTATTACCCTAGAATCTCTCTCTGTAGACAGTCCCTTGTCCTGGAGAGGGGGGGTGGGCTGGGGAAGCTGAACGCTGCTTCCTTAAGGTATTCACTGTCAATCAACTCGGCACCACACAAAAAACGTGAGGTGAACTCTTCATATCCATGCAGAGTCACCTGTCAAGACAAACATCAGTGGATGATCTTAAGATACTGATCAAAACAACTTCAGATTTACATCCAACTATTGGATGAATGCATCCAAATATTGAATCCAAATCAGTGCATATGAAATGTCACACACAAAACACAGATTTGATACCTACAGCCAATGAATCTGTCAATGAGAAATGGGTGTAATATTGTACCTGATTGTTGAATGTGATGAGTCCTACTTGCATGTGTGGTTGTGTTTCACTCAGCTTCTGAACACTCTGTAACACTGCTTCCTGAACAAACTGGTTTAAAATCCGCATTGGTGTTATCATTACCACCATCTACACAACCACAGACCATTATCAATTCTAGCAAAGCAAATGATTGTGTAGCTACTGATGCCCATTTAAATAATCAAAGATGGTTGACCTGAAGACGTGATCTGTAGATTGGCTGTTTTCCTTCCAACACCTGGCACAAGAAAAAGAGAGAATTTCACTGCTCATCTCAATCTCCCAAAGAGGGTTGTAGTCAGTATATACCGTGGCCAGCATAAATGGTGATAAATACAGCTTCAACCAGCACTGAATGTGAAACTACTTAAAACAGAACAATACTGATTTTACAGAACAAAATTGATTATAGCGGTATCCCTATCACATTTATTCTAATCTAACCTTACAGAGCCTGGAGAAAACACAAAAAAATAACACCAATGGTCTTATGTCCAAACCTGGGAGGTGATACTCATGGACGCTGAGATGTCGATACAGAACAGCAGCAGTGTGTCTGTACGGGTCAGGGCTTTGTCACCAGGGGTCAACAGGAAAACACTGTCCTGGCAACTGAGACATTTGGCAGATGAGGAGGTAGGTGGTTCCCATGATGACTGGCAAAAATAACAGATATTCACCTGTAGAGCAACAGAAGGATGTGGAAATGCAGTTGTTTGAGAGAAATTGTACCTTCAGTAGTCATGAATTACAATAAGTAGTAGGTATAACTTCATTGAGATTGATTGTAGGTCTACCATGTCCTTATTATTGAATAATTTGGAAGGCATGAGGTTAGAATCATAATAGTGATTACCGCTTGACTACTGTGATTATTTTTCATATTACGTATGATTCATGTTCAAGAGAGTGTGAAAGGTCAAACTACCACATTGTCATAGATGGAGTCCAGCACAGAGCCACACTGCGAGCAGCAGGTGGGCTCTCCCTCTATGGTGAGCACTGTGATTGGACACACGTTGGTCAACACAGACAAGCATGTTAGACTGTGACATACTGAGAGACAGTGAAAAGTCAGGTCAAAGACATTGACTATCATACACCAAACATTATCTCAGAATGATAGCAGGAATAGTCCACTAACCATTTTCCTCTGATATCAGTGCCCCCAAACTGACTAGGATCACATTTGGATTCCCCACCAATGGTTCCCCTGATCCTGTGTAGTAAATGGCCATTAGTAGTTGCAATTGTGCTTTGTATCTATTTATGAGCACCTACATTTTTTATTTTCAATGAGGAATTATCTAATGAACTGTGAAGATACTGTATACTAATGGATGTCCATAATGAAGCGAGATTTACTGGGGGATGAAGAGGAAGACGTCGAGGATGAGAAAGAATCAGGCAACAGAACTAGGTATTCTGGACAGGACCTCATAAAGGAAGATCTTGGTGGCAAGGCTGGAGCTAGAAGTAGGGAGAATCATGTTTTTCAACTCTGGTTGTAGTCATAATCTTCGTCACATCTTTATCATCAAATGCAAGACTGTTTGTTTTGTTGGCATCTTAAGATGTGAATTGCATGAACGGCAGTACTGTCTGACAATACTAGCTTTGAGTCTACCAAAGAATGTCTCTTTACAGCACATTAACCAGTCACCTGACTTCTGTGCTGATCGACTGTTGCCGGTGGTGTTTGGATGCTTAATTTCTTCCCCACTGCCTTCTGGGATATTGTATGAGTAGTCTGGATCCCATGGATAACTTCCAATGTCTGGTTCCTCCTTTGGAAGGTCATAGGTCAGCCTCTGGCTATTGGAAGGGAGAAGGGAAGGGGGGCCTGGGATTGGCTGGATGTAAGCAGGCGATTGAGATCGCATGAAAGGAGGGAGCAGAGCTGGGAAGGTAGAGACGGACACAAAGTTAGCCACAATGTTGACACAATGTTAGCCACAATCTCAAGAGTTCACTCATGACTTTTGAGACACTTAAATTGAACAGTATATCCTAAAAATGACATTATACATTGAATTCCCCAGTACACTCATGCTAGGCAAACCTGTCCTTCGAGCTGTTTGAGATGTGAGCTGTTGGGGCGAGCCTGGAACATCTCCTCCTCTTCTAAGATGGAATGCTGCATTCTCATACAGTGGCAAGGGGTTGGGAGCTCTCTTCACCTCACCATTTTCAGTGATTCTCTGTTCTGGAGAGGGGTGTTGTTGTTTTTGTAGTTCTGGGGAGGGTGCTGGAGGAGGAGGGGGAGGACTGCGGGGACGGATTCTGCTTGGGGGAGGAAGGAGAGCTGGGAGAGATGAGAGACAGAGCATTGTTAATGTTAATGTGTACTACACAAGATTCATTAATGAACTGGAAAACATTAGATGGTTCACTGACAGGACAGTGTTTGGGCAGCAACGGGCATTCGGACAATGTTAGCAAGATTTCATTTGAAGTGTGTCTGAGAAATTATAACTCACCTGAACGTTTAATTGCAATTGGGGGTTTCCTTTGGACTTCCCTCTGATAGGTTGATGGAGGGACATAGACAAACCCACAGGCAAACTCCATTGGTGGCCTTACCACCTAAGCAGGGATACTCAACTAGATTCAGCTGCGGGCCGATGGTCAGGAGGCAGGAACAGAATTACAAATAATTTGTGCACTGCAAATTGACTGCAAGAAGCCCAAACATATATAATATTTGACTAAAACATAATAATTTCAAACCTTGCTTACATTTGTATATTATCACATATATCCCTCCATTATGTATGGGAATACTTTGGAACATGGAGCTGATTTTGCTGGTGTTTTTACAGTCTTGTATGTCCAATAATAAAAACTCCATTCCAGCCATTATTATGAGCCATATTCCCCTCAGCAGCCTCCACTGAGATATATATACAGTACCTGTCACGTCTACTCCTGCTCCTTCCCCTCCGGCATTCGTCGCCGGTTTACTAACCACCGGTCCTGGTAACCATCATTACGCACACCTGGCATCAATCATTACGTGCACCTGCGCTTCATCATGAGGCACCCCTGGACTCCATTACCTCACTCATTACCTCCCCTTTATCTGGCACTCCCTTAGGTTCTTTCTCCAGGCAGTATTGTTTCTGTGTTTCATGTCAAGACGCTACTCCTATATTGTATCGTTCCATGTTCTTTGTTATATTAAAGTTACCACCTGCTTCTCGTCTCCCAGCATCTGCGTTACAGAATACTGCCTCACAAAATGGAAGCAGCAGGTAATCAGAACATCTCCCAGACGGTCGACGCGCAGGGATACCTAGTTCGTCAACACCACGACCAGCTGGCGCAACTGGAGACGGCTATGGAAGAGGTTCTTCGCAGTGTTCAACGTCTCGAACATACCCAAGAGGCGTTGCCTTCAACTAGCGGAGGATACTCTACCACCAGTCAACCCAGCACACCAGCCCATTCAGCAACCCGCCCAGGTCAGAGATGCCCGTTTGTCCCTCCCGGATAAATATGACGGCACCCCATCTAAATGCCGTGGCTTCCTACTACAGTGCTCCCTCTACTTTGCGCACCAGATAGGAGCCCCCACCACCAAGAGGTCCAAGGTTGCCACGGTTATTTCTCTGCTGACTGGGCGGGCGTTGGAATGGGCCACAGCCGTCTGGGAGAGGAGCTGGATTCGTATGAGGGGTTCATGGCTCTGTTCAGAGGTATTTTTGATCATCCACCGGAGGGTAGAAAGGGGGGTGAGCGCCTACTCCAACTACGGCAGGAGGACCAGACTGCTGCCGAGTTCACGCTCACCTTCTGGACAGTAGCAGCATCCAGCAGATGGAATGAGCCGGCGCTTCGTACGCTATTCAGAGGAGGACTGTGCGAGGAGGTCCAGACGGAACTGGCCTGTCGAGATGACATCCTCTCCTTGGACGCACTCATCGCGATGGCCATCCGTCTGGATAACCTACTTCGGGAACGTCAACACTCTCGTCACTTCTCTCCCTCCCTCAGTGAACATTTTGGATCAGAGCCTGAACCCATGGAGGTAGGGGTCACATGCCTCTCCGCGGCGGAGCGACGCAGATGGAGACAGCTGCGGCTCTGTCTCTATTGTGGTCAAGGAGGGCACCAGCTCCAGCAGTGTCCGGTACGTCCCAACTCGAGATCCACGAGAGCAGAGGGATGGTCACGTCATCTTCCACCTCCTGGGGCAGGTGTGAGTATCCCCTCTTCATCACTTTCTGCAAAACTATTTTTGGTGTCGATCACACTAGTTGACTGTCCCTCATGTACTGTTTCTACAGCGTTAGTGGATTCCGGTGCCGTGGGGAACTTTATTGACCAGACCCTTGCCTCCGCTCTTAACATCACCTCATACCCGCTCTCCTCTCCTTTCCCGGTTCAAGCCCTCAATAATTGGCCATTAGGTTCCGGGACCATCACACACATCACCAAACCACTCACCCTCACCGTGGAGTCCATCCATCAGGAGAACATTCCCTTCCTCATCACTAGTGCACCAGCTCACAAGATCATCCTCGGCCTCCCTTGGCTTCAACACCATAACCCTAACATCTCATGGTCGAGGATGAAAATCACGGACTGGGCACCTGAATGCCGGAGTACCTGCTTTCCCGTCCCCTGTGGTTCCACGTCGGTTGAGAGTCCTGTGGTTGCCCTTCAGCCCAACATCACGGAGGTATACCAGGACCTGGAGGAGGTATTTTCCAAAACCTGCGCCACCTGTCTCCCACCTCATCGTCCCTGGGACTGTGCCATCGACCTGCTTGCAGGCTCTGCGCCCCCACGCAGACGCATCTACCCCCATGTCGGTGGCTGAAACCAAGGCCGTGGAGGAGTACATCCGTGGAGGAGTACTTCTCCTGCGTCTGCAGGCTTCTTCTTCGTGGCCAAGAAGAATGGAGGGTTACGCCCGTGTATTGATTACAGAGGACTCAATGAGATCACCACCAAGTAGTGTTACCCTCTCCCGTTGGTGCCGACAGCCATCGAACAGCTCCGCGGGGCCTGGTTCTTTACCAAATTGGACCTGTGGAGTGCGTACAATCTCATCCGCATCCGGGAGGGGGATGAATGGAAGACCGCTTTTAGCACGATGTCTGGTCACTACGAGTACTTGGTGATGCCATTTGGCTTAGCCAATGCTCCATCAGTGTTCCAGGTATTAGTCGATGTGGTGTTCCGGGACATGCTCGGATGCCAGGTGGTCGTGTATATTGACGACATCCTGGTCTACTCGGCTACCTTGGAGGATCACATCGCTCATGTCCGAGTAGTCCTGGAACACCTCCTGGCTAACCAACTGTTTGTCAAGGCTGAGAAGTGCCAGTTTCATCAGGAGGCTGTCTCCTTCCTAGGCTACCAAATCAGCCCGCAAGGTGTGAAGATGGACGTCAAGAAGGTAGATGCGGTCAGGTCATGGCCAGTCCCAACCACCATAAAGGGGTTAAAACATTTTTTTGGGGTTTGCCAACTTCTACCACTGTTTCATCAGGAACTTTAGCTTCATCGCCGCTCCTCTCACCTCTCTCCTCAAGGGTTGTCCCCGTAGGTTGGTGTGGAGTCCAGCAGCTGACGAGGCCTTCCGCCTACTGAAGGGACATTTCACCTCTGCCCCATTGCTCAATAACCCAGATCCCACAATACCCTTTGTGGTGGAGGTGGAAGCTTCAGAGGTGGGCGTGGGGGCAGTTCTGTCTCAACGACAAGGTAATCCACAAAAATTGTATCCGTGTGCGTATTACTCTAAGAAACTGTCCCCTGCAGAGAGGAATTACGACGTCAGCGATCGAGAGCTCCTGGCGGTGCAGTTGGCATTACAGGAGTGGAGACACTGGCTAGAGGGCGCCAAGGACCCATTCGTTATCCTCACCGACCATCGGAACCTAGAGTACATACAGACAGCGAGAAGGCTGAATCTGCGCCAAGCAAGGTGGGCCCTTTTCTTTACGAGATTTGACTTCACGCTGACCTATCGCCCAGGTTCAAAGAACACCAAAGCCGATGCCCTGTCCCGTCTCTACAATTCGGGAGAGGGTCCTGTCCAGAGTGCACTCATAATCCCTTCCTCTCAAGCCCCTGTGGTCTGGGACGTTTGCCAGGCTCTGGAAAGGGAGACCGCACCCACTACCTGTCCTCCTGAGCACATCCATGTTCCCACAGGGATAAGGGATCGGCTGCTGACCTGGGCGCACACAGTTGTCATTGCTGGACATCCAGGTATTTCTCGTACTACTCAATCTATCTCAGAGAAGTTTTGGTGGCCTAGCTTGGTGCAGGACGTTATTCGCTATGCCCAGAATTCGTTACGTCACTCCTCCACCGAGCTGACTCCCTTCCAGTGTGTTCTGGGTTTTCAGTCGGCCCTGGCTCCGTGGACCCCGGGCCAGACCGAAGCTCCTGTGGTGGATGAGTGGTTCAGGCCTGCAGAAGAAGTGTGGCGCGAGGCTTACGTGTGACTACAGCATGCCGCCCCCCATCAGAAGGAGCAGGCAGACCGCCACCGCAGTGAGACACCCGTGTTCAATCCTGGGGATCGTGTCTGGCTCTCTACCCCGGTTTGTGGAGCCATTCAAGGTTCTCCGGAGGGTCAACAAGCTGACGTATAGGGACGTCGAAGGAGGTCCCACCTATACCATCAGATCCCTACTGGACTCCCGACATCGTGGGGGTCGGCTCCAGTACCTGGTGGACTGGGAGGGGTATGGCCCAGAGGAGCGGTGTTGGGTTCTGGTGGAGGACTTTCTGGATCCCAACATCATCCGTGATTTCCATCTTTGCCGCCCGGACCGGCCCACTCCTAGTCCTCGGGGCCGTCCCTCTGGCTGGTGTCGAATGGGGCTGGAAGCCAAACGTCGGGGGGGGGGTACTTTATCGTCTACTCACGCTCATCCCCTCCGGCGTTCGACGTCGCCGGTTTACTAACCACCGGTACTGGTAACCATCATTACGCACACCTGGCATCAATCATTACGCACACCTGCTTCTCGACTCCCAGCGTCTACGTAACAGTACCAGTCAAACGTTTGGACACACCTACTCATTCAAGGGTTTTTCTTAATTTTTTACTATTTTCTACATTGTAAAATAATAGTGAAGACATCAAAATTATGAAATAAGACATATGGAGTCATGTAGTAACCAAAACTATTAAACAAATCTAAATATATTTGAGATTCTTCAAAGTAGCCACCCTTTGCCTTGACAGCTTTGCACACTCTTGGCATTCTCTCAACCAGCTTCATGAGGTAGTCACCTGGAATGCATTTCAATGAACAGGTCTGTGTTGTTAAGTTAATTTGTGGAATTTCTTTCCTTCTTAATAGGTTTGAGCCAATCAGTTGTGTTGTGACAAGGAAGGGGTGGTATACAGAAGATAGCCCTATTTGGTAAAAGACCAAGTCCATATTATGGCAAGAACAGCTCAAATAAGCAAAGAGAAACGACAGTCCATCATTACTTTAAGACATGAAGGTCAGCCAATCTGGAACATTTCAGTAACTTTGAAAGTTTCTTCAAGTGCAGTCGCAAAAACCATAAACCGCTATGATGAAACTAGCTCTCATGAGGACCGCCACAGGAAAGGAAGACCCAGAGTTACCTCTGCTGCAGAGACTTGCTTGGGCCAAGAAATACGAGCAATGGACATTAGACCGGTGGAAATCTGTCCTTTGGTCTGATGAGTCCAAATTTGAGATTTTTGGTTCCAACCGCCGTGTCTTTGTGAGACGCAGAGTAGGTGAACGGATGATCTCCACATGTGTGGTTCCCACCGTGAAGCATGGAGGAGGAGGAGGTGTGATGGTGTGGGGGTGCTTTGCTGGTGACACTGACAGTGATTTATTTAGAATTCAAGGCACACTTAACCAGCATGGCTACCACAGCATTCTGCAGCGATACACCATCCCATCTGGTTTGCACTTAGTGGGACTATCATTTGTTTTTCAACAGGACAATGACCCAAAACACACCTCCAGGCTAAGGGCTATTTGACCAAGAAG